TGCATAAAAACTGAATGTAGAGAAGTTAGATGTTTAAACGGCCCCCACATTTTCTCAAGACCACGAGCAAGATTATTCCCTCCTTTCCAGCCCCCCCCGTGAAAAAAAAGGGTTCTAAATTTACGACCTGACCGCATATGAGGTGATTTCATATCTGGCGAACCGGCTGGGCAGAAGAAAAGGTCATGGTCTGCTGTTGCAGCATTTCTAATCCTGCGTGGATGAAGAACACGATTAAGAAACTCTCGTACGTTTCGAGATTGATGAAAATGATTCGGATCACAGTCCACACGCAAAATGCAATTATCATAATTGGCTTCAGCTAAGGTAACAGCCAGGTTTTCAACATATCTAGAAATGAGTAACCAATCATAGTTTCTTACTCGAAGCAAAACCGGCGGTGCACTTTCTCGCGATACACCGCACAAAGAACGTGCACGAAACTCTCCTTGCACTGTTCTGAAAGTTCTGGACCTTTCAGAACGGAGCAAGAAGAAAGCCTGTTAACTTTCCTTTCCTGCTGCGTCGCCATCTAGGAAACTGACACTGCTGCTGCACAGTAAGCATGACGAGCAAACAGAAGGTAGGCACATGAGAAACTTGCACAGTTGCCAATACTTTACGGTGAAGGTTTTGCTCTGAAAAGATAATACGAGGGCCATCCAGGAAGTAGATTACGTTTCCGTCTGTGTCCGCTAGGGGCGGGGCTAGCGCGGCCATCTTGGGGTCAGAGCGTTGCGCAGCTCAGTCTGCATCTAGCCGTGCTAGTGAGAGGTTCGTGCTGTGCTCCGTTCAGATACTGTGACGGTTTGAAATGTCTGCGTTAATTGAAAATCCCGCGAGCTGCGAGGTGCGCTCAGTAATAAGGTTTCTGACTGCAAAAAACTGTAAACCGATAGAAATCTATCGGCAGCTTCGTGAAGTGTATGGGGACAACATTATCACTGAAGGTGGAGTGCGTCAGTGGGTCATAAGATTTCAAAATGGCCGAACCAATGTTCACGACGAAGATCGAAGTGGGAGACCCAGCATAGTGACCGCCGAACTTCTCGAAAAAGTCGATGCTAAAGTCCGTGAAAATCGAAATTTCACAATAACGGAACTTTCTTTGAGTTTTCCACAAATTTCGCGAAGTTTGTTGCACGAAATCATCAGCGAAAAGCTTGGTTACCACAACTTTTGTGCAGATGGATTCCAAAAATCTTGACAGAGGACCACAAAAATCAGCGAATGGCTGCAGCGTTGAACTTTTTGGACGCTTACATAAGGATGGTGACTCTTTACTCGATCGCATCGTACTGGTGACGAAACATGGGTGAAACATGTGAACTGTGAAACGAAATTGCAATCAATGCGTTTTGATGACGACGCACAGCTGCAAGAAGAGGTAACGAAGTGGTTGAAGGCGCAGGCGGCCGAATTTTTCGACGAAGGAATTTCCAAGCTCGTACATCGCTACGATAAATGCCTTAATTTGTATGGTGACTATGTAGAAAAGTAATATTTGAGTGTGGCTTTCATCTGTATATAATAAAATTTGTTTCCTATACTTTGTTTATTTTTTTATTCCAAAACGTAATCTACTTTCTGGATAGCCCTCGTATATCGATTTATTAGTAATTTAAAATTGCACCATTCATTTATAAAAACCCTGCATATCGAAATTATATTTGAATTTCCTGTCCCGTAATAGTAGTAATTGCATAAATAAATTATTAAATGAATAAACATAACGAACATCGCTTTTTTACTCTTTTATTCACTACATCATATCTTTTTTAATGAAAACAATTTATGCATTGCACACATATTTGAATTAAAAGCTCAATAACTGTCCGAGTCCTTTTAAGTCAATTTTAAAATAACGATAGTAAAATTTTATTTAGTTTTTCGTTGATAAAAGTTCTCTTATATTTCCATATACTGAATCTAACTTTTGCCATTTTGGTGGCAAGGGGAAAGAAGCACACTGCATTACTTTGTTACTAAAAATTACCTTGTTACCTTGTTGTTAAGCTCAAACGCAGTTTGATTTCTATATAATAATGTAGCTGCTTGATAGCACGGTGTCTCACTGCGCACACGCTTGCCAGTTCACTTAATATTTTAAATAAGGTATCCGCCGAAAACATCGCGGACGAAAATGTCGCAGAGAAAACAACGCAAGGCGAAAACGTCGTGGCATAAAACATCGTGGGAGAAAATAAAGAGAAAACATTGCGGCTCTAAAAACATCGTGGTACAAAATATCGTCGTCGAAAACAAAGAGGTTCAAAAACTGCGCAGTTTAAAAACACCGTTGTCGAAAATAACATGAGAATAACATGCGTTTTTCAGCCTTTAATAACTGTAAATGGATATTCGCATAATGACGTGTGAGCTCAAGATGGAAAGAAGGATAATTTTTACTTTCATATTTTTTATTAACCAATAAATATTTGCTGAAAATTTAAAAGGGAAACTTGCATAGAAAATTAATTCAACTTATAGTATTTTAAGCTGACATAGTTAACTAACAAAGATCATTAATAAATTATTTTTATATAGGTTTACAGGTAATTTTTCATGAAAAGTGTAATCTAAAAAGGATTAGAAAAAGAAAGATAAGTAATTGCATGACCTTATGTATAAAAAAATTCCGAAGTTAATTATGAGATTATTTTCTTTACTTTTGTTAATCTGATACTCTTAGTGGAAATTATTTCTTGTTTTATTTTAATTTATTACTTTGTTTTGTAAAGAATTATTAGTTAATAAAAATATGAATGTGAAAATTATCCTTCTTTCCATCTTGCTCTCACAAATCATTATGCGAATATCCATTTAGAATTATCAAAGCCTGAAAAACGCATGTCTGTGATATTATCGTCATGCGATGATTTGTAGGTACTTTATTTTCTACCACGATATTTTCTACGGCGATGTTTTTAAACTGTGAAGTTTTTTACTGCTTTATTTTCGACGACGATATTTTGTATCACAATATTTTAGAGCTGCGATGTTTTCTCTTTTCTTTAATTTCTCCCACGATGTTTTGTGCCACGACGTCTTCGCCTTGCGTTGTTTTCTCCGCGACGTTTTCGTCCACAATGTTTTCGGCTGTAACCTTAAATATTCTTTTCGTGTTTTCTACTTGGCTTTCCTTAAGTCACTGCATTCAGAACATATTGATCTGCTACAACCATATTGCATTTACTATTTACAACTTTTTCGTAAAATCAATAAATATTTTCTTTATTTCGATAAATAATAGCATTTTCAGTGAAGTCCGATGGTGTTAACTTTCCTTAACGGAAGATTCTTATCATTAGAAGAATGGGGATCAATGTTTTTCATACCATGACATAGTCAAGCAAATGCATGTACGTTACTACTTGTAGATAAGTTCCAGTTTCTGCAGTTTGATAGTCTACTAAATATTCTTTGGAGTTAAGCTTACTGAATATAAAATGCCCAAAACCTCTATCATTACTTAGCTTTGTGTTTGTCGCCTCATATGCTTCAGCAGCTATTAGGTGGATTTACATAAATTAGCTTTTCTTTTCTTTTTATTAATATTCAGCCCGAATGTATCAAACGTAATTATTTAAATGCAATAATATTCTTTTTTTCTTACTAATTTAAATAACAATATAGTATAGATGATTTATGATACATTTTACTGAAAAACTAATAATATATTTAATTTATAAATTTTAGAAATATTTGAACTGCAAGTATTATAAAAGATATTTCTCAAGTAATATATTATATATTTTGCTGTAGTATCATAGTGCACTTTCTGGAAAAAAAATTTCTCATCTAAATTTGCTTTCATTTTCCGCTGAAATAGGTTTAGTCATAGATAATAAGTCTATCTTCAAATGTATATTGATGCGTTTTTTTTTAAATATGTTCGCGTCTAAAATGTCGGATATTCATAGAAAGTTCGACATTTGTCCTTGCCACCTGATTTCAAATCTCTTGTGCTTCCACTTACCCACAAACGTAGTTCTTATTGAAGACGCCAGTTCTTTTATAATAAATAAAATGTGTTGAAAGATTTACTTGTCGTCATCAAAACTATAACTATTTTAGCTGATTTCGTGGTTCCTATTTAACATTTTGTAGATTTCATTTTAATGGAAAAAAAAAAGAAATCATATTAAAAATCAAAAAAGGTCTACATTTTCTTTCGCGAACTAGATTCTGAAGAAATTTGTTAAGCAGTATAATTTTTGTGCGCATTTTTATAAGCACATTTTTCATTAAGGACTAGAGTTTCATTAATTTCTTTCTTATTTACGATAAATAAATGTACATTTAAAACTGAATCTTCTATTCAATTTTCTCGATACATTTTTAATTTATCAAACAAAAGAGTTATACCGTACATTCAAGAATTATATTGATGGTAGTACATCTACTAAAAATCAGTTTTCGCTCTGTATCATGTAATAATAATGATTAAAATAAAGAATAATCATATACTTTAAATAATCATTACCCCATTCACAGAATTTTGGTGCTTCGTTAAATAAAAATTGTCTGAATAATGACACATTTTTAAAAAATATTTTAGAAAATTAAAGAATTTTTCGAAAATTGGAAAACTCGAGAGCTTGTTATATTATAGATATTTACAAATTATTCATTAGGTAATCTTACTCAAAACTCTGTTTATGATATGCATTTTCAGTTTTACAATATCATATATTAAGGTGAAGTTTAATATGTTTTTGTTATTAACTGATTATTATATTGAAATAAAGCATTTATTCTATTTCCTAGGTGGCACACATTTTATGAATACTTGCTATTTTAGAGCCATTTTTCTCTGTGAATAATTTAATAATAATTTGCTATTTTTTCCCTTCATTAGCTAATTATTTCCTTGTAGATACAGTTTGCAGAAAAGGATTAATTCCCTTCCTTTAAAATACCAAATCGCTTTCAGGTATTGGTTGGAAATATTACCTGACCCACCCTATGAATCACTTTCTGTGTTGCAACTGATGTTTTTTTAATATTTATTAGGTATTAAAAGCAACAGCTATAGCAATACTAAATTCTTCATTTCAGCAGACATTGAGAGCTCAGGTTTGAATTTTGCTTTTCGTGAAATAGCATCTTTCATTTGATGAAAATGTATGCTATGTAAGTATAGCTGTATTTATTTATGTAAAATTGAAATCCTGCAGCAAAAGTGTGCCTTTCTGAAACATTATAAAATTATTATAAATGTGTTCCAGGGAGATACTGTGTAATTTATATAATGTACTATTGTGAAAAATGAATATAGTGCCTCTGGTTAGAGAGATAAAAATGAAAATAATAATCTCAAAAAGGAATGATGTTTATCCTAATTTCTGAAATTCTAGCTTATTATCTGAACGTTGGCTTAAATGCCCATATTTTTGTTACAAAAGTACAATAAAAAGATTGAAATTATTTAATAAAGATTTGCTGTTACACAAACATCATGATGAAAGCTGAAATAGGCACCGTAAATAATGAAAAAAGATAAATGAGCTTTTAACTTGATTTTTTAAATTATAACTTATTACAAGTGAAACTCTTATCATTTTATTCTGGGGAAAGTACTTTCAAAAGAATGGCACTGACTTCTCAGTGCTGAGGTACATTTGCTATTAAACATGTAAGGTTATAAGGTATTTCTCTCGCCTTCTTGACATGCCTTTGTGGTGTGTGATCTGCACGCTGGGCGCGTATTCTAGAGGTCCGTGGTCCGATTCCCTGCGAAGGCGTTGCTCACTTTTCGTTACTCCTGCTTTGAAATAATCTTTCTCTTAATCTAATCCTGAACTTAATAATAATCTTTCTTTGAAATAATCTAATAATGTCTTTACAAGTGCACCCGATCTAAAAAGGGTGGTGGATGATGATTCTCAACAGCCAGGATTTGGCGATTGGGTCCCCGAAAACGCCAGTCGCCCTTTAAAAAGGCAGAGTATATAAGGTATTTTCCCCGCCTTCTTAGTGTGCCTTCGTGGTGTGGTGATCTGCACGTTGGGCGCGTATTCCAGAGGTCTGTGGTTCGATTCCCGGTGAAAGCGTTGCTCATTTTTCAATTTTCTTGCTTCCAAAAAAATCCTAATGTCTCTACAAGGTTTTATGTAACGAAATTCTTTTCTTATATTAATTTCTTATAATTTTTATCTTTACTGTAGCTTCAGCTTTCATCGGCTCCTAACAGGATGCAAATATATTAGAACAATGAAGTTTAAGAGAAAGCTGATGGCAGTAGTCATTGGCTTTCTCCAAACAAGTCAGAGACAGCTCTTATAGTTAACTAAACCGGCATTAACCAAGAGGTTCTCAACTATGTGAAAATTTCACAGTTTAAGGGAGAGGGGCAATACGATGAGCCTTTGATTCGCCTGCTAAGCATTTAGCTTTAGTTTATGAATATAAAAAACTTCTTTTTTAAGATAGTTAATCATTTTCCGTAATTGCTCTTATTTAATTTACAAAACACATTAGAAACTAATCTAATTTAACTAAATTTATATGTATATTTCGAGTTTTTAGAACGGGGGAGAGGAATGATTGTTTAGCAACAGTAAAAAGGGGTGAATGGGGCAAAGCAATTTAAGAACCACTACGAACCTTTTGCTAGCAATGTTTGCTCGTGTGATTAGAAGGCCTGTGTCCGAGCTTATAATAGGGTTTAGCATGCGAATTGCATATTTTTATTTACTTAATTTTGTATTAGCTTAAGTCCTCTGAGCAGAATCCCTGAAGACTAACAGAGGACGATACAACACTTGACTCTGTACACAGAGCCAAACGTCAGCTTGAAGTACACTGGTTCTTTACATGTGGGTATGATGGATTTCTAGAGAATGAAATAAACTATAATACTTTATTATGTAAACTATAATAACTTGGAAAATTGGTAAAAATAAAATTAATACAGTGGTTAGATAACCCCACACGAGATAGCACAGTCCAAACATAGTTCACTCAGCCCTTATAATTCTCATCCCGGGGAACCAGTTTAGAGATTCACAAACGGTGCTTGAACACCATGACACGACTGGAAGGATATCTTTGTCCCAAACTCCTGGAGGGCTAGTCGACAGGATCTCCGTCTTACAGGAATAAAAGCCAGATGACTTTGGCCTCAAGAGAGCTCGTGTGCTCTTGTCACGGTTAACACTTTTTTGCAACTCTTTGCGTTACACTCGCGGTAAACAGGGGTGACTTCAGTTAATGGGTACTTCCCACATACGTATACATATAATGTGAAATTAAATTAAAATATATAGAAAGAAAAACCAATGGCCATGGGATGCGGAATCGTAAAGCATTTCATTTACAGATTTTGTAGCTTATCCTTTGGCAGCCATCATTCATTACTAGCTAGTAGTTGGTCACTTAAAATAGCTGCTATTCAGGATAATTGCAACTCATTGGTTCGCAATATTTCTGTTTTAATGTAGCCTATCTTCTACGCTTTTAGGCGTACTGAAAACGAAATATCCAATCCTCTAGGTATTTTGGTGTGAAATGCACAAGCCTGCTTCTAAAGGGATTCTGTTAAAAAAAGTGCATTGAAAAATATCTTAAGTTCGTAAAAATTTGGAAAGAAACCTAACGCAAGACATAAACAATGCCATGTTTTATATATACAGTGTATATGTGTGAATGTAATAATTTCATACGTACTTCTAAGAGGTAAATTGTGTTTTGCACAAAGCAATGGGGTTTTTTATGGGAATATTTAAAAGACAAAGTACATGTTAATAAACCAGAGACTATTAGACAGCTGAAGCAGAATATTGGAGAAGAAATACTGAGCCTTCAACCAGAAACATTACGTGGTGTAATGGAAAATGCGTTTAAAAGAGCCAATCTCTGTATCGAGAAGATTGGTGGACATTTGTCTGTTGTCATATTTCATACATAATTTCCATAAAATATACATAATGTATTAAAAAATTAATCAAAATAAATTAGTATTACAAGAGTTATCCGTATTTAACATTAGTAGGTCTTATTTGGCCCACATTATATTAAAAGATACAGTCAGTGAAATGCCGTATGATACTAAAGAATGAATGCAATAAGGGCTTGACTGTCGTCTTCAGAGTAGCTGCCGCGTCTACGGAGCATAAGTAATTCTTAATATTAATATTTCCAGACGCTACTACAGTTAATTTAATATCTCGTGAGAACTGATTGGTTTGTATTCTGTGAAAAATTGTAAAAGAATTGTAAAAGTCCATTGTGTGTTGATAATGCTACATACTTTCTCTTACAAATGCAAATATCATTTTTTCTCTAATACCTTTTTCTCCGAGAAACTATGAAATTCAAATCAGTTTAAAGATCCATGATTAGTGTCTATAAACACCAGCCCTTTCGTTAAAAAAACTTCAACAGTATACACGAACATGAGAAAAATGAATGTTGATCTTAATGACTTACAGTTTTTTAATCATTGCCTGAATTTCAACAAGATATCTAAAACGGATGTGGAAATATCGATTTTGAGTCCAAAGGAGTAATCATCCTTTTTAATGGTAATTTCGTTTTTGCCACATTTTCTTTTCTGTAAACGCTTGTGAAAAAAAGAAAGAATTGTTGTAAAAGATTAATCTTTTGGTTATTTTTGGATAGAATGGTGTAGGTAATAAAGATAAATTTTCTGGAGGTATCAAAAGCTGGCCGATGCATGTGCATCAGTTCTTATGGCCGATGATATTCATCAGTTCATAAAGCCGATGATATTCATCAGTAAAGATTCCTACAGCTGAAGAGACAGTATACGCGTGCAATTAATTTATTACACACTTCGTGAAAATATTGCAAATCATCCCAAAATGTTTCACAGGAGACACAAATAATTCTAATTGTGTCAGAGAAACATATTTAAAAACTGAATGAACTGTGCAAAGAATTATTTCACATTCCACGTTACTCTTCCTAAATAATAATAATAATAATAACTTACGTGTGTTACGGTGCGTTTTAAGAAGACACCTCACACAAATTAAATTTTCCTAAAAATTATAACCAAAACCAATTTAAGCATTGCGTTTTGATTGGGTACCGGATTAACCTCGCGTGGATAACTGGGGATGATCATGAGTAATACTTAAATAAAACATACAATTGTGATCCAAAGTATATATCTGAAATTTTAGTTAGTTTCTGAAGAGGAAAATAAACAACTATCAAATAATGTATGCCAAGATTTATTAAAAATAAATTTCCCCGGGGAGATTAATTATTATTAACAAATTTTCTACAACATAATTATTCTTTCAACAGTTTCATACTATATTATGTAAAAATATATCAATTTATAACCATAGTTTAACTTAAGTATTACACTAGTTAATTTTTATACATTGCACATTTCATATGGAGTACCAGTATGGTAATCACTTAACAGATCATATAAACTCAAAAAAAAAAAAAAAAAAAAAAAAAAAAAAAAAAAAACTTAAATTCTCTTAACTTAGTAAAGAATAAATTTTCATTTAAAACATTTTAGAAGCTTAAATAAGCAGGAAATTGACATGCGCATCGAAAATTTAAAAAAAATCACCTTATCTTAAAAAAAAAAAAAAATTCGGAAATCCAGAACATTTCATAGAAGTCCCCTGTATCCCAAGACGACTCACCGCCCTCAGAGCACCCAGAATGGAGGAAACAGATCGGACGATGCGGAATAAGGATCTTTCTTTGTTAATCCCTCCTTTGTTGGAATAGTTGGTAATAGAAGACGAAAACATCCAGAAGAAGAGCATCAAGTTTGCTGTCGCAGGAATATGAAATAAATCATCGGATGGAGTTGATTCTACAGGCTTGAAGTTCATCCGTCTCAGGGTTTGATAGACAAAAAGAAGGTGAAAACATCACTTCTGTGTAGCACATACTCCTATGCATTATGCTTTTATAAGTATATATAGATAAAGCCTTTCTGACTGCGTTTAACGGACAAACTAGCCCTGGTGATATCGTAAAGACTCATTTCAGCTTCCCATGGTCTAAACTAAACGCACAACATTTTTCTTAGCCCTGAGACCAGAGTGTGAAGAAGGATAAATGTGACCTTCACCCTGAAATCATCCCGTTTTGTTAAGCAAGGTTACCACCGACGCCAATACACGCTCAAAATTGAGATAAAACCAGTTTTTACAATCACCGCCTCACACGCTGTAAAATTTCTCTTTTTTCCATGGCGTTGAACTAAACACAAATTTAAACATCGCCAATCCATCGCCCAGTCTGTAATAGCTACGAGGGCCGATCTGCCAACCATAAACTCACCCCACCGGAAATCCCTTAGCAGCGTAGGCAAAAGAGCTAGAAATTTGTTAAAAAACAGCGTTTTTACCACTTTCCTCCCTCTTTACCTTCCACACAATGCAAAATGGAAATTTCAGTTAAATAATTTACTGTATCTTAAAATATGTTAACGCTAGATTCTTGAAAGTGATCTTAAATTAAAGAGCTAATTTTTCTGCTTCTAGTGGTATAAATTAAGAATGAGTAAACTTAAGTTAAGTAATATAAAATCGAGATTATTACGTAGAAAAGCAACCGATTCCATTGTGTGTTTCAGCGCATTTACAAGTAACGAGTGGAAAGAACGTACCAATTCTTTCGTACAAAACCCCAATTAAAAAATTAAACAAATTAACACAGGTATTAAATAAAATACATATTGTGTAGCATAAATTTAGAATATTAATAAATTAATTTTAATAAGTCATAATTTAAATAATGAAGTCAATTTGCTACACAACACGTGTCATCAGATGACATCGAAAGGTTATTTCGATTAAGTTCTCTGACACATTTCATATGACTCAACTAATAGTCGTAAATAGTTTTATATAAGTTACAGCCGGCGACTGCTAAAGAAAATTCGAAAGCAAATTGGCATTAAAACTTAAGTAATAATGAAGTCAATTTGCTACACAACACGTGTCATCAGATGACATCGAAAGGTTATTTCGATTAAGTTCTCTGACACATTTCATATGACTCAACTAATAGTCGTAAATAGTTTTATATAAGTTACAGCCGGCGACTGCTAAAGAAAATTCGAAAGCAAATTGGCATTAAAACTTATGTATAAAAATGTAAGGATGCATTTAAGAAGAAAACATATTCTTCACTTGTCCCATTTAGACATAATGGCCTATAAACTTGCCTTTGTGCCGATTTCTTAAGAACTAAAATAAAAATTTATGTTTTAGAGGTTCCTCCCCAAACGGTGAATCTGATGACAATTTATCTCTATGGGCCGTACTAGTACCTTAATGCACTTGTTGACATCTGATGACTTGAAACCAAAAAGAACTATAACATATTTTAAGGTTCTAATTGAGTTGATACTTGAATCTTATTCCCACAACACTACTAGACATTTAGGGATTTAATGCTACGCCTGAGAATAGGATGATTGACACCAGCGGGCCTTTTTAGGAAATGAACTTTTAATGTAAGAGGCAGGACTTGTGCTACAAATAAACCACTAATTTGTGGCGATGTAAATTAATCAATAACAGGTAATTAAATTTCAATGATGATAAAAGTAGTCTAAGACTATACAGGAAATAATGGGAGTTCAATTAAATTTACCAGCACATAAGTTTAAAGCAATGGGCTTCGAGAAAATTCAAAATCCGGGATAATATTTTTTAGATAGAGCTCGCAAAAACTAACAGCGCTCCTAAAGTTCTAGAAACTCTATTTCTGCTAAGATGCAAAACCTTCAGCTTAAATAAACGCAAAGCTAAATTGTATTCTGGTGAAGCATACGGAAAGAAATTAAAATGGAGATGAAAATCATAATTGGTTAATTAATAAGAACCTTACATCATTAAGAATTCTTTACCCTGATTATTTCTGCTTATGAAAATTAGGTTTATGGCTAAACAGCAATGATACTAATAAAACCTTCTAATTACCTGCGGATGAAGGCCTATCCCATAGTATACATTACGAATTCTCTTTTGACATCTTCCTTCTCTCTTCCTACTTAAAAGTCACGTTATAAATTGGGTATGTGTTCATCTATAAGTGTTTCAAGCTTGACCATATAAAAATAGTGTAATGTACGAACACTTTGAATGATTGCATTGCTAAAATATTGAATTATCAGAATTGCTACTAAAGTTCATTGTTGATTAATTCCTTCAGAAATACCGGAATTTTATTTGCCTTATTCTGGGTACTGTCTGTGGCGAAAGATGATTTAATAAATCTCACGGAATGTGGTCTCAAAGCGAAATCGATTTCCTACTTAGATCTTGCCTTGGAATCGATACACAATGCAAAGGAGAATTACCCAGCCTGTAAGTATAAAACTCCTATTTATATACTTAATATAAACGTGAGAATTAGTTGAGATTACTTTTTTTTAACATTACTTTCGATTTACTTGCCCATAGATTATTCGACTCATTTATTAATTTTGTAAATTTCTTTCAGATTACTTTTGATTTAACCTATTGCTTTTCTGTTTTCTTGTTCGAATATTTTTCTTTCATTTCGGAGCAGGTTATATCTTAATGATAATTAAATTTGAAAAAAAAATTAAAAAGCAGTTTCTTAAATTTACTACATTGTATTTTGAAACACAATAAGTATCTTAATTTTTTCTTGATTAACATTTCTATATTTTTTTAAATGTAACTAGTTTTAAAAAGATCATATGCAGATGTAATTCAGAAACTAGGCTAATTTTTACATTTGTATATATTTTATATTTTATAATTTTTTATTTTTTATTGCTTTTTGTATTTTGACATTATCATTTTGTATTTGAAATTATTATGTTATTGTTTTCTGTATTTCCCTTTAGTGAGCCGCCAATCCTTCATAGCATAATTTTAATTTAATTTTATCTCTGAATTAATTAATTTCGCAGTATCCTTCGAGACTTTAGTAATATAGAGCATACATGGCCAAACTGCGGCTCGCGAGCTACTTACGATTCTTTGCCATCTGAAATATGACTTGCTTTGAATAAATATAGTTTAATTTTTCTAATAACCATGGAATTTGAAATAGAAATCTTGCACTGCCACTTTTCTTTATGAATCGCTAATTTAATTTCTTATATTATGTATGAAAATGTTTGATAGATTTTAAATTGTGCATTGCTGGTTTATCGCCAGAACAACAAATACGTAGAATTACGTAGTGTACTGATCACTAAAAACTTCTGTCAGATTCCGTTGGATGCCACACTTACGTACTGTATTAGTTAGGGCCGTCATACTGATTATTCAAACATCACTGAAATTGCAATCATATTCTTTTTTTTTTTTTTTTTTTCTGAATTCTTCTATACTAGATATCAGTAAAAGTAGTTACTCCAAAGTTTTGGGGGAAAATGCTTAACTCTTTCTTCTTTCTTAGGTTAGGATCCAAAAATTCGAATGATTTCAGTATGTTAGTTCTTATGTTAATTGTGGGGGAAAAACAACTAACCTTTTAAGCAGAAGCCTAAACAATTTAATAACTCATTTTTTAAACAAATATTCTTTCTTGAATAACAGTTTCTTTGTAGGGCGCGTTAACATATATAATTTAATTCATCCTTTCTAAAAGACTGCTCATGAATATAAAAAAAAAACACTCAGTTTTCCTTTAAATAATGATTTGTAATTTACTCAAATAACATTTTTTATGTAATTGTACTTCAATGAATATGCTTCGGATTCATTTTGCCCAGTACAAGAGATACAAATTTTTATATTTTTGGGACTTAACTTTTCTGATTACAAATCAGTAGATGTAAGATGTATTTAATCATATTTATATGTGATCATGTTAATCACATATAAATTAATTTACTTCAAAAATTTCTTTATATTCAAAACCTGTCTCATTATTTTTAAAACGATATAAATTTGAACTTGCGGCTCTCGAATGTTCCTAAAATCTATCATGCGGCTCCCATAGTCTTGAAGTTCTACCATCACTGGTGTATGGCATCAGCATTTAAAGAAATTAAAGACTTACTTATCAAACATATCGATTTTTTTTTCTGATGCATATATTATCTTTGATTGCAATACAGGTTTGAGCCAACAGTTTCTCAGTAACAGTTTGTAAAATGAGATCTTGACCTTCGTGTTGAAAGGAGAACGTCATCTAAATTACTGTGTTAATGCACAAGAAAGAATTCGAACGTTTTAGAATTTTACACAGCTCATTAGCAACATATCCACACGTATATTTTTAGATGCATTTTAGGAATTGCAAACATTTAAACTCTTTTTTCTTAGGCACTGATTCTACAAAACCCCAAGACTGCGAAGATCTACTTAATGAAGGTTATAATGCCAGTGGAGTATATAGAATTTGGCCCAGGAGCAGAGTCATGGAAGGCAAATCTTTAAAAGTATTTTGCGATATGGATACTGATGGAGGAGGATGGACGGTAATATATATATTATTATCTTTATACTTAGTTGTATGCCTGAACCTTTATCAACAAATTCTTCTAATTTCATGTTACATCTTAATGAAAAAGTAAATTTTAAATTTGACTTAATAATACAAAATGATTTTTGACTTCAGAAATGATTCAAAAATTCATAAAAAGTTTAAATATCACTAAAAACGAATAAATGATGATAGTTGTAATGACAACATTGTCTAAATGACGACTATTTAAAACATGAATAAAAATAGTAAACTTGCCCATAGATGGCACTCACAGGAAGACATGAAGTTCACAGCAGAAGTCCATCTAGCAACTAAATGCGTGGTTCTTTAATTTATCCTCACCAGTGGCTGAATGGTTAAGACCGCTGAATACTTGCAGACCGACCTAGGTAGAAGTCGAAGCAAACAAGCAGGCTTCATAGTGCATTTTTTGTAGTTTTCACCATGTACAGCATGAATGCGATATCAAGTTTATCTCATAAAGCCCTCTGAGAGGTATCCCTCCCCTTAGAATAATATGCCTTGCGTGCTTGGCCACAGTCAAATAACTTAACTTAGCCTTTAATTTGACTTCAGAGGATTTTTTGTTTTGGAAATATTTAGATGCATGAGCATACAAAAATGGTCCTTCTACATTGCCGAAATGGAAAATGTTATAGAACATGAATAAAAAGAGTACGAAAACTTAACTATAGATATTACTCACAGGAAGTTGATATCAAAAGTATGTCTACGAAGTAAATGCTTGGTCCTTTAATTTATCCTCACCAATGGCTGAGTGGTTGAGACCGCTGAATACATGTAGCTCGACCTAAGTTAAAGTCGAAGCAAACGGGCAGGTTGTATGGTGCATTTTTTGTAGTTTTCACCGTGTACAATGTGACTCGATATCAAATTCATCTCACAAGGACCCCTGAAAATTATCCCTTAGAAAAACATCCCTTGTGTGCTTGGCCACAGCAACAGGCAAAAGTGGACGGAGCACCAGAACTTTGCATATGCTCACACAGGTATTGCTCCGTCGCACAACTGTACAAGTCCAAAAACTCCCCACAGGTCCCAAAAGGCACGACATCAAGCAGCTGCAGTGGCACAACACCAAGCAGCGAATGATCGCTACCCATAACTCCATGACCATCCCCTCCGGTGGGGATCAGGCCCTTATTCCGTTGGTTCTGCATTTATTAATTTTGTACGAAATTTACAATTGGTACCATTTACTGTGGTGTATATAATATCGTTTGCAATAATACAATCCCAATATGATATGATAATATAACTTAAAAATTCATAATAAGGAATAAAATTAAATAAAATTGCAATAATATTTAAGGAAAAATAAACGTCTTTGTCTTTCTTAAAGTAAGTCTTTATCATTTAAAAAGTTTGTAAATTGAAAAGTTCCTTCTTTTAATAAGTCTCTGTCATTTGAATATCCTTTCCTTTTATAAGATTTATAGAATTGAAATTTCTTTCCTTCTAAAAATCTTTGTCATTTAAAAATCCCTTTTCTTTTACAGAAATCGAAAATTCATATCGTATTCTTTATAAATAGGCTTTTTATTCTGTAAAGTCTTTGCCCTTATTCATAATAAGCCTTCATTCTATTCGTGCTTGGCCACAGTCAAATGACCTAACCTAGCCTTTAATTTGACATCAGAGGGTTTTTGTTTCCGAAATGTTTAGATGCCTGAGTATACAAAAATGGCTCTTCTACATTGCCGAAACTGAAAAGTGTTATACAACATGAAGCGTATTTCCTTCATCTCGACCTGCCAGATTCAGTTGGCATCAGCAATGTCACATATTTGCTATGCATTACACATTTTAGTGGAGCTCATGTCAGTAATACTTTCTGATAAAGTTAAGAGTTTATGTTTCAACTAGAATACTTATCCATCTGAGTAAGTATTCTAGTGTATGGATGTATATTTTGTTTTATTATAGATTATTCAAAGGAGAGGAAATTTTTTAAGACCTAAAGATTATTTCTACCAAGATTGGGATTCCTACAAGAAAGGTTTTGGCAACATTGAAAGAGATTTCTGGCTTGGTAATTATCTTCTTTAGCTCCCTAATGAATATTTAACATTTCATGAAACTTCCAAAGTTTAACTTAATTTAATAATTCAGTTTAATGCATTGATTTTCATTTTACAGTATGATTCAAGAACTGTTACAAAAAATATTTGAACTTGAATGAGTTTACACTTTATAGCTTTGCATAAAATGACCGAGAGATTCTTAAGGAACTTTATGAGACAGTAAAAACCCCGATTAACGAGATAATAACAGGAACGACGACTACACGTAGCCAAATAAAAACACGTTTAACTCGATAGCTCGATAGCATTTAAAAAACAAACTTTAGAAGAATAACTTGTACCATCATTAAGAGAAAAAACTATAAACAATTTATCTATACTATTAAGTAGTTTATTTCAGGTAATAATTTCATTCGGTCATGTAAATTAAATCAGCATTCAGACAAAGAATAAAATTCAGAAAGAAAGGAAGATTTTTTTTTTTTTTTTTTTTTTTTTTTTTTTTTTTTTTGTCTATATAATTTTAATTTTCCATAGGAGTCAAATAGGAAACTGAAGACAAATAGCTATGTACTTAATTTATTTTTGCGATATATCAGTTTCTTTTTAATAGTGATTTAACAATATTTAAGTAGTACAGATTATGTAAAATAAATTACTTAATGTAGGGAATATAACCAGTTGTTAAACGCTATGAAATCATTTGCTATTATCAAGTTATATGATGCATTTTCTTCTCTATTTTTTTCCTTTCCCATAGAAATTTTGTTGGTTTGTATTAGTAATTTTCCATTTCTACACAAAAAAATTTAACTTTTATTTTCCTTTATATACGCTTAGGTTAATCCACAGGCCGGTGAATCGGGAGTTGACTGTATATACATTTCGAATTATATTTGTTTTCATAGACAGCATCTCATCCATAAAATTGAAATGTGCCACATAAAAAGTGCTGATTTTCGTAGTTATTGTCATTGATCCTTGCCTAGGAAAGAAGTAGTGAAGATGAGCAGTAGAAATAATGTTTGCGCATACGTGTGACTTCTAAGTGAAGTAGTTCTAAGAATAAAGATATAACTGGAAATCAGATCCAGCAGATCCAGCGATTTGAGGAGCTTTCTCATCCTGAAAAATAAATCTCAATAAACCATGTACTCAGGTTGTTGTGAAATAGAGACATCCTTCAGCAACAGTTGCTTATCTGATAAGCTGTGTATCTGATGATCTCTGTGGACCATTTAACTGCTAATGGGGCAAAGTCATGCATAAAGTTATCAAGACTAATGTTCCTTCTAATCTGTTTTACGAACATGACGAATCCTGACTACACAGTGAGTTTGACTACAAACTATGTCCTATGGAGTGTAGCAAGGATGACAAGATGAGAAGGGTTAAATTACCCTTTATTTTCCATGATATTACAGGCGCTCCCGCATTTCGGGATACAAAGACGAACCACTTGTGGTCTGAACGTAAAAAAAAATATAAGAACTACTGACTAACTAAAATTTAAATAAAAGCTAACTTTGAATACTTTACACAAATGACTAACACTAAGATTGGCCTTTTAAATTATTGCGTATGTAGTACGCAAAATGCGGAAAACTACAATACGTCTTTAGCTTTCGAGAGGAATAAAAACTCTGGTCTTAAAGGCAGACAGCAACTGATGGCAAGCTCGCGTGAAATGCAGTGGCAAGGCGACTCATTCTCTCCATCTAACTCTGCTCTTGGCAAAAAGCCACAACTTAAATACTTAAGCGTTAACAAGTACAATTTGCATAAACAAGTTAACGCGTTAATTCTGGTCGGAAGTGGAAAATAAGAGAGGATAGTAAAGTTTTAAAATAAAATAAAAGTTAGTAAAACTTAAGATCATTACAAAGTGACTATTCATCATTAAATTCCATACGAAATTTGAAAGTAGAGTTTTTTTCAGCACAAGCAAGAAGGAGTGATGCTTCATTCTGCCTGAATGTCAAAAAATGCAAGGCGGGCTTTTTTCGCAAGTTAGGAAAGTTTTCTTTTGGACTAGCATAATACTCGTCTGCGACAGGGAGAATTCTGAAGCTACTATGTTCAGGATTGTGAAGACTGTTCCCTTTTGGTAGATATCATTATTATTCAATAAAATTCCTTAAACAAACCATAGTTTTACGCATTAATGTGGTAACTGTTAAATTACTTTGTACGATTCTAGCTAAATTAAAATTTATTTTTGTTGACTAGATCTTTACTTGAACTGTGAAGCGAATTTTCTCTAAGTTCAACTTTATCAATGACAACGAACAGAAAGTGTGAAAAGACCCTTTTGTTCAACTCAAGAAAGGATTTCCAGTCGGCCTTCCTGATGCTTACAAAACTAAGCAAATCGGCAATGAATATGCACGGCTGGCAAAATAGCAAGCTTACATATCAGCGAAACAACGTGGCCGAAAGGCAGAGCATGCTCTCTTTGAAGTAATTGAGACGCCAGCTTAAATAGTATCTTTGTGCCCTACTTTGTATATCACGCGAAACTGGAGACATGAAAATGAGGAAAGATAGAAAAGCTATTTAACTGGACAAAACTTGTTAGTTTAAAACTAAAATAGCATACCTTACAACTTTATAATTTCTCATAATACAATTTTTTAGATGTTTACTGACTTTTGCATACTTTTTTTAAATGCGTAGGTTTTCGTAGATTGCTTGAAAGAAAGCCGTGGGTGTATTGTCAATGACACAGTGTTTATCAAATGTGATATTTACTGATTTTGGAATACTTTGGTACTTTTACAGGTTTTCATATATTTCTCGATGGCAAGGTAGATCGTAGCTAAACGAGAATATAGCATCTATAGAAGGTCTTATCGCTTTCTGTATTGTTCTTTTATGTGATTTTGCATCTGTTCTACGTTCTGAGGATGATTGTTAGATTATCGTTTCAACGTTAATATGGGGTATATCGATGCTGTCTACCTCCCTTTAAGTAGAATTTTAACAGACATCGTTTAGAAAACAGAATTTTAAAAGCATGTAAAAATTTCGGTACCAGGATACCAAGTGCAGTCACTGTTCGTAAACGTTTGAGCTATGAATGGCCAAGCAATCTATGAATGGCCTAAACTGAGGTAATCACTAACTGATTTAAAGCTGGCATTTAAAGCACTGGGTGGGGCGTTTTATATTTTTCTATTCTTATATTAAAATTAAAAATATTTTTAGCATTGTAGATTGCATTACCCTCTGCAGAGTTGTCAAGTACAACAAAAAAGAGCGGTAGTTCCTCGTATATTTCTTCTATTCTTCGTGTGAGTTGTTTTACCTTCCGGACAGGGAATTTCCTTTCCATCCATTTCCATTTCTGGGATTCCTTTAATTACAACTTTAGTGGCTTTTTTCGTCATCAAACAGATACGTGTGATAATTTCTTTTTAATTTCTCTAGTTTCAGGGTAATATTTCGATAATATTCGGCAGTTTTGGAGTAAATAATTCCTTCTTAATTGTGATTCATATTTTTCACAGCAAATTTTTCGTAACTTACTATCAAGTTCAAGCCAATTTAGGTTATCCTATTTAATTACTATAGAATGGATACTTTTATCTTCAGTGTTGAAGACATTATCTGTTCTGTCTACGGACACTTCAGAGGGAAGATTGCTGAAGCGATTATCGATTATTTTGGGAGATGTCTGATTTTATGGTGCTGTCATCAAGGATTTTAGCGAATTTTCTGGGGTAAGACCAGTCTGAGTTTTATATCTGTGGATTCTGCTCTTTTGCTGGTTTCGGCTATGTCCTTCATAAGGTTTGGGAATATTTTTTGAAGTTTTTCATTTTTATCGGATTTTTCTTTTTCGGCTGCTATTAATTTTTGTATTTTTCTTTTGTGTCTGTAATTTATGTAATCATCAGTTTCTTCATCTAACATTTGCTTAAAGATGGAGTCGTCTTCATTAACTTGTTTACCGAATTCAAACTCATTACCATAATTTTCAATAGCGGCTTTGTAAATGCTTTCTTTTTCACGTTGATTTAGTTTACGATTAATTTGAGCATCTGTAATATCCGTCATCGTAATCTTCATCGAGCTATTTCTACTCGTTGACTTATCAGATTCTTTCGCTACCCACATTTCGAAAGAGATTGCAGCAGAACATTAGAAAAGCTATACTTACGGAGCACTTCAAGATGCAACATTCAGGTACCAAAGCTACCGTCTGAATGGGAGCACGAATGGAGGCCTGCGACCAGTTTTTAATCTGAACGGCCTCCACATTCCGAAAAATTCCCCAATTTGGGAAGAAACTCCACTCAAAACCGCGAAGAAGAAAACAGTACAAAAATGTCCACTTTCCCCCCTCAGAAGTTCAAACAAGTTCACGCAACTTCCGCCTTTAATCGCCATTTGGCCAAAAAAGGTAGTAACCCCTTATCTCACACAAATCACCCTACCCAAACACAGGAAACGTGAAAGTGACTTTGTCCTCCTACCGACACGTACGCTATCCAAACTAATTTTAACACTCGAAAGAATTTAACCGGATTTACAAAATTTAGATAATTAATCGGGCATATCTCTAATTCTATTGAACATATCTTAATGAAAAGATAAAATTTTTCTGATTAAGTAGTTTAGGTTTCTTATATAAATAATCAAATTAAGCAATTTTAAACCTCAATATTACGTAGAAATTCGACCATTTGCCCAAATGTCTTATTCGTGTTAGCTCAGAAAATAAGTGAGAAACAGAGTTTAACTTAACTTACAGGAAACCCAATTAAAAAATGGAACGATTAATTCTTTCATTAAATAAAATAAGATTGTGTAGTATAATTATATTATATAGATAATTGTGTAGTATAAATTGAATAATTGATAAATTCATTTTAAATGACTGCAAAGTGATACATAATAACGTTAATAAAGTTAGTATTAATTCAGTAGACTTAAATTAACTACACAACTGTTGTTTTATAAAAACGAAAAGGGAATTCTTTAACGCATGGTTTTAAATGCATTTAATAGAGTAAATTAAGATTATGTTTCTTTTCAGGAAATGATAATATCTTTGCACTAAGTAGTCAAAAGATTTATTCACTTCGAATCGATTTAACGGACGTTGAAGGCAACACGAGCTATGCTCTCTATGACGAATTTTGGATTGACGATGAAGCTCATAACTATACATTGCACGTGAATGGTTACAGCGGAGATGCTGGTGAGAAAATTTTGCAATTTTAGAATTTTGTTTTATTTATCTTTTTAAAAGCGAATTGTATTCAATAGATTCAGTGAAGAGTTTCGTGTTGCGAAAATACTTGTATATGGGTTTGTTTCACGACTACTATGTGAAAATGACTGCTAACAAGTATATTCAAGTATTATTTCTAAATATCCATTTATTTAGCAACTGCGGTTACCGTATAGAGCCTTACTCTTTTTGGAAGCATAAAATGTAGACACCACGTAGAAGACGGAGTAGCGAATACCTCCCTGTGTCTTTAAAGAGTGGATACTGAAGAAGAAGGTTTTAAATAACCTTTTCATTTGAACTAAATTTAACAAGATCCATGCACTCGGTGCTTAAAATTCACCACCACTTGTGGCTGAACTAAATTTAACAGAAAATAAAAATGTAACGAATCACAATAAATTTGAATGGCTAACGTCTGGCTCCTTAGTTTTCTAAACGCTAAATCGCCTGCAAAGAGCAAAACTCGGAACTAATTCCGCTATACCGTACTTTCGCTACTTAGGAACTCTTGAAACGCAGCTTAAATACTGCTTCTGAAACACGGTTAGATTTTGCTTACTACATCATTTAAAATTTACATTCCAGCAGGAAACTGAAATCAGGAGGAACAGAAAGTCGAATTAAAAGTAATTCGTTAGAATAAAATAAGATCTTTACAACTGACTAAATAGTTTTAAGGCTATTCTTTGCTGAGAAATACACACTTTTGCAAAACAATCGAAGGGCCAAGAAGGGCTTCTGTGATCGTGACGAAATTTGGTATGCAAAAGCATCTTGTTCGAACATGCAAATGATCAATGTTTCAAGGCAAATGAACAGGAATTGTGATCATAGCGCGCATTTCTGATGCGCAAAAGTATAAAAGCAGTAACAGAGGCGGAAAACTTATCTTTTTTTGTTGCTGCCATTGCAATTCCGTAAAGAAGCAACTAAAAATGCCATTACGTCGATATCAAAGACCTTACAGACAACAAAAATGACTTTGAACGTGGTCGCATGAACCTGGGTGGTCATACCGAGCAATAGGCCGCCACCTGCAGCGTACAGACACTGTTGTGCAAAGATGTTGCCAGCAATGGTTGCTACAAGGAAATTTCCGACGAAATGAAGGCTCTGAAAGGCCAAGGAGCACAAATGCGAGGCAAGATAGGATGATTGTTCGCCAGGCCCGAACCGCCTCAACGGTATCATTGTCGACTATTCAACGCACTACAGCCACGTGTATACCTCCCATGGTACCGTCCACTATATTACGGCGCTTCTCTGAGGTGGGGTTACGCTCACAGAGGCCTTTAAGACGTTTGCCTTTGACCCCACAACATCGGCGGAGTCGTCTGGAGTGGTGTCGCAGCCGATCATCATAGCTGCAATCAGAATGGCATCATGTAGTGTTCAGCGATGAATCCCGCTTCACTCTTGAAGCAGATGACCACCATCTTCGTGTCTGGAGAGGACCGGGCCTGCAATCCCAATGAGCCTTTGTTTTACAAAGGCATACAGTCTTAATATCTGGTGTAATGGTGTGTGGCTCTATTTCTTATGACAGCAGGTCATCTTTAGTCATTTTCGGTACATCTTTAACAGCTCAACGATATGTTAATACCATCCTGCGGCCAGTTGCATTATCCTTCATAGCAAATCATCCTGGGGCCATAACGTCTGGAGCATGGTAGGCCGCCAGATTTTGGCACCACAAAATATCGCAGATCTGGAGCAAAAACTGATGAATGCCTGGCAGAATGTGTCGCAGGATGACATTGGGAACATCTGCCACTTCTTGCCTCGATGAATTCAAGCATGCATTGCCGCCAAGGGCGGTTCGACCAACTAGTAATTTGAAGACTCAATGGGTGATTGTGAGCCCTAAACAGGTACTATAACCTTCATTTTTAACTATTTTATTAGCTGTGTATGAGCTATACGCATATTCAATTTTATGAAAAACCACCATGGTGCTTCGATTTTTTTGCAAAAGAGTCTATATTAGATGGAGTGTTATCGCATAATCTGCCGTCGGCTCTTATCGAAGTAACGCGGCATCATGTCCATTGTGTGCACGTGTCATAGGGTTCATTCAGGGGCAGTTTTTCCCGTTTATGAAAAATTAATACTCTGGAAGTATTGATTTAGTATGACGTCCAAGCATATTACAAGATATTTGATGAGTGTGGCCATAACTATCCTTTTTTACAGTATATCAAACCTCTAACGGCTTGTTAGGATCGGTTGCTAGAACTTTGGTAACAAAGCGACATATTTTTATTACAAATGAAAAAAGTCAGAATAAATGCAAACAGTCAAGGGTCAAAAGAAAAATATGTACAAAATCGTACAAAAGAAACAGTAGAGAGCAAACAATGTATAAATGCGAAGATTGCAAAAGACACTAGGACTGAGTATATAAATCCATTCTTAAATGCAGAGCAATAACCATTACCATTTTTATCCTGCCTTTTTTGTTTTTTAAGATTTATTGCTCCTTTGTGAATTTACATATGATAAATAATAGATATTATTTGATATATTACATTATGTTATGTTACTAAAAACATAATTTAAAATATAATAAATTATTTTGAAGAATAAAAATTCAAGAGCAACTCGGATTTGCCTGATACGCACCTCAGAACGTTATTAAATATTATTATCAATAGCGAAAAAATTAATATGGACAACGAACGAAGACCATTTTTAAAAAAAAATTGCTTTAGGCCCATAGGTTTCAATGAAATACAGGAAAACGTTTTATGATAAAATAAATTTGTACACAACATGACTGACCACTGGCGAAGATCGTCCTTGATGTAGCATCAAAAGCGTAATTAAATCTTAATTTCTTAAAAGGGAAAGTGACCTTAATGTTTTCACTTCACTCTAGCTATTTGAAATACAAAAATTCTCATGAAAGCGCTGAAATAATCTTACCTAAAATTAAAGCAGAAAATTAATCGATAACTGGTAAGATGGTAATTTAACCACTACTACGATCTACTATTCTAAAGAATTATACATTCACTTTGTGCATGATCTCATAGTATAAGCAATTAGTAAGTTCAGCTATCAATTGGAACTGGGGCAGACGATTGTACCATGTTTTTGCATTTCTCGCACAGAAAAATATACAGTTCACTACATTGACAGTTTTATTCTTTCTGTCTCCGCCTTTTTTACCAGCCCAGGTCTCCATTTTTGTATCCTTTTAGCAGGGAACTCGTTCTGCCGTTTTTAACTTGGTGAGAGTGTGAAATTACATGCAAATGAAATGTCAAATTTGTTTTTAAGCATGATTTGAAATTTCACTCTTGGACAGGTATCAAATAATTTCTGACCTTCTCAGTCTGAACAAATATTTCTGTCTAGCTGAAGCCCTGAAAGAATTTTTCTCTCTTAGTAATTTCTCATAATAGAAAACTGGCAGTGAGCGCAAGGTGACTAAGCAACTGAAAATTATCTCCGTACTTTTATTTTTGTACAGAGCTAATCGTTATGAGAATTTGTGCTTGCGTCTTTTGTATGATATCAGCGTGAGAGCAATGCCTGAAAGGTTGTCTGCTATGAAAAACATCTATCTTAAAAGCAGAATATCATCGTGTGTTTTGCTGTCATTAATTAATAATTTTACTGTCATTAAGATTCTATAATTGTTTAAGATTTGTTTCCACAAATTAACTTTTCGAATTAAAGTGAAAAACTGAACAAGTTTTTCGAAAAATAATAATTACTTTTTTTAATGCTTGTTATTTTCTTACATTCTTAACGCGTTATTTATCAAATTTGCTCCTTCCTTTTCTTCTTCATTTTTAAGTTCTGCTTATTATCATTGCTCCCTCTGATTCCTTCTTAGGTTCTCTCTACAATTTAACTTACATTTAAAATGACGCAGCATGTGAAGATATATTTGAATACAAATGGTAAAGAATATCGCCAAAATGCCTGCATTTCCTTAATCTTTTCTATAGTGAGGTAGTCTTGACAGTGCTTTAGTTAGTGATCAAGGAGCAAGCATGCCACACTTGTGCTGTGAGTTGTTTCAGTTTACTAGCTATAACACTAAACTCTTTACAGTCTTAGTTTACTTAGCCTTCAACCTGAAAGTGCTTCAAGTGTTACATACATATTTTCTGTTACTGAGTTTGCAATCTGTGCATCAGTATTTGTTAACTGTATCAAAACCTGCCATTTTATGTTCGGTGACTATAATTTAGTTTTTTTTTTTACATAACGAATACATCTAACACAATCTATCCTAAAGTAACTGATGTAATTTAATAGATCAAACAAAGTATTAACACGAAGATAAAAGGGACAAAAATATAAAGACAAGACGCAAGACATACATTTTTAAATACAAAAATGTATTTTAAAAATTACTAAAGTAATTATCAACTACGTTTTTCCTCTTTCAAATATGATGTACTTCTCAAAGAATCATTTTTTCATTATTCGGCTCCAGAAAGAAAAATCAGGAACGATATTCAACACGCTTTCAGGGCATAGTTTGATGCAAATCTTTTTCAATAAGTACCGTCTTACAGAAAGTGATAGAAAGTTACAGTTTAATAGAAAGGCTTTGGGTCAAAAGATGCAATTTTAAGGGATAAGGTATTGAATCATCAGGCCGGTCAACTAATTTCCTCACTACCACATCGATCATTACTTTTCGAGGAATTTAACGTTGTTAGATCCCATGTTTTGTCTTTTTAATTGATTGATCTAAGCAAAGTTCAGCATCGAACAGAGCTCATCTCCAGAACAGTAAAACATTGTATGCAGAGCAGAGTTTTACCTGTACATCAAACTAATTTTAGAGGGCATACGTTTCTAGAAAAATTCTTCTAAACATCGTTTCGCATTCATAAGTGTGATGCGATTTTAAGTCATCCAAGTTTTAATTTGAGATGACCTGTGATGAAGACCAGAAATCCGTTTCAGAATACGAAGATCTCACATTAAGCTTTTTTAAAATCAATAAATCTTAAAATTTTCGTTAAAGGATTATTAGTTATAATCGTAAAACTATTAATTGTAATATTTATCAAAAACGATCGCGTTATTAGAAATTTTTCAATCATTTTGAAATATCCACCGCATCTCATAAATCTTTAACTATTATACGTTTTTAGATTTTACTTGTTTATATTTTATTGCTTAATTTACGTAACACTAATTTTCACGGTTTAATAGTTCTTTATATGAGCGGTAAATCGTCAGTATCGACAGAATCTTAATATTGTATCTGCTTGCGATTTATTGCTATTGCTGACGGCTGGATTGTTGTTATTAACTAGGTAACTATAGAACCTGAAGGAGAATTTAATACAGAGATATAGTTAAGAAGCAAAGTTTTCAGAAAATTGAACGTTGTAAGAATGTAAATAAATTTAAAATGTTACAAAACATTTATAAAATATTAATTAAACTTTTAAAATTATGCAAAATCTTTGTAATATTTACTGTAATGTAATTAATAAAATTTTCAATACTATTAATTTTTTAAAGGTGATTCACTTCATCTAGCACATAACAATCACCAATTTTCGACCAAAGATCGAGATAACGATGGCCTTATTAACAACACTTGTGCTCAACTCTACAAAGGAGGCTGGTGGTACAATGCCTGTCATGCATCAAATTTAAATGGACTCTATTTGAGGGGAAAACATGAGAGTTATGTTGATGGAGTCGTCTGGTACACTTGGAAAGGTGACCATGAGTCCATGGATACTGTGGAAATGAAACTGCGATCCAAGGATTTTACCTCTTCTCCAATATCTTCAGATTTTATTACAACTCAGTAAATTAGTATATTAGAATGTCATTTGTTGCTAATTTAATAAATTTCAAACTAGCTAGAATGACATTGTATTAAAAAATAAAGCATAGTTTTATTTGTTAAGTATGACATCAATTTAGTGTATTTTAAGATGAGCCCCTCTAATTTCATGTATTCATATGGCAGAAAATATTGAACATTTTACACAGGTGCACGTCAGAATATAACGCTACTTCCGCATGAGAGAGGCTTCAGAACTGCAAAATAGTAAATTACCTGTACACTCGCCGCACTATTTATTTCATTATAAAAATTAAATATTTTGAGCTATAGTATAAACTTAAACTTCAATGAATGTTAAATCAGCTATCAAATCTACCAAATCATAGAGTATATATATTGAAGTTTCAGTTTTACATTTGTAAGAGACACATATATAGATTTCAAATCTTATTTGAAACAAAAATATCTTCATCCAGAAATATTTAATTATACTCAAGCTATATTTATTTGCAGTCAGTGCAAAAGGCTAGTAGTAGCATTTTTTTACTCGTTAATTAGCGAAGCAAATAAATGAACCGATTTTGCTTGGACGACACAACTAGCGAAGGATATTTTTATTGGCGTATCAGTTAATTTTAAAATGGAGTGCCTAAAAATTAAACATAGCGAAAATTAGAACAAAAGAAACGTGACCGAAAACTTCAGATTGCTGTGCACAATTCAAGCTGTTAAAGTTTTAAAAATTATATAATAACTAAATCAAAAGATTAAAAGATAAAATATAAAATAAATTAACCGATGAATAAAAATTGTAGAAATCATAAGATTATAAAGAAATTAAAATATTCTATTGGTATACATATTTGATTTTAAGAGAAATTACTAAAGAGCGGCGGACCTTCCCCCTCTGTTCTCCTCTGATTGCGCTACTGTTTTGAAATAGTAATACTTTAAATTTTGCCAATATAAGAATTACTTGGAATGAAATAACAGATGCCTCGAAGAAGCTTCTTTCAAAATACTAAACAAAATAAACATATAATATGCTTTAGATTTTTATTAAAATAATAAAATTGAATTCTAAAATACATATGCAAAAGTTTCATGCTTGCAAACCTTTGTAATTTTCACAACAAAATATATAAAAATATTATCAGTACAGATTCAGTTTATTAGTACAGCAGCTGAAGTAATAGACAACTGAAACTGGTATCTAGTAATAACCAGTTTCCAGACAATTTAACTTTATTAGAGTGGAGAGTCAATGTCTTGAATAAACAAGGAAATTTATTTTGTGCGCCAATTCCTTCATACCAAGTATGCAAGTGATTAAATTTTCAAGTATAGTGAGTATTAGCTTTCATAACGCATGTTTGTACAGCGCAACTAGCATCATATAAAACAGGTGAATGTGGCATACGGTTTATCGTTTCTCATTGTCGGCATTGCAATTCTCTAAAGACAAAACCAATAATGCCGTTACGACGTTATAGAAGACTTTATAAATACTCTGACGTCTTCGAACGTGGCCGCATAGTATGGACAAAGAACGTCTATGTAAAGAAGGAAAGGCTCCATAAACGTAATGTAAACCAGTTTGTCTTCTACGCCGCTAGAAAGAAGAGGGAAAAGAGATTTGGCGACGGAACCTGTCGGCGAGAATTTCCTCCTCTGTGATATACCGGACCTGGCCGAGATTTTCCTCCTCCCCGACGCGTACAGGAAATTGAAGAACACGGGTTAAGATGAATAAGAAAATTAGGTGAAGTTTCACTTTCACTGGCTGTTGAACTTGCATTATCCATATCACAGTTTGATGTCTGATTTTATATCCGTCAATATGGAGGGGGAAAAAATGGAGTTACACACACTTTAAACTCTTGATAAACGTGACCGTCGAACCTGTTCGAACTTCGACATCAGCTTCGAGCTTTGGTGCTTTTTGGCGACAGATATTTCACGCATGTCCAGCTGTTTACATTTTCGTTCGAAGGGAGCCACTGCAGCTGCTGCGAAGTTTTCCTTCTTAACAATACATATTCCTTTGGTATGGATGCGAGAAGTGGATCGGCCATTACTGAGCAACAGGCCGCAATCTGCACCATACAAGTACAGTTGTGCAAAGGTGTGCAACAATGGTTGCAGAAAGATACTCATAAGAAATCATGGGAGGGGCACGTATGCGAGGCAAAAACGGATGATTGTGCGACAAAATCGAACTACTCCAACGACACCATTATCCGCTATTCAACGGAATATAGGAATCATCGGTGGAATATAGGACCATCGGTGGTATGGAAGAGGCCATACCACCGATAGCTTCACCATATCACGACACTTGGTTAAGAAGAGGTTTTCCTCACGCCTGTCTTTAAGACGTTTGCCTTTAACCCCATATCATCGACACAATCATTTGAATGCTGTCGTAGCTGAACATGAAAGCGATACCATTCGGCTGGAATTCGAATGGAGATACATAGCAATTACCCTGGTGTGATGGTGTACAATGTTATCTGGTACGAATGTAGGTCAACCATAGTCCTCATACATGCAGCTTTAACAACTCAACGATAATTGATGCTATTTTGCGTCCGCCTGCTTTGCACCTAATGAACCGCTATCTTTTAGCCATTTTACAACAAGATTTTTTGTAAAATGGCTACAAGATAGCGGCATATTTGTGGACTGTCCCTGAGCTTCTGATACTTTTCATCGATCAGCAAGGTCATCAGACCTTCCGTCAATCGAACATGAATGGGATAAGGTAGACGGCTAGATTCAGGCACTTCAAAATGTCGCAGATCTGGAACAACAGTTGAGGAATCCTGGAAGAATGTATCTAAAGATGCAATAAGGAATCTTTATCACTCTTTACCTCAACGTTTACAAGCATACATCGCCACAGGAGGGTTCCGCAGTTACTCGATTTGGGCATTCAGTGTGCTATTGCTAGATACTGATGAGTGCTACGGCTTTGAATTTTTAATAATTCCTTTACCTGTGTATGAGCTTTTACGCATATTTAATTTCAATAAAATCAGTCAGTTTTTTTCCTGGTGTGTATTTTGAGCAACGCTTGAAGAATAAGTTGCATATCTGTAATTTTTCGATTGTTTTTCTAACCGAAGGACATTTTTAAAATCCTAACTAAAAATTAGAGGTGATTACGGATTCGGTATATAGCAATTGAAGATTTGAGATCGTTATGTTTATTAACTATCTATATTTAGGGAATTTCTTCACTGTACATTTTCATACTAGAAGTTTGATATATATATATATATATATATATATATATTATGTATGTATGTATATGTATTTTCAATTTCAAAATGCAAATATTAAAATTCAGAAAGCAAGTAGTTACTGATATTTTCTCTATATAATTCTATAAAGTATTTTCTGAATCAGGTATTTTTTATGCAAGATGGAGAACAACCGTACATTGGTTTATCGGTATAGCCGCTATTGTGCAATCACTTTAGATAATAATTGTGCAATCACTTAGAAGATAGGGTCATGCGTCCACTTCTATAGCAGCCTCGCTCCTCAGATCTAACCCCATGTTACTTTTCTTGTGGGGGTTATTTGAAGTCCGGGATCTATCTTGGTAGGATCCCGATTTAGGTTACTTTATATGACAACCGGGCTGTGCTGAGCATTCCTGGTAACCTGTTACGTTCGGCCTTCGAGAATGCTGTGTATAGGATGCAAACTGTGGTTAACAAGAAGAGTGGTCACATTGAAAAAGGTGTATACCCACACCCATGAAGCGCTTTTATTGAACAGAATGCTAAGGAGGACAGAAATGTTATCTCTAACCGTTTGTAGCAGTTCTTTTGCTGCATTAAAGCGGTGCTGCGTTGAAATTGCTTCTTCTTATTCATTTGTTTAATTTTCAGCCGTGTAGACTAGAACAACACTAAATTTCTCTCTATCGGAGACTTTGGAAAGTAATTCTTTTCAAGCATTCCATGAGTAGTGACAGTTTAAAATCAATCTGTATATTAAATTAAATTACATTTATTAATTTATTCTTCAGTACTATGTAGCGGCGTAGTTAACTTACGAAATCTACGTAAATATAGCTCGTTTAAAAATAATTGTGTAAAAAATATAATTTATAATCTCTAGCAACAAATATTATTATTAACAGTAGATGTACTTTTATTCAGGTGGGAAAAACCTTCACATACAAATGCAGATGTAAATAACATAGTATAATGTCTTTGAAACTTGGGAAATATTAAACTCTTAATTAATTCCTGTGTTGAAAGAAATCATGTCAAACCTAGGAAAGAATTTGATATTTTATAATATTTAAATAATTTGCTTACTCATCTGTGTTAGTTTTGTTGTTTTAGCAAACTGGTTGTTTCCAGCCATCGCCAGTACAATATTACAAGTACTTTAAAGGTATATGTAATTAGGCTTATAGAGTATTTCTCCCGCCTTCTTAGCATTCCTTCGTGGTGTAATGGTCAGCACGCTCGGTGCGTATTTGAGAGGTCCGAGGTTCGAGTCCCTGCGAGGGCATTGCTCCTTTTTCATGTCTCCTGCATCTAAATAACTTCATGTCTCTAGAATGGCTCCCAAACTGAAAAAGGTGGTGAATGATGATTCTCTACCATCAAGATTTGGCGATTGGGTCCCCTAATCCCCAGTCGCCCTTAAGGTATTTATCCTGGCTTCTTAGCATGCCTTCGTGGTTAATGGTCAGCACGCTTGGCGCGTACTCGAGAGGTCCGAGTCTCTGCGAAGGCATTGCTCATTTTTCATGTTTCCTGCTTTGAAACAACCTAATGTCTCTACAGGTTTATCCATTATTGCTACACTAGTTACATTGTGAGTACATGTCTGTGGTACATTAAAAATCATAAAATTTCACTTAGAGTTTCTGGCCTAAGAAAGTTTTGAACTAAAGGTGTATTTTTAAACACCTTCATAAATTTTTATACACCTTCAGTTCAGTGAGGTATTTATATGCCTTATAGGAATTCAACTCTTATTAGCGAAAAAGCCACTAAATTTTTAATAATTAAATTTAAAGAATACTATAATTTGATTGCTAATAGCGTTACATGGTTTCTCGTTCATGAGGATCAAAGTAATGAATAAACTTCTTCTCCACTTAATCATGTGTATTTTATCAATTGAAAATATTTCAAAAAAGAAAAAAAGACAATCCTTCTCCCATTAGATTATATATAAACGCAACAAATTGAATTAATTCAAAAGAGACGGCGGATGTCAATCTGTATTCTTACTGAGATTCAATATGGATCCTATTATCGAATTTAAACTCAGCAAATCTTTAAGTATTTTGTCTTCATCCATATGCTATTTCTTTTGAATGTCAAATTCTTATCTGACACCCAGGTGGAGAATATTCTTCATTTTTCTGCATATGTGTTCAGCCAAACGTAAATGTGATTGTCGTTTACCTATTGTTCACGCAAGAATAATACCTTTGCTCAAAGAGTCAAATACGTATAATAACAGAAAGGGGTTGCTTACAGAAGCAGTTTAAAATGAAGTGCATAATAGACCTCCTTTGCTGGCTGCTACTTGTTATTTGTAAGTGAAAGTATATTCTTTACAAATATGTAGAGAGATAAGTTTAAAATGACTCACATTTATAACCTTATGCTTGCACTGTTTTCTAACGCAACTGTACATGCTGAGTAAATGTATATTAAACGAAAATAATAATTAATGTATCTATATTTTTCTTGATAAAGTAAATGTGAAATATGCTTAATATATAATATCAAATAATACTATAATGTTAAAAAGATCTAATTCTAATTCTAATTACTAATTCTAATTTGCAGATATTTAAGTTCGCGAACATAAAAACATTTGCTTTTCAATTTTAGAAATTAATTTCAAGTGTTTTTCTTATAAAGCATTTCTCCCCCTTTCTTAGCACGCTTTCGTGGTGTAGTGGTCAACACACTCGTCGCATATTCGAGAGGTCCGTGGTTCGAGTCCCGGGAGGGCATTGCTCATTTCTCATGACCCCTGCTTCGAAATAATCTAATGTTTCTACATTCTTCATTAAATATAATTTTGAAGTGTTAAAAGTAGCACTTTATAGCTTTAAAATTGGGTGCTTTTTATTTACCTCTTCATTATTGTGGAATCAAATTTTTAGTATCTCCCAAAAATCTATCTGCTCGAGGGTACCATGTCTTGTCGTAGAACTGAAATGGTGCATCCTCAACGGTAATAATAGCTCTTGTTTTAATACTTCTTAGCCTTTTTTCATCCTCTGGTAACCTTTTCTGATACCATTAATCAATAATAACCTTGTAACCTGTAGCCATGAGCACACAATATAGGACATCTTAGCTGTTACCAATACATCATCGCTATAAGTTTCGAGGAAGACTGCTTTTACTGTTTATGGTTAAAGACGAAAGTCACTTTTAGACTCATTCATCAGTTCATCATTTATAAATTGGCATTCATTTCTCTACGCTATATCCAACAATTGTGCAGATCGATTGAATTTCTACTTCTACATCATCTCTATGTCTGCAAATATCTGGTTTTTCCACCTTTACGTGGTAGTTGGTACTGCGTTTCCACGCAAAAGAAATGGTACTGAGGATTATCATCTGACAAATTATGCACTCACTATGACGGGTAATAGAACGTCCATAGTCATCATTTCAATTTCTAGCCAGCATCTTCTGTTATGTCTAATTGCCTTATAGGATTGTGTTAATCTGGTTGTTTTATAAGCAGTTTCTTCGAGTAATCTAATGGCCTTTCGCACACAAAGCAATGGACTTTCGCACACAAAGCAATGGAGTTTAATCTCAAGTATAGGGGAACGTAATGTAGGTGCATTAGTACTTTCTTTATTCCTCTTAGCAAAAGCAGCAATCAACATTTCGTTAGTGTACTGATTTTTGCATTTTTCTTGACCTTCAGCCTAGTGTACGTACTTTTAAATAAAACTACCTTTCCATCCACTCGCTTTTTACTTGCTTCATTGAAAGGTTTTAACTCATTTGACTGCGCTACAGTCGTCTCTGTTCCATCTATCTCCCAAGGATCCATCATTATGTGGTACATTCTCCGAGACATTATTATCAAACTATAACTGAAAAGGGCTCTTAATATTTGACTTCATGCAATCACAGCCGGACACAATTGAATAGTTGGCTACAAGATCTGTTGGCCTCCAGAAGATCTGGAGGGTGAAAAAAACCCCACAAAGGCTACTATTTACTATAAGCGGACAATTATTTACGACAGTTTATAAGCAGAACAATTATTTACATTATTTTGTTCAGACCATTATTTATATCAAGCAAGTGACTCCGCGGCGTCGTGCAGGATGGAAGCTAAAAATATTCAGTTAATAAGGCTTACACCTTTACACAAATGCTTTCCTTTTTTTTTTTTTTTTTTTTTTTTTTTTTTTTTTTTTACGAAGACCAAAAACTTCGCCAGCTTTCATCGCCCTGTAGTGGTGTCGCAGACTGTCCGAACATTAAATTTAATACATGCATATTGTAGGAAATTGTGTCATTGTGTCTGTCTTAAATTTGTATACGTAATCATCTTCGAAAAATTCTTAGTTTTCGAGTTATAAGCAACTGAAAAACTGGGAAAAAAAAAAAAAAAAAAAAAAAAACCCTCCAATATTGTTTTTTTTTCCTCCGATTTGTGTTGTTAACCCGGCTTTTGGAGAGGTGGCAAACCTAAAACTCGAATTCATCACCCAAAAAACATGTATAACCCGTGAGAAAAAGACTTCTATAGTTTATTCCTGAAAACACTCTTTTTGAACCTGCGATGACGAGTCTATTAATAGGATTAATAAGATATAGTAGTATGAGCCTTCTGTTACAAATTAAAACGTCTGTTATAAATCTTGCAGCTCCATCAGTACAAGCATTTTCATTGGTAACAACTTAATCATTATTAACACTGGAAATAATATCGGTATTTGGATCACAATAAATTTCATAGAAGGCCCTTTTCAGTTTTAAAATAAAATAGAACGGAATTTTTTGTTGACTGATTTAATTTTTAATTGAAGTTGACTTTAATAGCATTAACAGCATGACTAACAGACAGAATTTTCGAATATCTGGCAATTACTGGTTTGACAAAGCAACTGCCCAGTTTTTCAAAACTTTCTACCTTAAATTTAATCCCTTAGCTTAAAGTTACCTATCAGGATTTACATTATTCTATTTTGATATTAATAAATAAATTCCTTGATAAATGATTTGAAAACTAAATCTTGTAAAAGCGAAAAATCAATTTAACTAATTAACTTAAAGATTAAATTTATGCATTTAATCTTAAGTCTTGAATTAAGCTTTAATTATTGCATATATATATATATATATATATATACCCATGATAAGAAGGTTTTTTTTATTTTAATCAAATTGGATTAAATTACAATATATTTATTATTATTTAAGTATTTCAAAACGTATTATTTCTTAATGTTATTATTTAAAAATTTAATCACAAATATTCAAAACCAAGGACTTCGCGCAAAACGTCAATATTTCTTGTTTTATCGAAAATTCTTCCATATTCTAATATTTGTAATTTAAAAGTAAAAATTCGTAACAACAAAATGAAGTTTAATCGTTTTTTAAATTCCATCGAGAAACACGCTTATCAACAGAAAGGTAACTGAATCCTATTCCTTTAATTTTATGCGCTAAACGCACGATGGCTTTCATCACAAATGCTCTATTACTGTCTTACTGATTAAAGCCTGAATTGAGATTTTGAAACACAAAGGGAGCAGTACACAGTTTTCCTACCTTTCTTCATTTATCCTAAGGCCCAGGTTCAAAGCAGTGCGGAAAAAAATTTTAATTAATTTAATTATTTATACTTACGTTTCAACTCAAAAGAAAAACTAAAGGATTTTTTTAATATACAAGATGGAAATGAGGTATTAATTTATGCATCAATCTGATCGAAGTGTATGTAGGACGTCACTACATGCTGTTACATGATACTCCTGCATTTAAACAGAGCAGAGCATGTGCGATCATTAAAGAGAGTAGATTGGTAGTCTTTTTAAATAGATGCAATAAAATCTGTCTTTTATTGAAATGTAGGTTAAATTTCATCATTATTTATCTATTTTTTTAATATTAATTTGAAATATCATCCGAACGTTTCAAAATTTACCTTTGGCAGTTTAGTTTTACATAATAATGTTCTTACCGTAACAAAAAATCTATACAATAACTATTTGAGAGCATAAGCAAAATATTCAGCTTTAAAAGACATTTTTAAAAATAATGGGGCAACAGAAATATGCCTTGATTTAATATTCCTATTGTATCTGTAATTTTATGGGAAGTATCTGTTCCAAATTACAGAAAACTGGGCGAAAATTCTAAAAAAATGTTTCATTTTGTTTTTGTTTTTATTTTTCATAAAATTCTACAACACATTCTCGGAAGCGAATCCAGTCATTCGTACACTAGAGGAATTTAAATTCAATTGAAAATATAAGAGAATTTATTACGTGTGTCATGACAAGAATTCGAATTAACACCGCTCTATATATTGATTTGATTATTATTTTCAATACCTAAGCGAATAATATTTTGCATGTTCCATAAACGAATGAAATATTTTCTTCCAGGTTTACTTCAGACTGTCGCTCTACCATTGGACAATGATATCGGGAATTCTGCCCTCGATGAATCTTCTGTCTGCATGAAACCAACATGCGTCAAAGCAGGTGATAATGAGATTTTTTTATCGGTCGTATTTCGTCAAAGTAATTATAAGATATTTGCTTATTTCTCGAGAGAAATAGCAGATGTATTTCTTACACGCACACTGTATTTTAGATGTTCAGTTTAAATTCTTATTTATGTAATATATATAACGAAATTCCTGAAATATCGCATTAAATTTTATTTAGAATCTGTTTCATAGAACCGCGGACTTTCTTGGATAAAATAAAATTTCTTGAATTTTTAAATGCTTATTTTCCTTTTTCAATTTCAAATTCTGATTCGGAAACTAGAATCCACCATTTTAAAGTTTCCTTATCCGTTTAAAAAAAATTTGTTAAAAAGGACTTATATTTTACTGGTTTTAAGATTTATACATGCAATTGGGAAAGTTATGAATTCAAGAAATTTCGAATGAAACGTATTCTATTTCTTTAACTGTAATTAATATTTTCCCTTCTTGTAGCCTGTTTCCATTTCTGTTGTTATTACTTATGATCACTCGTCCGACAGTAATATCAATTCTCGTGACAAGGATCCCAAGATGTGCCTGCCGTTGGCAACAGCCTTGAGCACTTTAGAGGTGAAAGTGCGATTTAGCTCAGTGAAAGAAAGAACAGAGTTGTACACTGCGAAAAAAAAAAAAAAAAAAAAAAAAAAAAAAAAAAAGAAAAGAAAGACAGTTTTATATCTCTCGCTCTACTGGGTCAAATGCCGAAATTCAAATTGTGTTTTTCATGTCTCGGCACCGCGACTTACGACACATATTAGATTTATATATAGTATCATTCTAACATAGGTATTTTGACACAAATCGAACTTTTTCTGAAATGGCATGCCAATGATTTTCCATATTTCGATTCTATGATTCAAATTATGCCTAAATATTAAACTTTCTAAATTTGGTGAGAAATTTACAGAGAAATTCAAAAATTTATTTTGGCGTATTTTTTTCAGTTTTCGCCAGTAAACATTTATTGGCGAACTTCTTAATTTATGGCCATCTATTTTTCTTCTCTTTTTACTTCCTTGTACGAAGTAAAAGGGAAGTATTGTAATCGCGAAAAGTTTCAGGCAGCATATTTCAACGAAAATATACATTTTGACAGCTATCGAATGCAATTTAACGATGTTTTTGCGTGACATCTGTACGTAGGACAAAATAAAAGACCCTTTTCCTCCCCAAAAATTATAAAATTGCTTTAAAATGAATTCTGAAGAGAATTTTTCGTGGCGGGTACGAACGTATGTACGCACGTACGTATCTCGCATAACTCAAAAACGAGTGGCCTCAGAACATAGAAATTTTGTATATAGGACTGCTATAACATGTAGAAGTGCACCTCGTATTTTGGTTGCAATCGGCTGCGCCAAACGTATATAAATATATTTATATATATATATATCCACTTTGTTACCCGGCTCAGTGATCTCAGTTTCTTTACTCTTATACGTTTGTAAATTGTACATTTTTCGCTTTAAAAATGATAGAATTATGTTGTCCTTATCTTCCGGTTAAGGTTTTCATGCCTTTAGTAAATCTGTAGGCAATATTTTTAGAATTATCAACAATTTTAAAGTTGTTTAAGTGCTGCAAAGCCTAATATATTTTTTTTATGGCGGCCATTGCTTGTTTACATTTGAAACAGCAGAATAGTGGATTTGTAGCCAATCTAGAGAAACGTAGCTTCGCAACAACAAAGATAACGTCTTTTTTTATTATTGCGAATTAAATCATGCTTAATCCTTTCTGGAATTTTTTAGAGGAAATAAATGTTTCAGATTTACTTCGTTATTTTTAATACAGATATTTTTAGTTTTTATGTATTTTTGTCTTGTCGCGAAGTGAGAACTGAATTAATTGAATGAGAAGTACTCAATTGTCTGTAAAAAACTGTCTCTTTTTTGTTTTATTTGCTTAATTTCTTTATACATCGTTCTAGCTTTATTATAGTATTTGAATAGAGCATGTGGCAACGATTAGATAATTTTTTAAATGATATAAATTTTGTGCATTCTGAGTTATAATATTATAGGGTATTTCTCCCACTTCCCTAGCGTGCCTTCGTGGTGTAGTGGTTCAGCACGCTGGGCCGGTATTCCAGAGGTCCGTGGTTCGATTCTCGGCGAAGGCGGTTGCATATTTTTCATCTTTTCTGCTTCCAAAAAAATCCTAATGACTCAGAATAATAATTTTTATGAAATTTTAAAAATGCCTTACAATACATCCTGCAAGAGATGGCGCAACCAGAGCTCCAGTCAACTAAAATGCTTTTCATCCCTAATAATAGATGGCGCCACACGAACGCCTCATTTGTTCAAGTTTACCTATTCTACGGACGGCGGCACAGGAACCTCCGTCGCTAGTAATCTCTGAGTTCTAGCACTGCATGTGCACAAGTACTTCCATGTTATTGGATACAACTTACTCGATTCCTCAAGCATTTAAAAGTGAAGTATAATATATTGGTAAAGGCCGTTAATGGTCGATTGCCTCTTACTAAGTGATAAGACATAAACATAGTTATAATATGAACGAAATATAGTATTGTTAAGTGAACCTAGCGCCATAGTGTAGCTAAGGTAAACAAATAGAGTGAATTTTAAAGAATGCATTTATTCTACTGTGGTTTATGCGCTGTCGGCGAAGAAGATTTAATTCAATAATTTTAAACGAAATGCAAGAAAAATGCGTATAATTTAATATTCCGTACAAGGAAGTCATGTGGTGTGCACATCAGATTTTTTCATTGTAAACGAGCGAAAAAATGTCATCCTTCATTCTTTCAAATAATTTAAGTACGTATTATCGTTTGGCCTTTATTATAGCCCAACGAAAAAGATGCTAAATTTCAAAACGCTCCAATATGTAAATTCATTTATATCTCGGAAAGTTTTGTACAAAAAAAACTCTAATTTTTTGCAGGTGTGCCTAGAAATACATCTACTTTAAGACGATGTTAAAAATTTTGTAGGTTGTAATACAAAATTGTTTTCGAAAAATTATAAAACATATTTTAAAATACAAATTTTAATAAGAAAAAATTAAAAAATGCGCTAATTACGCCTGAATTACGCCTAAATTTCGAATTTTGGAAGAAGGAATCAAGTAAGTTTAATAAAAAAGAGATATTAATAAATATATATCAGATTTAATTAACATTGAGGAGCTAAAATTTTGAGAGCTCATTTTTTAAAATCTACTTGTTTGTTTTTTTATAAAACTTGGCAGTTTGGCATAATGTGAGTCGTAGAATCGAAATATGGAAACAAATTGGCATGTCATTTCAGAAAAAGTCCGATTTTGTGTCAAAATATTAATATTAGAATGATGCTGTATCTAAATCTAATATGTATCTTAAATCGCGCTTTCGAGACATGAAAAACGCAATTTGAATTTTGTCAATTGACCCAGTAGAACGGAAGATATGCAACTGCCCCCCCCTTTTTTGGCGCAGTGTAACTCTCAATATAACAAACAACCTTTATACAAAGTTCAGGATCCTCAATAATTTCGTCATCTTTAAAGAAAATGCTATGATACAAAGCAAGTTCAGCTTCTTCACTGGTGGCGAAGAAAACGAAAGCATCCTTAAACACTCAAGCCAAACCAAGTAAGCGGAGGGTAAAGGGATCTTTTCCCTGTAATGGCACACAAAGGCCTCAAATAAGATTAAATCGAAATTCTTCTTCACATTTCTTTTTTCTATAGCGGGAACCTATCCCATTCTCAATTGCCTAAATAACGCTTTCCGCTCGAGAGATGACAGAAACCGATCATCATTTTGACTAAAACCCCGTAGGTCGTAAACAAAAGGGAAAGCTTGATTTACTTTTCTTTTCCTTCCGAATTTGAATAAAGTGAAAAGATCCTCCCTTTGCCTCTCGTGCTACAATTTCTTGAACAGCGGATTTCTAAAAATGAAGAGAGCCTTTAAACCCACCATTGGCGCAATTTAGTTTTAAATTAATGTCTGTCCCTTCAAATCCTTTCTGGAACTCCTTCCAACAAAAGAAAAAAATCTGATGTGTACACCACATGACTTCCTTGTATTAGAATATTACATTATACGCATTTTTTCTTGCATTTCATTTAAACTTATTGGATTGAATTAAATCTACTTCGCCGACAGCGCATAAACCACAATAGAATAAATGCATTCTTTAAAATTCACTCTAGTATTTGTTTACCATAGCGACACTCTGGCGCTAAATTAAGTTAACAGTATTAATAATTATATAACAGTTAACTTATATAATAATTATATAACAGAAACTAAGTTAACTATTATATAATCCAATAATAATATACAGTTAACGTATATATTTCTTTCATATTATAACTCATAATGCACCAAAATTTATATCATTTCAAAGAATAGAATTATCTAACCGTTGCCACATGTTCTATTCAAATACTATAAAAGCTAGAATGATGTATAAAAGAAATTAAGCAAACAAAACAAAAAAAAGAAACAGTTTTTCACAGACGATTGAGTATTTCTCATTTAATTAATTCAGTTCTCACTTCGCGAGAAGGCAAAAATACATAAAAACTCAAAATATCTATATTAAAAATTACGAAGTAAATCTCAAACCACTTACTTCCTCGAAAAAATTCCAGAGAAGAATTAAGCATGATTTAATTGGCAATAATAAATGAATGCGTTATCTTTGTTGTTGCGAAGCTAAGTTCTCTAGATTGGCAAAACTAATTCACTAGTCTGCTGTTTTCAAATGTAAACATCAATGGCCCGCCATTAAAAAAAACAGGCTTAGCGGCAATTATTAAAAACTTTAAAATTGCTGATAATTCTAAAAATATTGCACACAGATTTACTAAAGGCATAAAATCCTTAATCGGAAGATAAAAACAACATAATTCAATAATTTTTAAAGCAAAAAATGTACAATTTACAAACATATCTGAGTAAAGAAACTGAGATCACTGAGCCGGGTAATAGAGTGGATATATATGTCATAATAAGAGCACAAGGAACTGACGGAACACTGTAGATGCGTGCTTAGATCCATATTGAAGAAGAATTTTGATTGCGTAGTATTTAAGGAACTTGGCAGTCGAAGCAGTTTTAATTCCATTTTTATTTCCAATTGATATTTGTGGCCACAATCACTTGGCACTCTAGTCGTGCCTTTCCACACAAGATTTACATTTTTATATATTGTTAAGATAGAAAGCAAGCCAGCGAAATTACATCTTAGCAGAGTAAAGAGCAAAGCTGAAGTGCGTCGCTATGAAAGATGGAAGCACGCGAAGAGAAAAGTTTTAGGTTTACAATTCGGTGATTGGTCGTCAAGAGGCATCTGGTATTAACGGTTACATAAGATCGTATGATTAATTTGAATGACGCAATGCAGATAAGTTATTACGATTTTAGAATAGAGAAGAAGAATTAATGTTTATAGTTGTATTATAATAACATTAATTCTTCTCTCTATTCTAAATCGTAATAACTTATCTGCATTGCGTCATTCAAATTAATCATGCGATCTTATGTATGATATATACAACTGTAAACATAATTCTTCCTCTCTTCAATCGTAATAACTTATCTGCATTGCGTCATTCAAATTAATCATGTGATCTTATGTAACCGTTAATACCAGATGCCTCTTGAAGACCAATCACCGAATTGTAAACCAAAACTTTTCTCTTCGCGTGCTTCCATCTTTCATAACGACGCACTTCAGCTTTGCGACTCTGCTAAGATGTAATTTCGCTGGCTTGCTTTCTATCTTAACAATATATAAAAATGTAAATCTTGTGTGGATAGGCACGACTAGAGTGCCAAGTGATTGTGGCCACAAATATCAATTGGAAATAAAAATGGAATTAAAATCGCTTCTACTGCCAAGTTTTATTTACGAAGTCAACACATTAGCTTACGACGCAATCAGATTACTTCCTCTTCAATATAGGATAACTACGCGTCGACACTGCTCCGGCATTTCCTTTTGCTTTTATTATGACATATATATATAAATATTTATATACGTTTGGTGCGGCCGATTTCAACCAAAATACGAGGTGCATATATACATGTTATAGCAGTCCTATATACAAAATTTCAACGTTCTGAGGCTACTCGTTTTTGAGTTATGCGAGATACGTACGTACATACGTTCGTACAGACGCCACGAAAATTTTTCTTCAGAATTAATTTTACAGCAGTTTTATGATTTTTTTGAAGGAAAAGAGTATTTTATTCTGTCCTTACGTACAGATATCACGCAAAAAAAAAACATCGTTAAATTGCATTCGATAGCGGTCAAAATGTATATTTTCGTTGAAATATGCTGCCTGAAACTTTTCGCGATTACAATACTTCCTTTTTACTTCGTACAAGGAAGTAAAAAGCGATTTTTCCAATTAAGAAGTTAAACTCCTTAAAAAGTGCCAAACCCTTTTTTCACGCAAAATTTCAAGAAATGATTTCAACTGTATTTCTGTCAAGCCCGTACTAATAAACAATTCAGAAAAGTTTATATTTAAAATGAAACCCAAATTCCCACATGTTATCTCGATAGAAACAATGTATCAGAGTTCAAATTAAAGGGATGGTGCCCAGCTACCTGCTGCAGTCGCGCTGAAAAATCACTTGCTTGAAGTAAACTTCTTTTTTCACAATTTGTTAAAGAAATATAATGCAGTTAGAGAACACTGTGCGTCAGTTGAAGTAAAGTAAATGTTTTACAAGTTTTTAAAGAAATATAATGCAGTTAGAGAAAACTGCGCGTAAATTATAACATATTAAATTAATTATGAATTAGTTTGCAACAAAAGCTAAATCCAAAATAAACTGAATTGATACTGTGATCACTCAACTCTGCTTCCTCGTGACCGGTTGACGTTAAGAGAATTACATATTCTAAGTGAAGAGTCTTCAGGTTATTAGAGTTGAAGTTATAGTAGTTATGTGTAAAGCAGATCAGTTGTATCACCTATGTTCGACATCTTTTATACTGTCGACATCTTTTATAACTTGTTCAAAAACATTATTATTAATTTTCTGTAGTACTCAAACCATACTAATAAAGTTTGGGTATTAATTAAGCTAAGTTATATTTTGAAGAGCTACTAAGCACTTAATTGCCGACTTGATATATAGCTTCGCATAATGCAGAAGCTTTTTGCACCTTTTTTGAACGAATTCGATAAAGAAATAAAAAAGAAAAAGTCCTGGAATAAGAGTTTTGGGCAACAGTTTATAATTTGAAAAGAGAAATGCCATACACTACTTTTAAATTTTTTCTTCTTTCAAAATGTTGCATGTAAACTATCTATGGATTAATGTTTCTGCGCTTTCTTAAGAAAACAATTCCCTTCTTTAAATTCAAAAACACTGTAAAATGCCTGTCATTAAACTTTCTAAATGCAAAATAAACAAGATTATTAATCAGAAATGAGAAACCTACAACCATTATTTCTACTTGAAAAGAAAACTCCAAACAAATGCCCGGAAAAGTTACGTACTATTTCTAATGTTCCTAAAGTTAAATCGTTGGTAACAAGAGAAAATCCGTCGACGTAGAAATCAACTGCAGAGTCTTTAAATACATTTGTAGCAACAGGAAATAAAATAATACGATTTACAAATTAAAATATGGCTAAAAAACACAGTGTTCACTAGCTTTTGCGTGAGTCACGTAGAACAATGCAAAACAATTCATGGAAACTTGCATGAAACGTATTTAGCAGGAGATAAATGTAAATACAAGATGCATTTTGATCCTTGATGCATTTTGATCCTTGATGAAACATGGGTTTATATATATTTCATTGTAATAAAACGACTGCAACAAAAAGCCTATTCATTATTGAAAATGAAGTTAAAAAAATATTGTCGTAGTTGCTATTTATGCTCATATGTCTGACACTAACATCAGCCCAGGCCCACGAAATTCCTCGAGGCAAGGAGCACAAGGCACGCCTGTCATTGACCACAGCCTTGAGCACCTGTAGGTGCTCAAGCCTTAAACTTTAAACACCCTTAAACTTTATTAGTATGGTGCGATTTGGCTCAGTTCCGCTCTCAATTTTGATGAGGAACACCCCGGGGAGACGGATCCGAGGGTCTCCAACGCCTCTCCCTTGCCACCAAGCCACGCGAGGGGACTTTATGTTCGTCGCATATTTGGAGTGTCACCATGCCGCATTGACTACATTATAGTTTATATTTACATGCATCCATGCCTTCTCCGGTATTCGAAACCGGGCTCTTTGCCACGGCAGTCAGAGACGCTAACCACTAGACCGGTGAACGGTAAGGGAAAAAAAAAATGACAAATGGGATTTTGTCAAAGCAAAGCAATTTTCAGTAAGGGATTTAGGACTGTCGCAGGACTCTCTTACAATGGAAAAATTAAAAATAAGAAAACAGGGGGAAATGATAAAGTTAACTCAATGTACTATCAAGAGAAAGTTTTATGTCCTAGCATATATACAGAAGAAATTACATTTTTTTTTATCCCAGTAGCTTTTAAAGAGTGAAACTTCAAGACAAAGCAAGAAGTTATATTTCTAAAAGTAGCAATGCTTTCTTTTAGAAACTAAAGACTGACACAAGTACTGCATATATATATCTTTTCAGTGTATTCCCAGTCAGCTACTATACCCTTTCGTTTCTTGAAAAGAGGTCTTTTCTAGACCAAAACCATCACGACTAAGGGACTCTGGAAAGAAAAGAAGTGGAAATCAATAGACCCGGAAATTTTACGAAAGGATTTACGGATTTTACGGATTACTTTTATCATGTAAATCACAATCTAGTCCTACAGTACAGAGTAAAGACTGTCAGATAGAATATTAAAAAAAAATACTATTTACATTTTAAACATTAATTAACGGCCCCGAATTCTTCCTAAAAATTCGGATTTTTTTAATATTTTGTTTAACCTAGAGTTCTGAATTGCAATAAATTGTAACTATAAAACGGCTTATATAATAGATGATTTTTCATTTACGTTTCAGCTGCCGATATCTTAGCCAATTTGGATCAGACAAAGGACCCTTGCGATGATTTCTACCAATTCGCATGTGGTGGTTGGATAGGTAGCCATACTATTCCTGAAGATAAGCCATTTGTCAGCATCATTATGGATGTTTATGATGGCCTCAACAATAAACTTCGAAGTAAGTGCATACAATACCCACTACTTTTTAAAGTTACTTCTCTTCCTTACCTATATGAGTTTATAAACGGCTGATTTGAATGGACGGTGATCTGTGTATTGCAAATCAGTTTTAAAATTAACTAAGAGTAATTAAAGATAACAATAACTAATGTACTAACAATTAACAACTAATCCAATAATTAATACCTAAATAATTAAAAATTAATGCTGAAACTAAAATATTTACGTAATTTTGAAATTTATATTTTATTCTTTTGTAAAGACATATTTATAATTATGTACCTGATTAAACTTTTAACTGTTACTTTGTTCATCCTCTGTTCTTCATTTGTACTCTCAAATATGCAAAGCTGCTGACAAATTGTTTGGTATGTCTGATAAGCATCTTTTAGCTCGAGTTTCTCAGTTCTTTTAATGCCTTTTTTCGTTCAAAACTTTTTAAGCTATTTTTACATGTCATCTTAATGTTATTTCCAATTTACGCATATTCTGAAAGTCAATCTTCGTAACGTCCTTTATTGGTATCTGAAACATACCAGTAAGAGGAGGATTCGTCCTGATTCTTCTTTCCAAATTTTTATGTTTCTTTTCTTGTGGGAAAATGGGAAATTTTAATTCTGTCAAAACCATGATGAATACTGGAATAGTTACTCTTAAATCTTCCAACCAATCCAATGGATTGATAGTCACCATTCAGTTTGTTTAAACGATTATGAAAGATTCTGGGTGAGTTTTTAGTTTGATGAAGTTTCAAAAAGACACGTTCGTAAACACACACATCGGTTAAAAAACTGGAACCTAATGTCATCATTTTTAACTTCTTCTCAAATCTATGTCTAATTATATATAGGTATTTTAGAAATGCCGATTTTCAATAGTGTTATCTCTAGTGATGTCAAATGTTTGAAAAATATGCTCAGTTGAGTTGAAAGCAATTTTAGTACTGAACGAAACCGTGTGGGAATTTCGGTGTGATTATCTACCTTCGGCTTACTTAAAGACTTTTCACATTATGCAAAACGAAATAAGCTGTCTGTGTTTTGTGTGGAAAGTAAAATAGCTTTAATTGTGTCTAGAATTACGAATTCATAATTGAATTATATGCAATTTAGCTAAAATAATCCCCGTACTTTTATTACACCCTCTGCCTAAATATATAGGAGATTTCTGCGTAATATCTATTACTCATATAGCAATAGCATCAGAATAATTGGAAACTAAGACATAAGTATTTTACTGCTTTCTAATTCTGAGAAGCAGCTTAAATCCTAGCATCATATACGAAATGCCCTTTTTGAAGATGTTTAAAACTGCGAAACGGAATAAATGAATAATTTCCGCAGCGATTTCAGTTATATCATTGATTTACGATGCATTATTCGTCTTCCCGAATTTGATAATACTCTTATTTGGTATTTATTGAAATTCATTTGCATTATCATTGCCGCGCTTCTGCTCTTGCCAGAGCTCTTTGCTTAATTCAAGCTCACATTCTTCTAACAAATAAGATAATTCTCACGACAGGATGCTAAATTTTATTTACTCATGGAATGTGGATCTATATTTAAAAATAAGCGGATTTTCTTATCCTATGCATAAATGCCTTTAGCTAAGTCAAATTTCAGAGATGAAATGCTTCAAAAAGGAAGCTGAGATATAAATATTAGTCACTGATCTTCATTTCTTTCTATCTGATGTTTTCCAAACAGCAGCTAAGCCATTCCTTTTGCTTATCATTAGATAATATGCATAGATTGTACTGGAGTCTCTAATAATATTTCTGCTTTGCGATGTTTAGCACATATTTTTTAACTACATAATATTATTTATAAACATTTATATGAATAAATGAAACATGTGTATGAAATATTTCAAAAAATACCTATATTTAAAATAAAAACTACATGTATTTCCCCATCTGATGAAAAGATAAACGAGTCTTTCCTTCTTTATTTCCCTATTAATATTATCAAATTAAAATTATTAAATTTGGTGCTCGCAATACCCAAACGTTTCCTCTTCAATGTATTTATCAACAGTATATATCTGGTATCTTATCCTAACCACTTCAGTATTTCTTATTATAAGAGAAAAGGTGTACAAATGTACATATAATGCCAATTCCGTAAATATTACTTCTTTATATTCCTAGTTCTCTTAGAAAAGGAGCTGACAGGAACTGAACCAGAATTCATTCGCTTGCCGAAAGATATGTATGCTTCTTGCATGAATGTCGGTGAGTCTCGTTTCGCTCTAAATATATTCTTTATATCATACATTTAGTTATATGCAAAATATGATCAATATAATCACAATACATTTTATTTACCAATGATCTTAGGAGAAACTATACAGTATTTTTAATGAAATATATAGTAAATCCCTTCATAAATAAAACCCTTCATAATAAATGTCCTGGGTAACAAACCCTTCATAAATAAAATGTCTTGGGCATTTATTCAAACGTTAAAAGTTTCATTAACTTGTGCGTTATTTTATGTTATTTATGTATCATATGTTGTTTAACTTTAGTGGCATTAAAGCCCATTTTGGGGGATTGATCACTAAGGCGAAGTTCTACGTTCAATATTTGAGTATATGATTGAAAGACATCGACAGTTATGGTCATATAATGTTGTCATATGAATCCCACTCACCTTAACTACCTTGAACGATGCCTTTGAAGACCGTTTTAGAATTGGAAAATTTTCCGAAACTTAGAAATACTGCTTCATGCAGAGGTTCTACCTTTTGCCTAACGCGTACCATCTAAGCAAAAACTGAAAAACTTTAGCACCACCGCTACAAAATACTAATTCCACCACTTCTCTTGAACAAAGCTCAGATCGCATAAACTTACGAGTGTTAGAGAAAAAACTCAGTCAGAATGTTGGGTTTTTAATTTTTGAATTCAATAGTTAAAAATGCTTTGCTTCGTTACGTACCACATTTTTCTCTTGCGTACCACCTGTTGAGAACCCCTATATAAGGTACACTCTCCCTCTACTTTCAGCGCACTTTTGTGGTGTAACTGGAAGCAAGCTCGAAGCGTATTTGGAAGATACGGAGTTTGAATTCCGGCGAGGGCACTGCGGATTTCTTCAGTTTTCTGATTTAAAAAAAATTCTTTAAAAAAATGACTCTACGAGTGGCAGTGGCGGTAGCTAAAACTACTAAAGTACTAAACCGAACTGAAAGACGGTGGCTGATAATTCGACACCACAAATATTTGCGACTCCCCATTTGACTTTTGACAGTTCAAGTATATTTACTTTCTCCTATCCGCATGCCCTCGTGGTATAACTGGAAGCAAGCTTGACGCGGATTCGGGAGGCATGGAGTTGGAATTCCGATGAGGACATCGCATATTTTTCATGTTCCTGCATCGATATAACCCAATGACTCTACAAAGATTTGAAATTTCGTGGCAATTTTCCGTTTTACCAAATATCTAATTTTACTTATAATATTATAATTATGAATACTGTTCGCCATGTTTTTATGCTTTAAAGCTTTTTTGTGGTAGACAAAAAAGGCAATGATTTTGTTAACTGATGAAATCGCACCAATTAACCTTCTTGAATACTGTCCTCTTAATCAGAAACCTCATAGAGTTTAAATTTCAGAATTATTGGAGCAAGTGGGTTCGTCAGAAGTTCTGTTTTAAGATATTTCCCTCGCCTTCTTAGCATGCCTTCGTGTTGTAATGGTCAGCACACTCGGCGCATATTCGAGAGGTCCGAGGTTCGACTCATAAAAGAGAACATTGCTCATTTTTCATGTTTCCTTCTTAAAAGTAACCTCATGTCTCGACACTGTGTTATTTGTTATGGAAAGCACGGAAAATGTGGAAAGTCACATTGCAGCTAACCCAAAGTTCGGAAGATTATTAAAGTTCATTTACTTATCCTACACACTTTCAGATCACGGAATTAATTTTAACGAACTGTTTGAATTTTAACGATTGTACGATCAGATACACCAATTTTAAAAACCATTAACTTCAAAATTTTTTTCTTTGAGATTTCATTTATTTTTATAAGAAGCTGCTTAATTGTAATCATTAAATGAATGCAGCTGATTGTACTTCTTATTATGTATATATTGTTTTGTTCCGTGGAACTAATAATTGCAGGTGATAATTTTTTCTTCTGCGTTTGTGCAGATATATCGCAGTGACTTTTTAGCCATTTACCATGGAGGTAAAATTAGGAGCATAAAGAAAGAGTACAACATTAGTGAAAAGCAGAAGCAAGAACTATGGATTACTTCTGGATTCAGTGCAAAATGCTTGAAACGCAAGCAATTCCATAATAATGTTTGTTTTGAATGTAAGAGAGCAAAGAGAATGATGCCATATGCTCTAAAATAAGATATTATTGAAATTTATATCATAAACCACGTATTACACAGCTATCAAAAGGGATAGTTTTCTGTTTCAGGAAGAGAATAAGAATATATAATCAGAATCATAACTATTTTACTTTAGAATATAAGCTGGAAAGGAAAACATATTGAATCATAAGATCTTAGGTGAAGAATATCTTTATCTAAATGGTATGAAAGGACTCAATTTAGATAATAAGCATAACTTCGTAGGTACTATTTATAAAGAGATACTATAACGTGATAATTGCCAATAACATCAAGTATCGCCTGATTCTTTCCAATAATATTAAGTTTCGCCGATGAAATCTTGCATTGATTGCGTTATTTTGAAAACTCTGGAAAAGTAGACCACCCTTTTTTGTGCAGGTATCCTGCCGCTATCCCATTGTAGGGTTCTTCGCACTTTGCCTATGAAGAAACGTCGAGGAACTTAGTAACTACGTAGCGACTTATAGCTGAGTTCAGAACAACTAAGACGTAGACTCGAGAAGGGTTAAATTTCTCTTTTATTCGCTCAAATAAGAATAACACTCGGCCCCTACTTGAGCTTATAAAAAGGCCTCTACTAGAGCTTTAACTCAGAATAAGAAATAGGAAACTAAACTACAACTAATTAAACGATACTTATCCAAAACTAGACGCAATTATCTATCGCAGTTGCCCCTTAAATTAAACTAAACGGTGAATATTAATAGGCACGTATAATACGGCCTAGCATAACAGATTCAAGAGTGACTTAGTCAGTAGGCAAACATGCACCACTAAAGATTCCCAGCACTCTCTATCGAAGTTAGTTGAACCTTCCTTAAATACTTCTAACTCATTTGCATTCAACGCCATTCTGAAAACTCATTCTGGTACGGAGTTGTAAGTGGAAACAAGAATTGAAAGGAAAGGTTTCAAATTTAAAATAACTGTTATAAAATTAAAATATACCTTATACGATAAAGAATATTTTAAACCCAAAAGTGAGTCAGAATATTTACACTTAATGCTATTCTGAAAAATAATCTGTCATTGTATCCACTTGAAATTATTGACCTAAAGTTTCCTACTAATATTTTTGCTTGCACTTATAAATTCAATTATATTATTTCATTTATAAAAGGGATTTGCGACAGAGCGTTCAGATACATTTTTATTTACGTTTGTAAGGTTATCCTTTTGTGAAATTATGTTTTTAAACTTTTAATACCCTAACAATTAACCTTCTTTGAGAAAGAATAAATCACACAAAAGAGGAAAATGAATAAACACGAAAATATGTCATCTGAAAATTTAATTAATTTTATTGTATTAAACGTATATGAAGAATGGCATATTTTATTATATCTGTGCTCATTTAAATTTTTCAACTAATAGAACGCATAAATAATGCAAGTAGCAAACCTCTGAAGAATGCCCTAAGAGATCTCGGTGGTTGGCCAGTTTTAGAAGGAGAAAACTGGAATTCTGCTTCCTTCGATTGGCTTGATACTCTTATTAACTTACGCAGGAAAGGATTCAGCCACAAGACCCTTATGAGTTTGGATGTTGCTGAGGATATGCGGAATAACACGGTTCATATCATTGGGGTGAGTGATTACGAATTTAATACCACTACATTTGAAAAAGTATCGTTAAATCAAAATCTCATTTTAATTTTGCATCTTATCTACAGAAACGTACTTTAGGGGAGCATTTATTAATGAAATCTTAAAAAATCTTTTAATTATACATGAAATAAAGTAGCTAATTGTAATTTTTAAATTAAAAAAATATGCTTTTATTGCACAACCATTCCAGCTGTCGGCTTCTAATAACAAAGTTTCTTAAAATTCAATAACAGTAATTCAATAAGCTTCCAGTAACAAGGTTTCAGAAATTTGTGAATATATTTCTGTTTATCTGTATCTATGCTTCCATACAGAAGTTGCGTTGTTTGGGATAATGATAACTTTCTTTCCCACACGTAATCACAGATTATGAAGAAAAAAATCCATCTTTCCCTACCTAGAGACTAACACAATTTATGATAATGCTAATGGGCTGCAGCCAAAGCAAAATTTTTAAATTCTGTGTACCCCTGAAATGTATGAAAACATTTCAGTGTGAAATAAATTATTTTATTCAAGCAATAATCAATTCTTAAATAATTTCTTTTTTGTCGAACCAGGAAACAAAAACTTTTGACATTCAGGTTAATACATATGATGTCATGATTTCAATTTAATGTAATATAACAACAATTTTTCAATATTAATAAAAGAATTAACGTGGCTATAATATATCATATGAATTATACTTACCTGAAACAAAAATGCGCCAACAGCACCTATTTATTTAAAACATTTAAAGACATTAACGAACAGTTTTCGACAAACAGTGATGTCACATGCAATCGTTTGCTTTCTTCAACGTCAGAATGTGATATTATATAATAATAACATGTTTAATGTTTGACAGTGTTATTTTTATTTCATATTTTATAAAACTTACAAATTTTTGATTAACAATCTCTACGATTTGAAAGCGGGCAGTAGCAACACTTTTCGATTAGTGTTTTCAGAATTTTTAATTACTGTCTACCTGTTCTAAAGTTGTACGAAGATGAAAACAGACGAAATGGCTTCCCACGAATTTTTGAAATCCAGGGCTACTTCTATGAAAATTCAACTCCCTGCCGTTCCGGAGGAGATAATGTCACAAACAAACAAACAGATGCACACAAATTTTGATAGTACCATACCAAAAATAATTTTGAACCATAGCAAACTACCTATAGTATTATATTGTCATAAATTATCTAAGTATGTCTTAAGCACACTGTGCGTACGCATGCAGACTGCTGCAAAAGAATAAAAAATTGAACGAATCATTTTACTTTTGCCAAAATTTAGAAATTATCCACTACTTAGCAGAGAAGCAGAATGAAGAAAGATAAAACCATATTTATGTACTTCCGCTTTAAACAATCCACATTGAAAAATTCAGGGATCATCATGTCTGGCATTAGTAGTTGACAATGAGTGAAACGGCACGTCGTTGATATTGATGAAAACAATAATTTTTGTCGATGGTATTAAAAATAAATTTCCCCCCTTTTTTTATCTTTGATTCTATTATCAGCCTTGGTACGTCCTGATAAATTATTAGAGAAAAATGACGTATGAATACTTTAACAAAATACCCGACTTTTGGTATCTGTATCAAATTATTAAGGTACTGAATTTCCATTTGAAAGTAAAAGTGATTTATTTTCAGACTGAGATGTGACAATAAATTTAAATACTATCAGCATGTTTCAAATGGTATCTTTCCCCATTCCTAAATCTTTCATTGAATTTCTGAGTGCATATGTCACTCATTTTTTAATATTGCCGGAACATTCCAAAATCATTTAAAGAACATTGCTGTCGAAAAAGTGATATTTATGTCTTCCATTTCATTGTGGACTATGGTAAATACCTACTTAACTGCTTGCCGACAAGCATGTCATGAAAAAAAAAACAACGTATAAAGCAGGAAAAGCTAAACTTGCTTAGTAACAGAAAAACCTTACGAAGAATGGAGAATATTATGCATTTCTTTTCTGAAGAGTCAAAGGACTTTATTCCAAATCTTTTCGCATCATGGGGTTCGGATAGATTGATTCAGCAACTCGGGACTTATTAAGAAAAAAATTACGCTTTTGATTTTTAAACTTCAAGATTTCTTTCAAGTCAACTGCCATACAGTGGCAGTTTCTGAACACCAACAATCCATGTTGATCTCGCCTGGAAGTTCGAAAGACAACACTTTGAATTAAGAAACTATTATCTTACTCATTTCGAGATGGTTTTGCTCAACATAAATGAACAAAAGGCAAAATCAAAGCAAAAACTTAACACCTTTTTCATATCAAGAAAAACGCACTTGCTACGAAACGAATTGTAATCCAATTAAAAACCTGAAGAATAACTAGAAAAACTATCAAATTAATTTTATACTGGTGGGTTTTGCTAGAGCAGAAATGTCTTAGTCGAATAAATCATAGAAGAATGTGATTAAAAAGTGTTCACACTTGTTGAACGCTTGTCTCATCAAAAGAGATAGTTTGCTAATAATGCCATGAATAAAGTGATTAAACATTTTTAAGATTGTTCTGAAGAGCAGAAGCTAAACACAGTCAGGAATAATCAACGAACTAAGTATAGCATCAGTTATATTCTGAGAAAGGGTAATAAATTCCATTTCAGGCAAGGTAAATGCATTCTATTCTTACTTGAAGGGTTATTTCATTATTTTAACAATGAATAGGAACAAAAGAATGAAAACAGTTTTTAAACACAATGTTCTTAAAGTTGCGTATTCAAAATTCTGCATAATGATATTTCCTATGCGCATTGCATTTTGAGGGTACACAAAAGAAATCTCTAAGCTAGAGCACTCATTAATTATGCTTCGTTTAAAAACCCTTCTAGCGTTATGGATTTAGCCCAAAAATTTGAAAATTTCTCAAAATGTCATGAAAAAATAGAATTTTCTTGATTGTAATTAAAAAATAGCTCTCTCACTTTGTAGCTTGATTCCTCTTCTTCCAATGTACATCTAACCCGAAACCGGATACATTCAAAACTGGCAGAAATTTTCATATATAATGAGTGAAAAAGCGACCCTTCTATGCAGAAGTTTACGACCGTAGGGCTGAGAGAGATGACCGCAAGAAAATATAGCATTTACCACGTAGGAAACGTCATAGTTCCCACTATTTTGAGACTTTAAGGGTAAATAATGATGTTATTTGGGCAAAGATTCTGGTTAGAAATTTTATATAGAGACAGATGAGAGATCTATTCTACTAACATTTAATAAAAAGAAATATAAAAGCAGAAATACCATGGTTTCTTCCGGAAAACAGCAAATGGGAGCACAGCATCGCATGTGTGTCAGGATAATTTCTCAGACTCTCAGAAATGCTCTTTTGGATTCACATTGTAGGATTTCTCCCTCTTTTAGGCTGAAGTAAAGGTACAGAAACCTAGTGAACTGTTACGCGACGTTTCGCTGAGTTTAAATAACTAAAATCGTAGACTCAAGAAGGGTTAACTGCCCTTTATTTCACTCAAAATAAGATGAACAATTGGTCCCTTTCTCGGGCTTACAAGTCCCCACTTGGGCTTAAACTCAGAATAAGAAATAAGAACTAATTTAGAACTAACTTAGAGACTTAGCCGAAGCTAAGACAATTATCTAACATAGTTCTGCCCCTTAATTTAAACTAGTCTGCTAATATGAAAAATTACGTAATAAAAGGCTGAGCGTAACAACTTCAAGAGAGATTTAGCCCGAAGGCAAACTCTCACTACTCATGATTCCTAGCCTTCTCTCACGGAATAAATGCATAAGGTATTTCTCCCGCCTTCTTAGCCTGCCTTCGTAGTATAGGGGTCTGCAGGCCGGGCGCGTATTCCAGGGATCCGTGGTTGGATTCCTGGCGAGGGCGTTGCTCATTTTTCATCACCTCCTGCTTCAAAAAGTACCTAATGTCTCTACATATTGAACCTTTCTTAAATACTACTTCTAACTCATTTACATTCAACGCAAGACTAAAAACTCATTTTGATATAGAGTTGTAAGTGGAAACACGTATTTATAGGAAAGTGACTTAAAAATTAAAATAACTGTTATAAAATCGAAATATATTTTACAACATGTAACACATTTTCGAAGAGCATTCAGTAATTAATTTCTCATAATAAATGTTAATGCACTTCTATCTCTAGAGTTACTCTTTTCTCCCTACTTCAATATTGAAGAGGAACAGAAAATGAACTGGTCTACTCCTCTCCAAATCTAGTTTCGAAGAAGGATACTTGAGTCACTAACGGTTGCAAGATTTATGACTCATAGAATATTTCCCAGAGTATGAAGTAGGAATCAGGAGCACGGATATACGAAATTGGAGTTAAGAACTTCCCTTCTTACCTCCGTGGTTAGGAACAATGAAATTTCCAACACAAATTTAAGATTCAAACTGGAAAAGAAATACGCCAATGCAAAATATAAATTTAAGTCAAAAATATAACTTTTGAAGAAGAGCGATCGTCTTAAAACCAGCGTTGTTTTATTGAAATTTTACGCCAGACTGCGATAAAATTTTGTATTTTAAGAATTACTGACAACGGGAATTACCTTTACCAGTTTTTTTGCCTGTGAGAGAAACCACACACTTTTATTTAATATTTGTTTCGAAGTATTTCTCTTTTTTATCCATATTTGACTGTTTTTCCTTACTTTTAATTTATTTAAGTTAAAAATTGAATTTTAGAGATATACAATAATTCTGTTTTTGCAAAGATTCAAGTTCGCAAAATTTCTTTCGTACTGTTATCGGGAACATTCATAAAACTCCTGCTGTAACTGAAGTTAAACGAATTTCTATCGATTTCCTTTAATTTCATTCTAGTATGTGCTTGAAGCGCTGTTATATCTGATACATACGATCTTAAATTAAAACGTCTAACATTTGAAAATAAGTAAAATAAATGTCCCAGTCAAAGCACTTTTTGTATAATAACAGAAATGATACTTTCCCATGAAAAACATTTGTTCTAACACGTATTTTGTTTCTGTTATACACCTCACACAGTTTCTTATTTATTTATTTTTTAATTTCTTTCTAAAGTTGGATCAGCCATCATTAGGAATGCCAGATCGTAAGAATTTCCTCGCGGGATTAAATGATTCCTTAACAGCTGCTTACTTTCAACTGATGGTAAAAGCAGCTAAGCAGTTGGGTGCAGATGAAAGTACCTCAGAAAACGAGCTCCGGGAAGTGCTCAATTTCGAAACAATGCTTGCCAATGTAAGACACTTTTCTTTTTACTATGAATCCACGTATTTTTATGAGTAAAGTTTTATTTAATTTTACTTTTTTTATTGCTCGTTACATAAAAAGCAATTATTTCATTTTCACGTATATTTCGAAAGGGAATTGCAATGTTTATTGTAAATACAAATTTTAGGCATCTAATTGAAGTTTGGGGATACAATTATGAATTAAGTGGAATGGAAAATTTTATATAATATGTATTTTTAAATATTTTAAAACTTTTTCTATTGAATTAAGTATGGAAGAATGTTTAAAGTAAAACTCTAACTAATAACAGAACAAAAGTTTAAAATGAATAATTAATAACTCTTTACAAGCACTTTTTCTTCAATGTTTCTTGTTGTTTTCAGTTTGCACAGATATTAAGCAAATATTCTTGTCTTGCTGAAAATATATACTGAGAATTTTAGCTAAGAGCAACATAATTGCGCGGAACTTACTTAAATATTTTTATATTATTATTCGTTAATACATGGTGTATCAGTACATGTGACAGGTGACGGAAGACGTGGGTCCCATGCCTTTACCATTATGGGTAACTGGTATTGCCCCACGTCCATTATTGTTTAGGGAGTTCCCCAGATGGTAATGGGGGCACACCCAGGCGACTTGCACCAACCGTAGAGACCCAGTATCTAATGCATGGGCCCTACAGCCAGCTGTCTCTAGTGGTAATTTATTGAAAATTTTGATATTATCGTACAATGAGATACATATAGTTATACAATGGCATACATACAGTTTTACAGCTAAAAACAATGAAATACATATACATATATACAATAGTATGGTGTGTTAAATTTACATGAGAATTTTGACAATAATTTTCCTGGTTTCAATACACCTATAAAATCTTATAGTAAAGTAATAAACATATAGTATAAATAATATAACATAAACATAGTATAAGTAAAGTAATAACCATATAATGTATATATGTTATAGATAATTTTAACTAATATGTTATTTAATTTTGACGTTTTTCCTAATTTCAAATATAGTTTATAAAAATAGTAAAATTCATGAGTTCATAAGTTCATAGTTCATGAGTATAATTTCAAAAGTAAGTTTCATAAGTATAAGATCATATATTTCAGAAGTTCATAATAATGATCACAAGAAAATTCATTGTGGTTGAAGTTCGTATTCATAAAGTTCATAGCGATGAGTCAATCTAAAGTTCGTACTCATGAGTAGAGCTTTATATACTTCATGGTAGACTATATATACTTCATTAAGATTTTTGATAGACTTTATAGAGATCGTAAAGTGGTGTATCAGTACAGGTAAAGGTAAAAATATGGGGGACACCAGCGATGTACCATAGGTCAACTGGTAATGCCTTCCCATACTAACTCTTTGAGAGAAAAAAAGGGGGGTAATAGCAAGTTTTATAAGAATTTGCATAGACTGAAGCTTTACAAAAGGTCTAAGGTTTGCCTATTATGGTACATAGTGCAATTCCACAGTACGCCCCGCATCCATTGTACAGCGGTGACAAACTTTCAGGAGAGATAGAGTACACCTAGACGATGGAAAATCACATAGCAATTGCATGGTTGGAAACGCTTTCCTGGCGCGGTAGTGACGGCACAAAACTCAAAAACGGAAGGACACAAACAGTGAAACAAAACGTGTTTAATTATGTTTAGTACAGCAGAAACCAGCAAATAAAAACAAAAACAAACAACGATCGCCATTAAGGAAAAGGTTCGAAATTACGACCCCGTGATGCAGAGCTCACTTCTTCGGGCATGGAAGATCTGCATCACGATTGGAAGATGTATGAAGCACAGTTACTGCATCATGGTCCGGGGCTTAATTTCGAATTTCGAACACACCTTCTTTGGTGACGATCGTTGTCTCTTTATGTTGTTTTTTCTTTGTTTTTGCTGCACTATGAATAATAAATATGATTTCTCCCCCCCCGTTCGTGTCCTTTCTCTCTTGACTTTTGTGTCGCCACTACCCCGTCAGGAAAGCGTTTCTTACCATGCATTGCTACGTGATTTTCCATCGTCTAGGTGAACTCTATCTCTTCTGAAAGTTTATCAACGCTGTACGGGTACACCGTGTATATTGATGTAGTTAGACTTTCAGTTTAAATTAATTGTTATGAAAAATTGCTGTAACTTCAATTTATAGTCTGGTATTTAAGTTTAAAATTACGAGTTATTTCTAGTAACTAATTATCACTAATCGCAACTAAGCGGATTATTAATTAAAAATTTTACTGCGATTTTAATGTTGCATATGACAGCGAATCATACAGAAATTTGGAAGAACTCCGTAGATTTTCTTTCCATATCGCACTCTAAATTGGCATGAATACTAACATCATTTTAAAATGGATTTTTACGTCAGAACTATTCCAACTTTGACTTCAAAATAATCACCAAAAATTCAAACGTTAACGCTTGCTAGTTCTACGAATGAGAATTTTCATTTTAGCCAAACATAACGGCAACATATGAGCGAAGGCAATACTTGGCTCTAAATGAAGCTGCTAACGAAATTATTAGTTACATTTAGTATTCGTTTTTTACAATCTTTTCCACTATTTTCTTTACTATAACTAAACTAGCATGTTTTGGGGAAAACATATATTATAGAAATGAGCACCACAGTACAAAGTTTAAAATTACTTGGTTAAAAAAGTATAAAGAAATCTATTTAAATTTCATAACATCGCTTTCGTCTTACTGTTTTCGCACAAATTCTGCAAAATTATTACCATTTAGGTACTGCGCATCTCTCAAACGCAAACTAGAATTTTGCAGCAATGTTCTTGCCGTCTTTGGTGCTAGCCTCATTACTATCAGGCTAATGGCAACAAACGTGATATCCTCAGTTTAAACTCAGCTACCACTTGTAGTATATTTCCGGTATGGGACGAAAACCTGACCTTATTATTACTTTTAGAGTTATTTTATTTTGAAATGAAATTTATTAATGAAAACTTCTTTAATAAAATATTCTTAAAAAAGGAATGCAATAGCAATTTAAAACGATTTTATGTATTTTACTCTAACTTACTGTACTTTTCATATTGAGAAAATATTTCATACTTAAATCAATTTGGTGCATTTATTCAAACAATCTATTTGATGCCTTTTTCTATTTTAAACTCAATAAAGACTTTTCCACAGTTCTCTTTACCGCTAGAGGAAAGACGTAACTTTACAAGTCTATACAACAAGTACACTGTTAAGGAGCTTAACGAAAAGTTTCCACAGGTAAAGTTATTTATTTATTTTTCCTAAGTGTATTTTCATATACTGCAACTCATTGCATGCTGAATGTATAAAGCATTTACGCAAGGGAATTTGCATGGGGATATACTAAAATAGACAGATTGTAAATAAAACAAGCGCAATATTGTTGGGAAGGGGTCATGCCCATGCTCATACGGTAGCAGGTAATTAGCAATGTTAAGTCAAGCCAGAATCGATACAAGAGTGGTCGAATCAATCACTTCCGCCACTGGTCCTATTTCTTTGTATTGAACAGCGCCGTGTGGATGGCCTTAACACAAGTTTGAACTGTGATCATGGCTGAAATTCGAATTGGTTCTAAACTAAAGTACCCATAAATTCAATCCATAAAGCCTGTGGCCATAAAGCTTGTGGCAATTAGACGTGCCTGTTGCGGTCATTTGCAAGTATGATCAATGGGTATCGCTTAGGTCAAAATAGTCAGCACTTTCGGTCGGCACATTTGACCACAATTATCCGTGGAGGATAAGGTTAATCAGCAAACTCCGTGTCATTCTAATTTTAATCAATATCCTCACTTTCACTCAGTAGAGCACTCCAACACTGTAATCAGCAGAAAACACCTCGTTTACATCATTCAGTGACTCCTACTAGCTTGGAAAAATGTTCAGTATTTCAAGGGGTATTAAACTGAAGGAGTGGGAAAAGAATCTAAATTTAATTGAGTTTGCTAGGAATACTAAAACGTTCAATATATTAAGTTCTCTGGATTAGGTTTTTGACTGTTACCTAATCAAAGAAAGAAAAAGTAAATTAATGTCAAATTAATTTTACATTTACTAAACATAAGCTCTACATAAAAATGATGGACTTTGCGATATAAAAATGTTTAAATCAGAATTCACTACAAATTAATCGCCATTACCTGATTTTATATCGCCATTTTATTGAAGTTTAATTACTCAGATTAATCATAATAGATGAACTCTTAGTTATCTTAAATTTTTAAACACATACATATGTTTTTGATAACAACTCTTGATAATAAAATAACTGATAATCATGTTACGTAATATCTGTTATTTTTTAGGCTTCATACGTCTATTTTAGTAATCGTCTAGTACTACTGTGGCAGAATGCATTCATGAAATCCAGAGAATAAATGAAAATGACATTTAATCATCTTAGAGAGTTCTTTACAAATGAAGATGAAGAATGAATTTATTATTAAAAACAGGGGTGCGAATATATATATGTGTGTGTGTGTGACAAATAGAAAAAGAAAGATATTTAGAACCAAATACACAGACATGGAAGAAATGAAGGAAATTAAAAACCAATAAAATTCATATTTCAAATTCCCCCATAAGTATGTAAAAGTTTACTAAAATTCATTAAACCAGTAGAAATACAAAGATAACAAAAAAAATGTAGGCATAGGAATGCAATTAAAATCCGATTCAACGTTATCAAGAGAAGCTAGATTAGACTTAATTGAGCCCATCTTCCCTTGGATAACCACTACGTCTCTGTTAATCCATAATTAGCTGATGAACCATTCTAAATTATTATTTAATTTTAACAGTTAACCCGAAACTTCTGCTGCTTTACAAATCAGTAACATAATGATACTATGAACAAATCATTAACCTAATGATACTATGAACAAATCATTGACATAATAATTTATTCTTCACTATCACTTACTATTTTCATCACATTTGTGAAACAGCTGCGTAGAGGAGGGGCTCGGAAATTTCACGTGAACTGTTAAAATTAAATAATTTAGAACTGTCCATCAGCTAATGCAGTAGATCAAATTTAATTGTATTCGAATTGCTCTGCCTCTAATGTTTATGCTATTTTTGTATTTCCTTTCTCTGTATTTCTGCTGGTTTATTGAATATAATCTGAATTTTACATATTTTGGGGGAAATTTGATAATTGATTAATGTTCAGCAGCATTTGCCTGAAATGGTATTGAGATAATTTTAAAAAATCTTTTGTGATACTGTAATTAATATATATTTATATATATGAGCAGGAAAAAATTTATCAGAAGAAAGTATATAAAGAAGAGGTTTAAAGAATATAGATGAATATGCAATTCTATTAAACTTATTATACTGAATTTGAATAAATACATGTCTGCGAAATTCAGCTTCTCCTAAATTTCATCTTGGTTCATCTTGGTTATGATTAAATTTTAAAACTTTCTTGCATACCACAAGAGATCTGAGGTTTATCTTCTTTATTTTCTGACAGATTAATTGGCTGAAGTATTTTAACGGTTTGTTAAAAGATCAAATTTTTGAAAATGAAACATTGGTGGTTGCTGTTCCTAATTTCATCAGGAAATTCGCCGATTTGATAACGCAAACAGACAAAAGGTAAGCAAAAGTGATTAAATTCTTATATGCACAAAGATTTTAAAATGGTTTTTTATAAATATAAGAAACAAAAAGAGAAGAAAAATAGATAGGAAAACAAAATAAACATGTTTCCGATTAGGCTAACAAAAAAAATCAAAATCTTTGTTTTAATTATTGAAAGCAAGATACTAGAATACTTGAAATTATTCATCAAAGTATATTCAGAACAAAGTAAAAAATCTTACAAAATTTTATAATAGAGTAATATAATAATTTCATTCCATTACTAAGACTGCACTGATACCAGTAAATATTACAATTGCCAACAAAGAAACATATTCCTCATATGTTATTTTTTTCAAATATATTTAAAAAAGGAATTCTTTCCTAGGATTTAATTTGACATTGCATTATTACATTTGAAAATGCTGTTGGGAAATATATTTCCTCGACTGTCTCAAAATAGAGATGAGGATATAACACCTACTTTGTTATTCTATTGCAGTAAAATTTAATCTAGAAGAGTTCTGTCTGAGCTGCTCTGAAATATTTGGTACACAACTTATGTTAAGCCTTTGGTTACACGTATGGCATCTACCGTAATAAGTAATTTTTAGTAAAGGAGATCCCACTGCAATGTTGTTTCTATTATATGGATCAACCATACAAAATCAAAGCATTATGATGATTTGAACAGGTTTCCTTAAATGAAATTTGCCTTTTTACTATACGATGTAGTTAAAATTTGATGATTATTATCTCTTATAATTTTCTATATCTTTAATAATGTTTTAGAAATAAAGGGTGAGAAATACAGAAAATATTTATTTAATATTGAACAATTTTTAATTTTTAAAGGACCCCATATTTCTTTATGACTATATTTATATTGCTTCATACTTCTGAATTTTGTTATCAAGAAATTCGGCCTCTTTTTCACGACACAAAATTTATGTCGATTTTTCGATTCATTTAACCTTTTCAAATAGAAAGAAAGAAGAAAAGTATATTGTGTGCAATTGGATGTGAAAACATTTATTCATTTTCGCACGTTAAAGAACGATAGGAGTTAGAAGTTTGGACCTAACGATCGATTCAAAAGGCTATATTGAGGTTAAAGAATGTGAGATGCACTACATTATTTAAAAAGCTGAAAGTAAATGTACAAAGTATTGGAGAGGTTTCCTTCATGGAATTGTAGTTTTTCTGGTAAGAATAGTGTTTTTTAATGGAGAAACTTTTATGCCTTATTAACAATAATTAATTTGTTCTGGCCTGAATACAGATGTAATAGTTTGTAATAGATATATCGAGTTTTAATAACTTGAAAAAATAAATATGGAGCAGGCGTTATTAAAATTGCAGTCTATCATTAAATTTCTGTCGACATTATCTGCAGTGACCTTTTTCCCCTATTAAACTCATGTAACTAATTTCTATCTTTCAAATATTGACTCTTTTCTCTCCCAAGGTGAGTTTTACTTAGCTTTCATGTAAATCAAAAAAACATTTTCAAAAACACTGCCATATGAATGAATGGAAAGTTAAACAAATAAAAACTAAAAAGCTATGTTTTCGATAATTTAATGAAAGCTTATAATTTTTTCCTTTTCTTTTCAGAGTAGTTGCCAATTACATGCTGTGGAGGGTTGTTAAAGAATCATTGCCCAATCTAGCCGAAGACTCGAGAGCTTTGATGCATGATTACGAATCAGTGATGTCAGGGCAAAGTAAACAAAAGCCTCGTTGGGAGCAATGCCTCTGGTCAGTTTCTGGCAGTCTGGGAGTTGCTCTCAGCTCATACTACGTACGAGAACATTTCAAAGAAGAAAGCAAACAAGCAGTAAGTGTGAAATAGTTTGCCTTCTCGATACATATACATACAATATCGATTACATAATACTACATATCTGATGCATAATATACTAATGCATAATATGTAGCCGAAGTTGCTTTGAAAGTTCCTAAAATCTCTTTTCATAACGTGAAGATCTAATTTGTATCGATTGCAAAAAATAAAAATGCAATCAACGCTTTAAAAACGGCTTCTTGGGAAGTTATCGAAGATCTGAGCTCCTATGTATACATTCTAAAATGTAACAATTTATTACTAAAATACAAATTATTCGCTTTAAAAGTAGTGGGTCATTTCTTTTAAGAAATTTTGCAATATTTCTGTTAGTCAGAAGTCGATCGGCATTGAATTGTTTTATTTAATTATGTCAAAGCACTCGTGGGCTATCTACCTAAGTCTGTCTAAAAGAAAGGATGTATTCGTGGAGGACGTTTTAAAGGAAACTGATTCATATTCACGTATACATAAGAAAACGAACAAAACCAGCCCGTTTCCTTGGATTCGACTCATAACCGAATTACCAGTATTCAGCGATTTTCGCCACTCGGACACTGGTAGGACCCTTCCATGTTAGATTTTCTGAGGGATGTTAGCTTATATACTACCTGGAAATGAACTTCGAAAATCTAAAAGCAATAAAAAAATCATTCAGAGCAGTCATAGTCTTGCCAGCAGTTCACAAATACCTTCATAAATTCAGCTACAAATTTATTTAATTTTTAATCAAATTTTAATTTTATATAAAGATTTTGGCTAGGCTTAGCACTAACAGAATGCTCCACCAATTGAGTACAAATGCTGATAGTCATATAACAGGCGGTACAGCAACTCAGTTGGTGGTAAGTAAGTTGTTTATAGTTCTGCCGTTTCTTAATTTATGGCCTTAAAAAGGAACCTTGTATTTTTAATTTTGGACCTTAAAAGAGCCTTTTTTTAACTGATATATTCAGTCCGGTTAAGATTATGGTCTGAAGAATCTAAACTATCCGACACATCAGTGATGGATTTTTTGAACTCGATGATAGTTTCCAACAGACAATCTAATTTCGAGATTTTCTTTTCTTCTATTATGTGGCTCATTCATTTAGTCAATTAAATAGGAGTCACCCAATCAATCTATTCCTCAATGAATTTATGGACTTCATCCATTTTAAAAGCTCTGCTTTCAGCTGTTACATATCATTTCATATGAGTTCAGTTGGATTCAGTTCGCAATGGTATGGTGGTAAACGAAGTATAGTATTTCCGATTTCAGCACCGATACGACGCAATTCGAATTGTTTTCGAACCATAGAATCGAGGACTAGAAGTTCAACTTTCATATCAGCTTCTTAAGAAATATTTTTACCTATCAACCGAAGCTGACTTTCTGCTTTCCTTGTACTTGAAGAAGAAATATTTTCAGACAAAATCCTATGGTAAGACACATTATCAATCACAATTACGTTGTTCGGTAAGATAAGTAGCAGATTTTTTTCAAACTAATTTTCATAACATTCTGCGTTCATTTTCCTGCGTGAATTTTTTCCTGAGAGAGCAACTACATTTATTGAAAGGCCCTCAAAAAAGATCTCTTAGCACTTTTTATAGTGATGTCTTGCCAAATTTTTCTTTTAGAACATCCAAAGTCAGGTTTCATCAGTATAATGAATTACTCTATCCTGTGCACTATATTTGTTTATATCTCTTAGCTATCTGTGCCACCAGTGCTTAATATCGTCACATTCAATCAAAACTGATTGTTATTTCGTTTTCCATATGAAAACCCTGATTCGTTCATCATTCGTCCTTTGTGTCACATTGTGCACAGTAGGAACTTTACGCCGTAAAAGAAACCGTGAACGTTTCTTCGTATTGTTACTTAAGTTAGCTCATCATGTCATTTGCTTCGGGTTTTCGTACTGATTTTCAGATATCGTTTTTTCCGGAGCCGAAAATTCACCATTTTCATCCAGTTTAGATTTCATGCGATTTATGTTTGTCACAGAATACCAGTCAAAGCAACTGCAAAATTAGCAATCCTGTTTTCGTATTTATTAGGTAAAGTCTCTCATTCTTTGAAAACAAACCTTCATAATGATAATCTAGAGGAACTTCCCAGTGATTTACAAGATTATGAGGTTGTTATGTCGCGAATTTTAATGATTAATATGTGTGTCAAGTTATCGTTATTCTAGTACTTTTATTTGTACTCATGTATATTTTAATCTGGAAAAAAGTATTCTTAAATTGTTAAAGTCTTATTTAACTGGTAGTTCTCTACAGTGTAGAGCAACAAAGACAACACACACAACAGGGGAGCTCCCGTCCTGGCAACAAAGGCCTTTCGGAATTGGATACCCACCCCACGCTTCTTACAATCTACCATGTTGCGACCCCACAGAGCAACGGCAGACAAGGCAGTATAAGTACGGTCCCTGCCGAGCCTTACTCTGTCCCGAGAGCCCTCAGGCATTCTGTGAAGTCTGTTAGTATGCCCCCGTGGTCGAGACTGCCTAGGTACAGATCCTAACCAGTACTTCCCAGGCATTCGCCTGAGTCAACCCCCGGGGGATGTAACAAAGACAGGAAACGGTTGCAAAAGACACCTGGTTTATTGGTTTATGGCCTTTTTCTAACAGTGAGAGCAGTTACGTTGTTGTCGCTTACTTCGCTGGTGGCCTTTTTTTACTAATGGCGTCGTAACAAAAAATCGTCTTCCTTTCGCTTTGTTGTATTTGCAATGTTTCTTTCAGTAAGCTTAGGTAATTGGATTCACGTATAGCTTAGTTTCCGCTTGTTAGTTGGGGACTCCACTTTACTTCCCACTTTGTGTGTACAGATGTTTTTGGAGTCCATTGTCAGATTTTTCTTGTTTTTGATTCGTTGTGGGGGTTTAATTTTTCAGTTTAGATAAAGTAAAATTCTGACATTGGTGTGATTTTAATTTTATGATTTTTTGTAAACCAATGAAATTTTTTGGGGGGCGGAGAGGAGAGTTTACCTCGGTGCTTACACCTTGTTAGAATTCATTCTGGTTTTAATTTTCGAGCTAAAAGGAAAAGGAGAAAAGAGTGGGAATTTGACCCCTTGCGGGTCTTGCTCTCGAGAGCGGCGTGTACCAGCGGGCTCCGGTTATGGTTTTTCTTTTTGGAGTCTGATATGGAGTGATTTTGAGCAGCGGCGATGTGAAAGAAGAAAAACCGAACGAGGGGCGTTTTGCCCTGCTGCCGACTTTGCCGTGCGGCCGGTTGCAGGAGCAAGAGGGCTTGGGTTGCGTTTTTCTTTGCTCTAGAGGATACATTCTTTTCTGCGAAATGTTTAAAAGTTTTCGTGCGAGATGCAAGGAACATTTTCCTCTCGTGATGTCTGGAGAAATGTCCGTGCGCTGCAAAGATGCTGAGAGCTGGTTACTACTTTAGTGCGAGATGTATAGACCAATTCTGCCAAGAAAATTTAGAACAGATTTTCCCTCTTCAACCGAATCTCCGGATAATCGCTTCCAAACCCTAAAATTTGATATTCCGAAGTAAATATGCCTGACACTTGGAAGTACCGGATCGACGTGTAGTTATCACTTTCCGGCTCTTGTGGTTCTGGGCGCCTAGACGTTCCACACAGAAATATGTTCCTGAAGAACAAACTTTTCCCTGATCTGGCGGTTAGTTTTACAAAAAGGACTTCATCCCGTTTCCAGATATTCTTGTACAAAATGGACTTCAGCGCGAGAGTGTAATTAAACTGTAATCATAGTGTTGGCTCAAGGAAATAGACTTCCTCCGTGACTAGGAAAACTGGACACTCCCCTCAAGGTTGTGTATTCCGAAGAATATGTGAGTGAAATTTTTAAGATTATTTTCTCTCTCTCTCTTAGTATTCCCAAATGCCATAGTGGAACAGTTAATAATAATGATTTATCTACCTTTTTATATTGTTATTATTTATATAAATTAAATATTACAGTAAGTAAAATTGAGAAGTGATTTATTATTTCAAGTGATGGCCAGTTTTGGGATGTTTTAAATTTGTTCCACCTACTGAATTTGTAAGTCAGAAAATTTTGGTTTCTAATTAATGAGAACCATTTATTTGGAGAATTAAAATATGTTACATCTTCTTAATTTGTGAAAAAATGTTAATTATTAATTAAATGTTTTAATTATTGTAAGCTGAAATTTTGTGTGACAGATGCGATATTTCCATAGTAAAAATATATGGTAGGGGATACTGATCAGTTACCCAAGTATTTACTAATAATATTATTATATTCAAGAATTTAATAAATATGTTTGATTTAGAATTTTAATCGCACTTGTTTATTTGTGTGTTAACTTACTTTGGTCTGTCATGTCACTCCATTTGTTTGAGCCGGTAGGCTTTTAAGAAACATGGAGCTTTAATTGAATTTGGATTATTGATTTTCCTTTTGCATAGGCTACTTACAACGCGAATCTAAAATTTAATTTGTACTACCACTATACGATTGTTCTATATGATATATGAATGTTATGATAATTATATATTTTTTTTAGTTTTTGTTCGGCACCATGAGTCAGTTTAAGCTATAAATGTTAAAAACCCACCAAATTTTCAGCTATTCATCAAGGTTGGAAATTATATACACATGTCGAAGATGGAGCAGCTGACATTTTCTTCTGCACCCAGTCAGTGAAAAAATTAACTTCATTTTTATTCCTTTTCTCATCGAGAGTAAATGAAGTTAGAGTTGCTGGAATATGCAGTTTCGCTAGCAATGCCAATAAAGGGATCTCTTTCTGTTGCTCATCGAAGGATTAATATGACATAAGGAAATTTTTAAATAAAACTTTGAATGTAACGTAAATCTATCGTTTCACACCTTTTGTTTTCGTTACGTTCTCTTCTCTCAACAGTATTTATACTTCATAGCGTAATTTTTACAATATGACTTTTCGAAATCATTGAACTATATTTTGTGGTAGACACATACATATTCTACTATATCAATGTTTTAAATTGTTACGATCCTTCTCAGTTTGATGAAAAACCCACACGGGCACACACCTGTCCAAAGGTTTCCGAATTCCTTTCCGTCCCACCACTCGTTCTGGAGGACCTTCGCCTAGTCGTGAATTTTGAGTGCTCTTTTGCCACCTCCGAGAATCAAACGCGATCCCAATAATACAGCAGCCAGCAGCTCTAACCACTATACCGATTAGGGCGTCGAAGTCCGGTGATAGCAAGAACAAAGCTTTCTTGTAGTCAATGCACGAATTCGTCAAATTACGCTTTCATTTGAAAAGCATTTGTTATGGAAACAAATCATTTGTAGGATTTTTGAATAATCTAAAATTTTCCATCGCTTTCTTAATTTTTTCACTGATTCGTCAAATTATGCTTTCATTTAAAAAGCATTTGTTATGGAAACAAATCATTTGTAGGATTTTTGAATAATCTAAAATTTTCCATTGGTTTCTTAATTTTTTAACTGAAACAGAAATAGCATCCGAAATAAATATTAAAAATACTCTTATGACATTTTTGTGCATCCTCTTTTGAAGATTTATTAAATATATAAAATTAAACTAAACTCAGTGGCGTAACAATCCTAATAGGCCAAGGCCTGCAGTGTCCGAAATCTAAATATATAAAGCATTATAATATGTTTGATATGTTGCCTAAGATTTCCTTTCTTTTCTTTCAGGCAGTAAATATGGTTCAATATATCCAAGATGAAATCTTAGATATTCTAAAAAATATAGATTGGATGGACAGCGAAACTAAAAAACACGCCAAGGAGAAGGTACTATTATATATTCAACTTTTTTATTTCTTATTCAAAATCAAGAAATTCATTTGGTAGAATAATACTCTTGTTTGCCTAAAATCACTGTTAAAACAAGTTGCATATAAAATTCCAAACTAGTTTTCGCTCATCGCTAAATATTAATGTAAGAAGTTAGTTATAAAATATTTTCTGCATTTTCAGATTAAAGTCCTTGACTGAGAAGGTGTTATAAACGTCAGAGAATCAGAGAGCTTTCTTACAATTATTGCTCATTTGAATACTTTTATTTGTCGTATTTCATGTAAAGGTCAGTCAGTCCACACTAATCCTTCGAACGGTCGATAGATTCATCTTTGCATCTCAGCTGATTGTGCTGTTTACCGTCTTATTCTGAATTGTCACTAAAATTTTAAAAAATATACATTAATATATGCGAGGTAGCTTTATATGAACTTCAAAGTTCACTGTACTGTTTGCGTAATACTTTCGTTGAATATTACGTAGCGTATAAAATAATGAAATGCATATGATAAAAAATTCAAATAGGATGGAAGAGGAAATCCTTAATAATTTCATGAATGAAATTTAAAAATGTTAAACAGTATATATCGTAATGTAATATCAGTTTTGCTTGATTTACAAAGTTATTGTTTATCCAAATATAACCAGTTAATCAATTGTTGACATCTCTTAGGGATGAGAAAGGTCTTTCCACTCGTATAATTGTTGTTGACATTTGCAGAATTAATGAAGTAAACATTTCAATTATAATGTTTGCATTCCTGCTGTTGCTTATACATGGTACACCTGTAAACCTGTGTATAACTTAGTTATATACAGGTTTACAGGTGCACCATGTAGTTATGTTCAGCTTTATTTCCTACCTGAAAGGAAATGAAGAGCAACCACTTCAATTATTTTGTAATACGGAATAGTGCTAAGCTCATTTAATGATTGTTCAGAGTGTAATTATCTTTAAATTTTATCAAACAAAACAACTACAACAATAAGGCTTATGAAGTATTTTCTCCCTCCTTTCTGCATGCCTTCATGGTGTAATGGCCCCTCGGCGCGCATTCGAGAGGTCCAGATTCGAGTCCCGGTGAGGGCATTGCTTATTTTTCACTTTTCCTGCTTTGAAATAACCTAATGTGTCCACCAGGATTTGGCGATTAAATCCCCTAATCCCCAGTCGTTCTTTAAAAGGGGGAGCATACAAGGCATTTTCTCGCTCCTTTCTGCATGCCTTCGTGGTGTAACGGTTAGCACACTCGGCGCGTATTCGAGAGGTCCCGGCGAGGGCATGGCTCATTTTTCTCATGTCTTCTGCTTAAAAATACGCTAATGACTGGAATAATAACAAAATTAAGAAGAATAGTGACAAAATTTGCAGAAAAACGGGGAAAATATCAATGGAGAAATTTTAAGTGTAAATCGTATGGGGATCATTCACTAATATCATCCAATGTTTTTCATTGGCATGAACAGTTTCAGGATGTTGGCATAGGGCGTTGATTGATAATCCAAGAGTAGCTGCATTTCGCTACTTCGAACGGATCAGAAGGTCGAAAGCATTCAAATATTTTTGCTGAAAACTCGTCATCAGTCATTTTGAATACTGACGAGCTTTGGTGAGTCAGTATTCCATTCAAAAAGTTATAAATTCAATAGAATAATTTCCTTCTGCTGCCCGACAGAGTAATCACTGAAGTGGAGAAGGAATAATAGTTTCTTGTAAAGAACGATATCACAATTCTCATCCTTCCTCCCCTATTCATCAGGTTTGTCATTTGCCATTCAATTTGCCAATTATGTATGATTTGTCATTTGCCAATTATGTTCTCATCCCTATAGTGAAGTCTCACATAAAGTCCATTTTTAATAGTTTTTAAAAGATTCCAAGAGCCGTACACAGGGGTTTTAAGCAGCGTTCCAAAAGATGAGTTCTACAAAGAAATCAAGTATGAGCAGGGTTTTGCGAAGCGTTCTACAAAATTACAAGTATTTTGTATTAAACTTGCTATAAAATGTTTTCTTCAGCTTTCACTTTTGTAAAAATGTAGTCCTAAACGATTGTAGAATTACTGTGTAAGAACCCCGTAAGTTCTTTCTAATATTCCCAAATAATTTTAAAACTGAGCTCTGATGGGTATTTTTAAATAACCAAAACTGTACCTACAGAAGTGTTTGGAGAACTAAAGCCCTAATTTCTTATATCATATAGGCTGAGGCCATAGTTCCGCATATCGGATATCCGACAGAGCTTCTAAATGATTCATATGTCGCTGACCTGTACAAAGATGTAAGTATGTTAATATTTACTTTTAAAGTTAACAAATTGCTCCACTTGTAATATTGTAATTTTCTTAGATATTTCAAGAGTGTATTATAATTCCTTTTTACAGTTAAGGCTAACGAACGAAAGTTATTTCGAAAATGCAAGAAAACTAAGGATTTGGTCAACTGATGAGATGTTCTCTCGACTACGAGAACCCTTCATTAAAGGGCTGTAAGTAAAACTTTACTTACTAAAAACTGTAGTATTTTATTTAAATAATGATTCTTTCTAAAAGAATGCTCTAAAAGCTAAAACTTGAAAAACTTAAAATCATATACTCAACCTACTAATGACACATGTTTTATTACTAAATATCAGGGTACTTACTGAGAAAAATAATTATGCGTTCGTTTTACACGGGTATCTCTTTCAAATTTTCATTCGTTTCTATCAATTTAGAAATTATAAGTACCAAGGTTAAGCTCCAGGATAAACCTCATATTAGTTTATCTTGGAAAATGTTTGATATTTGATGTTCGTAGAAAGGAAGAAGTTGATTATTGCAGAATGAATTTAAACGTTCAAAAAGCGACTAGTTTAATTTCAATTACAGAAGGGTAAAGGTTATGTACATAGTTAAGGAAGCGAAAATGCCGCTAAAGCTCTCCCAAAAATGGAGTAATTGCAACATACTAAATTTTAAAAATATTGTAACACAAAGAACACATTGAAATTTACCTGGAAAACGCATAATTTCGGAATCCAAAATTCGCATTAGAACTGCAAGTCTTTTCGGTACTCGATATCTAAAGCGAAGTTAATGAACTAAAGCAGTTCCTCTTATACCAACGACTCACAAACAATATGGCAATAAATCCGCTGAACACTGGTAATTTTACCTGATTAAAATCCCAGCCAACGTGCTTAGTGCTGGAAATGGGTAATGACAAATTTTCTTTTATATAATGTAAATACTAGCAAGTTTCTCTTAAAATTCCTTGGCGTAAGACTCTCTCCGATAGCCATAAAATACTTTGCTATTTCCTACATAATTACTAGTCATAATCCAATACACTCAAAACCAATATCCCAGAACACTGCGAATTACCACTTTCAAAAATCGTTAAAATTGTGCTTTACTAAGAGTTAATTCTCCCCCTCCTACATATGACAAGTATTATTTTCCATATTGTTTGCGAAGACTGGTTCATAATTTTGAACGACTACTAGCACAGAATCGGTAAAATCGCAGAACTCTATCATTTCAACCAAAAATGGACCAGCTGCATTTTGCATGTGTGATATGAATATAAACCAACTTTCTTTTAAAATTTGGTTTTATAAATATTTCCACGAAGACATCTACCTTTCTTTAGGTAGATAGTCCTCGTATGCTTTGATATAATTAAATTATTCCATTCCGATCTAAAATGGAACAATGTCGCTGAAGTCTGCTAATTTGTTCTGGGTTCGATTCTAGGCGAAGAGCCTGGCTCCGTGTATTTTCCCCATGTGTAACGTGGATACAAGCTTATTTCTCTCTGAAAGCCCTCCATAAATGCTTCTCTCTTTAGGTATCTCTGCCAGATAACTCTCGCGCGCTTTGCCATAATCAGATAAAGCAAACCAAACGAAAATTATTCGAATCCGAAATTTGGGAGCTTGGGATCCCTACCTCCACGCACAGTATACTCATCACGCTCATGTGCATAAAGAGCAAGTTAAGAGAGTATGGACAGTACTGATTCAGAAGTCAAACAACAAAAACAACCAGAGTATGGACAGGTTTAACCTTAACATGTGCCTAGGGAAATAAATTCCACCTTCTCCCTCTAAGAAACGCAGTGCCAGTAGTACTTGTCGAGTTCCATATTATTCCCGTTAGTTCTTCGAGTTGGTAAACTACCTGAACTGCTTGACCGCTAGGAGATCAACATGGTGCTTGATTTGATGTGAAACTCCTTTTTGTATATTATAACCTTCGACATTCCAAGTTGCTTCCCATTTTATAATTGCTCGCCGTCAACAAGGTGTCGACTGTGTTTTGTGTTGTATATTTTCATATTAGTAGTAACCAACCAGAAGTGGTAAAATAAATGGCTATTAAGTTTTATTTTGTTTATGTCTGAAATTAGTCAGGCCAGTAATTCTCCAGTGTTCTAAGCATAACTTTGCGTGGCCATTAAATAAACAGGATCATAAGGATAGTTAAACAGTAGAGTTTACAAGACATGTCTTTTGGAATAAAAAAGTCATATTCTATCTCTAAGAAATTCATTACATGAAAAATCCGTGCGATGGATTATTGCTGTTGTATTTAAATTCCGTGGTACTTGGTGTTACTTGACTATAATTTCTACTGCCCGAAGACCTGCCTTGTATAATTTAACTTTTAAATGGAAATCGTGGATTTACGACAAATCACTCAGAAGATACATTTACCAACTGCCCACGAGATACCATATACTTTTCAACTACTATGTTTTTACATATATTTACCAACTACTATGTTTTTACATATATTTACCAACTACCCATGTTGTATGAGAATATATGTGATCGTCCAGTATATATAAACATTCAATACCTATGCATAGGAAGTATTCAGTTTCGTTTAGTTAATTTTATTAATTCAGTTAGTCAGTTAATTTTTTTCAACTGGAATTAACGAAGATAATAAAGTAATTAAGTAATTTGTTTTGTCAAAATCGTAAAAACAACCTTGTATTTAGCGTAGGTGTAATGAAACACTCAATCGATTTCGAGGGCAGCTAAAGGTCCCTCCTCATCAGGAGAAAGAAATACCTAGAAAGAAGAAAATAAAGGAGTCACAGAAACACGTGGTCCTTATCAGCACTGCACGTGGTTATAACTAGATTTTTAATCAGAGTTGCACTGGCCGCCTACTTTTACTGAGCCAGGCTATCTGATCGAGTATGAAAAATTAGCGAACTTAAAATAGGGAGCGAGGGGCAAATGCACCTTACGCTCAAAATCTGAACTTCAAATAATGGAAAACAACCACTGAACGGATTTCCGTTTCAGTGGTTAATACAAGGTTGTTTTTACGATTTTGATTGTCACATTAGCGTGTTTCTCTTCTAGTCTAATTTGTTTTGTGTTGGAAAAAAATATGAACTATTTTATGAAAAAAATCAAAAGCTTCTGTTTAATTTTTGATAATTTGTTAGGCAAATGATATGTAACTATAACATTTTTGACAATGGTGCTTTGATTGATGTTCGGGTTGACATGTTAGACTACCCTTTAAAATTACTGAAAAGTTATTTGGCCTTTTTATGCTCATTTCTTTTCTTTAGCCGTCAGATACGATGAGTTTTGAATAAATTTAGAAACAAAACAATTTGGCTGGAATGGAAACGAAGAATATGGTATAAAAATTTACTTTTCCATCTGACTTGTTTAGGAAAAAATTACAAATTAGATTTAAAACAATAGATATACAGTAAATTTACTTTTCAATATATTAGACGCATATAGTTTTAGCAACCTGAGAGATTAATAGTAACGACGTTTATGCCTTTAATAGTATACAGAGTTCACATTATACGTGTAGTCTCCAACTAATGTGTTCTTTAATGGCAATAAAAGTTCTTTAATGTTTCAGCTTTACATGCTCTTCGAAATGAATGTTTCAGTATTTCAAAGTAAGCAGCTTTACATTATCGTAAAGCTTAATTTTACTCTCACTTTGTGCCGAGTATCCCTTATATTGCTCAGTCTTCATGTATTCCCTATTCTTATTTGGTGTTGTATATGTTAATAATTGTATTGTGAGAATTCTTTTTGCTGGCTAAAAATATTACTCCTGTCATACGAAAATAATTTAATTCTGTGAAAATGTATGCAAAATATTTATGGCTAGCAAAAATTTTTGTCTTTTTATTATTAATGTTTTGTGTGCTAAATTTATCAAAATCACGATTTTCGCATTTACGCCACATAAAATGTTTTTCACATTGCGAAAAACATTCATACATTCATGCAGATTCTTCATTATTTAATTTCTTTAAAAATAATACAAGGAGATATTATTTGGTGGTAACAATTTGAAAAGAGATACGACGTTTATAGTGATTCATTGCAAAATCTCGTTTCAAGACTAATAAGCCATTTGAATTAACGCTCTTTTTGGGAAAATAAAAAATAAAAATGTATGAATGCATAAGATGTAGGTCAAGCATACATGTGCATATACAGGTTACTCTGTTTATGTAGGATGCTTACTGTTCAATGGCTTCTAAAAATGAAATATGAAAGATGTCTACCACAAAGGTTTTCTGTCATTATAACTGTTTAAATATCCTATATGAAAATTCTGCGTTTTTAATCTTTAAATTTAAAATTAATTTTATCACATGTGCAATCTGTCATCAACAAAATAATAAATCCCCTTTTTATAAAATAATTATTTATTTTGCAGGTGGAAGAATTATGCGGAAGTAGCTGTTGTAAATGCCTATTATGCACCTACGGAAAATACCATCAGTATAGTATTTTATTTTTTCTTAGTTTATGATCGTCATAATCGTTTTAACTGAAAACTGTGTTTCTTTTAATACAAAAAGCATGAGAAACATTTGAATCAATGAATTAAAACAAGTCAAATCTCTCAAAATTATCCACTGCAGAAAATAATAATAATAATAATAATAATCTGAAAGGTTTTAGATTTTAACAAATACCCAAAAGGATTTATTACGGTTTTGTGCTCTTTCGGTGAGCTCACAGTCCACAAGTCTGCTCTTGCACTCACTGTTGATACACTGCTCGACATTGAAAATGCAACACCAAGAAGGAGTGGTCAGAAAGTAATGAAATTTGGGGAAAAAGACAGAGACAGCAAGCAGCAATAAGTGATCTTTATTTCAAAATGATAGTCAGAATTCAGAGCGAGAACGGCACCGGCTCAGTAGGATAGGTGACAGGTGACAGGTGACGGAGGACGGGACGCCTGGTGTTTAACAGAGGTAAACAGGCATATGTCCCGCGCCCTCCCCTATCTACCGGGGGTTTATTGATATCTTAAAAGATTTATTACATTGCCATACAGGGGCAGATGAGAGATACATTGGCTATTTATATTGTATTACAGATTTTAGGTTTGCAAGGACCACCGCGGACAGCGATGCACGAAGAAACACGTCTAGGCATAGAGTCAATAAGAGTGCGGATGGTGTCCTGAGGGATGGCTCTCCATTCCCTTTCAACCATTTGCCACAGTTCGCCTTCTGAACAAGGCAGGGGCAGAGTCTGAAAACGGCGTCCAATCACATTCCACATATGTTCGATTGGTGACAGGTCAGGACAGTATGGTGGCCAGGGAAGCATCTGTATACCTTGCAGAGCATGTTGGCAGATGCGAGCACTGTGTGGTCGGGCGTTATCCTTCTGAAAAATTGCATTAGGGAGCTTGTGAAGGTAGGGGATTGCCACCGGCCACTGTATATTATCCAAGTATCGTTGGGCCGTCATAGTGCCTTGAATACGAACTACAGGTGACCTGGAATCGTAGGCAATAGCGCCCCAAACCATTATGCCACGTTGTCGCGCGGTGGGGCGTTCCACAGTTACTGCCGGAGTAGATCTGTCTCCACGTCGACGCCGCTAACGTATGCGGCGACTGTCACTGGATAAACAGAAGCGTGACTCATCATCTGAGAACACGACGTTTCGCCATTCTTTCATCCACATCGCTCCAGACCGGCACCATTCTAAACGTTGGCGTCTATGCTGTGGGGTCAATGGCAGTCTTCTTAACGGATGCCTTGAGTGCAGGCCACTTTCAACTAATCGACGAGAAATGGTTCTGGTCGACACGGGAACATCTAGGGTATCTTGCACATGCTGCAGATACCGCCACGGCTTGTCGGCGGATGCCTCAATCCACGCGTGCTGACGGTACTCCGGCTGCACCTGCACCCCTCCTTCTTCCCACATTTCCTTGTTCCAACCATGTTCGCCATAGCCGATGCACCGTGCTCGCATCCATGTGGGTATCAACTGCGATTTGACGTTAGGACCAACCCGCCCTTCTCAGTCCGATCACCATACCCCTCGTAAAATCGTCTATCTGTTGGAAGTGCCTTCTTTGACAGCGGCCTGGCATTCTCTCCTATTACACATATCCTGAAAATCATCAAACCATAAAATCATCATTGAGCACGTAGTGGGGAGACGGCGCTAAATCAATTAACCAAATGATAAAGGCGTGGTGCCCGTCTTCCCCATTCCTAAATCCTAAATCCTATTACACGTATCCTCCGGGACAAAAACCAACTTTCTTTGATAATTCGTCTGGCAGTAATAGCGACACGAATATTACCCATTCTGCACGTTCCTTCCCTTATATCTTAATTCACGTGTGTTGGAGAGCTGCGCATTTCACATCATTCGCATAATTCAGTGACGCGCGTCTACTCTAAAATTTTCAGAAATTTCAGACCACTCCTTCTTGGTGTTGCATTTTCAATGTCGATCAGTATTTGTTCACTCTTTTCTCAGTTCATCATATCAATATTATGTTTTCTTAATAAGATGGCTAGTAAAAAATGTTGCTTGTCTTTTTATTTTTAACGTTTTGCGTCATATAAAATTGAATTCAACAACAAAATCAAAAGATATTTAGAAATATCAATTTCTTTAAAAATAATACAGAGCAATAATAATCCAAAGCAAAATCCAATTTCATTGGTTGGTCATACAGGTGAATACTATAGCACGGCAGGTGGAAGTAAAAAAAAATTTTGAGTCAATGCTGCCTGCAAGTGTTATGTTTAAGCGGGCAGAAGGCAGCAGAAAGCCACAAAGACTCGTCGCGTTGACCGAGCTGTTGTCTGCGCTTCTTAAACAACAGCTGATGGCCATACTTTCCACCATACAGAGGAGCCTTCACTATATTTGAATGTAGTGTGAACCATTTATTGAAGATAGGAGGCAAATGAAATGTAGGTTGGTGCTTCATATGACATCTACAATTGATGCTGCCTCATCAGCAACTTTTGCTGTGGTCTGATACTCGTGCCGGCTGGAAGATAGCAGATTACAGTTGCATCATTTCAGAGAGGAATTCAGGTTCTTGCCTGACCCGAATAACTCTTACATGTATGATATCAGATTAACTTAATTCATCCTTTGAACCATCCTGACCAAGCAATGTTTCGTCGAATTGCGGCCTGTTTGTGAAACATAGGCTGATGGGCCTGCCAGAGGTTATTCTTCAACATGATAATAATGTTCGCATGCAGCGAGTGCCCCTGTGGGCTTTCTCTGCTACAAGACCTTCTGTGATTGACTCATCGTCCGGGCTCTATCTCATAATAATTGCACAAGATGGGCAGCCCTTTAAAGTTATCACAAAACACTTGCAACCATACTGAGAAATTAGAGCAAATTTAATGAGGCAAATCTCAGGACAAAATTAAATCTTTGTGCGTTTCCTTTCCAGGTCGCATATTTGCATGCGTTGACGACAGAGACGGCCCTAGAATTAGTGTCTAACAGTTTTGGACTATTCTTATTGCAGTAAATAATTTTACTGACTTCACGATTGTCGTTATATTCTTTTCATTTTGTTTGACCTTGTCCAGTTTTATCATGATCTAATTCTTTTCTAGGTACATGGATGTTTCTGCTATACTGTGAATAATGCCATACAAATTTCTGTTCTAAACGATTTATTTTGTTACAAATCACATAGCAGTATGACTCATTTCTGAATCCGTTGCGTTTTATTAGTCATTTAAGTGTGCTACAATTGTAATATTCTTTGATTCTGAATTTTTTTTTAACTGACATTTTGAGACTGAATTTCTTTGATACGCCATCGTCATAACTGTGAACCCCAAGAAATTAGAAACCCCATTGAATATTAGTGTTATTGACGTTTTTAATTTCTACTGTGCAGAACGATCGACTATCATACAAATGTTATTTTTAAAGTGCTAAGTTTATGAACTATTTCTGTTATTTACGAATTTCTACTTTAAATTCTATTATAAAACGGCATGTCTTAAGTATCACAAAGGTTTTCGTACTATTCTTCTGCATTCGGTAGTTCAATCATCTTTGGGCGGTGTGTAAAAAATGCACTCTTAATAGTCGAAGAGCACTGTGCTCCAACTGATCTGTCATAAAACTGCAAGATTATATTAAAAAATGCATAAATTATAAACCGATCTCTTTTTCTCATTTTATTCACCATAAATTTATTCCTAAACGTTCATGTGTGATTTGTGGCTTTATCTTGGTGAAATTCAACATATAGTATATATAACATTATAAAAAAGGGATCTTTTTTTAAATTCTTAATTTTTATTTATTATTTATTTATTACCTGTTTATATATTTATTTATTTGAATAAGGGAGCAAAAATATTGTTTTAATAGCACATAGAGGATTTATTTCTTATATTTTTTGACAAACTCTTAACGTAATATTCTTCACTCTTAAAACAAAGTTTTAAATCTTTCTCTTTCCTTTTAAGATATTAAATTAAAAATTTGTTCTTAGAGTCATCCAAAAGTCGTGTAAGCTATCCAGTAATTCAAGTAACTTTCCGTGTTTCAAGTAAGAAATGGTTTTTCTAAAAGCTCTAATGCGTTGCTACATGTCTTGGTATTTTACGTTTGATTAAATTTAAATGTTCTTTATTATTTTAATCATGATTGAAACCGGTATTTCAAAAGGTTGATTTTCCGGTTGAGTAAGGTCCAAGCTATTCAATAAGTGAGTCCACTTTTAGAGAAAAGATTTAAATTTTGAAATTATCTTTGAAGTAAGAAAAATTTTTAGCTTTCTGATTTCGTGTTATGTTGTTGCTGTGCCCACGATGAATCTCGTGGGCTTCTTCTAATGTCAAGCCCACGAAATTCATCGTGGCAAGAAGAGCAAGATTTCGCCTGTCGTTGGCAAAGCCTTGAGCATCATACAGGTGACAGTACGACTTCGGTCATTTCCACCTCCAATTTTGAAAGAGAGCACTCCAGGGGAACGGGTGAGAGGGTCTCCCCCCTCTTCCCTACCATCAACCTCTCAAAAAGTTTTTCAGATCGCCGAATATTTAGAGTGCATCCATGCCTCACAGGCACTATACATTTACAAACATCCATACCTTCTTCGGGATTCAAAACCATATCGCAGTAGGCTCCCCTAATCATTATAACATCTGGACCTGGGCAGCTTTTGCCTCCATTTACAGTTGAAAAACAGTAGTTGTTCTTTCAATATTTTATATAAACACCTTCATCCTTCATTCGTAGATTTCCGTATAATTTCTGAAATAGCATATTTTCTAAAGCTGTTTTGAGCTTCTAAAATTTTAAAATCAGGAAATGTAACCTAATTTATAAGTAAAAAAACCATTTCAGTTCGGTTTATCCCGTTTTGTTAATTTTATTTGCGCATCTATATTAAAATCTCCCCCCCCCCAAGAAAAACTTTCACTTCTAATACAATATAAGTATTTCAAAAGGAAAGTAAAAAATATAAAATTATAAAATCTTATGAGTTATATTTTTGTACTGCCGAGGCATTACAAAAATAATTAACTGTGTCTTACCCGTTAGAAAAGCTTCACATAAGCATTTTTTCATGGGCAAGACACAGATAACACAAACATTTCTTTATGATGAACTGCATAATTTTATGTCTTGAATATATGAATAATTTTATGTCTATATATGAATACATAAATAATTTTATGTCTGAGGTTTTAAATTTTGTTAAGAGCTTTGAAAAGTAAATTTCATATTTCACCGCTCAGCCATTTTTGAAAACATTTTTGTTTAACACAAGATTTAATGGAGCAGTGAAACGTGAATGAGCGTCAGTATCTGAACTATAAGTATAAGAGGATATAAAGTAATATGGAGATGAAACAAAGATAACTCCTTGGATATTTCTGTGCAAAAAGTACGAATAGACTTACTTTTCTTTCGCTATAAAATGCTTTATCTGTAAACTTGGAAATAGGGAGTTTTGTAGAAAAACATAATCTGGAGAAGAATGCTTGAGGATATTTATGAAAATTTATGTTAAGTTATAAATTAGTATTTCAAGATTCTTAACTTATAGCAAATTTTATTTTTATTACGTTAGAATTTTTATCATGTGCAACATTATTTTTGCAGATTTTCCTGCTGGGATTTTGCAGCATCCTTTATTCAACAGTGATCAACCACAGTAAGTTTTAATGTGTCAGCCATACCTTTTCGTATATAAATTGAGACTAAACGTACTTAATTATTTTATTATCACTACATGTACAAAGTTTAAAAACGTTTGATAATACTTCGTATATTTATTTCAGGTATTTGAACTTTGCTGCAATAGGCCTGGTGATTGGTCATGAAATTACACATGGATTTGACGACCAAGGTAAGTGGTATTTAAATTTGAATTAAAAATATTACAAAAAATGTCGATAAAACTAATTTTTTGAAAAACATCTGACAAGGTTCACTTTAAGGAATACTGCATGAAACCGACCTGTAATTTTGAATGCTGTTGAAACTGGTATTTAATGCTACGAAGAGAAATGTGTTCTGCCTTGAGTTTTGATACTCTTAGATCACATAATGTTACATTTAAGATTTAAACAAGTATTTTCAGATTTAAAACAGATTAAAGTCCCGATTAACCTAGTGTTAAAATAATTTCAATAGCCGTAATAATCTAAATGAAAGAATAGAGATAAGAGTACTTGCGTTGTGACCGCAATAACCCAAACAGGAGAATATTAAAGATAATATCCTAGTGTACCTTAATAGCCTAAGATTAAGAGAAGTGACATAGACCATTTTGCCATAAAATATTAAAGATTTTTAAAAACAAACCATATCACATGTATTGCTTCATCAATGTTACAAACAAGATGAAATTTACATACTGTATAAAATATTTTAAAATATTCTAATTATCACATGTTTTCAGTAATGTTTGGATAAAATAAAATAAGGAAGCAGATTAGAAAAAGAAGCTTTGGGAATTTTGATTATCTTAAAACTGTTCATCTTTTTTCTTTCTAGTTTCGACAATAACAGAAATTTCAAAATTCTTTATAAACGCTTATCGATAGCAGGCATAAGCAGCAAAACAACCACATAAACGCTGAAATCAAAAATAAATAATCAGTACTGAATTCTCTTGGAAATCTGTATTTCATATGAGACGAAGAAGCAGATAATTGCTTTTTTTTCCTCTAGAAGCATTTGATTAGCAAAAATGCTGTATTTAAACATGAAATCAATATTTCATTAAGAGTAATTCCCGTCTCATAATCTACACTATAAGAAAGTCAACCAAGAAATAATCGCCCGCGTTTCCATAAAAAAGGAGTCTAGCGAATTCACTTTTAGGAGCAAAGTTTTGTGTATTTGTTAGTCGTAATGCGAAATACCCAGCTGCAATGAGATAGCTTCCCAGCAAAGCGGGGATAGGGTTCCTAGAAAGTGGCTGGGAAAGACATGATTGCCAGATTTGGGGTGAAATCGCTCATTTGGCAACACTTAGTAAGAAAATTGGCGACATGCCATAGATGGAGCCAGGACATTCTAAAACGTATTCTTAGCAGTTTCCTCTGGAATATTCTTGAAGGTAAGCTAAAGATATATATATATATACCCTGCCTGTTCTTAGAGAACGTAATATCTTGAGTACTGTAATATTGTACTCAGAGATTAGCTTGAGAGCGATCGACCGAATTGAAAGCTGTACTTTAGTGCTTTGTCGTGAAGTTGCCTTCACCGTTACAGCCCTGGACCTTATAAGAAATACACTAAACCTAATGGGTTTTCTCCCTCGTGTGAGGCGCTGTCGGCTGTCACCTTGATCCCATCCGGAGGAGTAGGGACGACTTGCAGAAATTTAACAGTGATTGCCTATTGCAGCGTGTATAATTGTCAAGAAAAAGCTGGTTGTAGCGCCTCATTTCACAAATTAGAATTTCTACATATTTTTATTTTTGAAATTGAGATTGATTTTTAAAAATTTAACATATTTATCAAGCATAATTAACGTTCCAAATAATTATAAAGCTATTGCATGCTTTCAGGACTGGATATTTTTTTAGCTTTTCCAATGCTGTAAGGAAAAATTTCTTTTAGAAAATAATATTTTAAATATTTAATATTTTTCTGAACTAATAGAAAATTTCAAACAAGCAATTTCTTGCATTTTTTGCTTTTTATTTGGTATAAATAAGAAAAAATACTTTAAAGCGAATTTTGAAAGTTTAAAAATTATTTGCTTTTTTTTTAAGTTTTAGATTATATACTAATTTCTATAAAAATTTTATTTTTCAATTTATTTTTATAAATAAAAAATTTTGCTTAATTTTAATTGACTTGTAATTTTGAAAATTATTTTTAAAAATTTTATGCTTTTTTTTAAATTATTTATAAATTTTATTTAATTTTTATTTCAATTTTATTTCAATTATAGCCATTAATTAAGCTTTTAATTAAAAAATTTTTATTTAAGTGATTTAACACCTCTTGTATTACCAACATTTTTAAAATTTATTAGTAATTTAAGTAAATTTTGGCGGCCATTTTTTTCTAGAAAGGCTGTAATTAAGTTTACCCCGAAATCTGGCACCCGAAATCGAATTTTTTTTTATTTATCTATTATTTCGAATTATTTTTTTGTTTAAACTATTTCATATTTTGTAAAACCTTTAACGATTTTTGATAACAAACTCAACAGCGATTCAGAGCGAGCTTTTTACGGAAATAAAACAGTTTTTTATCTCCAGTGCGGAAATCGGAAATTCTAAAGATATGCTGTTTTCAAATGTATGTGGTTTACGGGGGAGAAGAACATGATATTCAATAAATATAGATAACAAATAAAACTTTAAAAAAAGGTTCCTTTTGGGCGTAATATAAAATCTGAGTGCTTCTAGATTTTATTTTATCTTTTTTTTCCCTTCATTACGCTGAGAAAATTTTATGGTCAGAATTTTATGAATTATTAAAATAACTAATCCACTTTAATGTTAATAATTTAATGATCATATAATCAAATAAACAACATGTGATACAAACGTCATAGGTTTCAGTGTTAAAGTAAACCAGATCGTCCCTACTCTTTCTTGCCGACATGTCGGTGACGCGCCCCGCCCACTGGGTTAGTCTGTCTCTTATAAGGTCCATGGTTACAGCCTGAAGGCTGTGTTGCTAATTGTTTTAGCGTGTTTATCGTAGTTTTTCTACGACTGTAAACGTGTCTTTGGAACTATCTGGTGTAATACTGGCAAATAAATTGTGCTTTGATTCTTCATCAAGTGTTATCATCAAATACTCCAATTCCAGAACGGCAGCAGTAAAAATAGTATATATAGTTTCGTATTAATAGTTTCGAGGGACTTTATTTAACGGAAAACAGTATTCGAAATAATTGGATAACATATCACCAGTATTTTGAAAATAAAAGTATTTTCAATCCATGTGCTAGTTGTTCCGAACATTTATGCGGTTATTTAAAGAACTATACTAATCAATTTCGAAATTCTTCGCATGAGCTTCGACAATATGTGAAGTTTTATTTGACATAAATGAAAAAATTTTGTTGAAGAGTAAAATTTAGAAATGTATGGATATTATGTATATTACATGGGATATTTTCCAGTTTTTATTTCTTATTTATTTTGTGAATACAGGTATGTGCAGATTTCTCAAATAAAGTGTGTAGATTATAGCAAAATGTTATCAAAACATTTCATTGAAAACTACCATTTGGCTGTAGTCATCTAATTAACACAAAAGCAATATTCATTATATAAACATAGTCCAAACTTGATTTCAGGTATAAGTTATTTGGGAAATGCTGTTCAATAATAATAATAATATGATAACATCAGTTACATATATTACGCTGTTATAAATATGATTCACGGCAAAAATTAGCTTTAAGAAGCATTTATTAAACAATACCTGAAACGTGCTTTTGTTCTTTCCCACATTTTTTATGCTAATGATAACATTGCAGGTCGGCAGTTTGATAAAGATGGTAACAATGTCAACTGGTGGGACGATGAAACAGACAGACGTTTCAAAGAGAAAGCTCAGTGTATTATAGAACAATATGGTAACTACACTGTTGCAGATGGAATTCCAGTAAGATGTATTTAAGATTGTTTCTTTGTGTGTATAGTGAGTTACAAAATGCGGTAGTTCTGTATGTGTCGTTCTAGTTAGCCGATTGACAAATTTTAAATTAAATTTTTCATGTTTTCGAAACAATACTTAAAATATATGTTTATATTTATATACAGAATTTTTTAATTATGTATTTTGATACAGATATTGAATATTTTCTGAAATGGCATTCATGTTTTGACAATATCAAATTTTTTTAAAAAAACTTCTTTTTGGACAAAATACTAAATCTAACCTTTCTTGGAGCATCCCGGCTCCTATACTTAAATTTTAAAAAGTTTTAATGCTCATTAAGAAAAAATAAAAATATAAAAAATTTGACTCCCGACGAGAAAAATTTACCTGGATATTTAATTTCAAAATCTGTAATTTTGGGTGTTGCTTTCAACTTGCCTTGAGAATCAGTTAATAAAGTTAGAATAACTTGAGGAAATAAATAATGAAATGCTGCCAGAAAAATGTATATAATTTAATAAGCCTTACCAGCAAGTCCAGTGGTACCCACATCAAAATTTTTATTTTTAATTTAAATTTTTGATCCATATATTTGCTCCTGTTTCACCGTTTGAGTGGTTCTGGTTTTATTCAACGCTTTTGATAAATAAGAAGCTGGCACTATGCCTTACGATTTTTGCTGTTTTTCCGCTTTGGTAAGTTTTGGAACTGTCGATATATCTATTGCATTTTCATGGCATTTTTTAGCATATTTCTGCATTTTTATGACGCTTATTAGGCTTCTCCCTGCTTTCTTAGCATGCCTTCGTGGTGTAGTGGTCAGAACGCTCGATGCGTATTCAATGGTTCGAGGTCCGGCGACGGCATTGCTCATTTTTCATGTCTCCTGCTTCAAAATAAGCTTATGACAAGCTTAATAGCTAAATATTTTTGTTTTAAAATTAACCATTACAGTATTTATGACAGTATCACTTTCATATTTTCTTTATGCACTCATTATTATCATCACTATTTTAAACACTTGTACCAAAGCCCCTTAAAATTTACTTATCACAAATAAACATTGGTGCAGAACAGCATGTGGAAACCTGATAGACATTAATTAGCCCAACAGTTAATTTTTAAATACCCATTGCTTACTCGTGCTATGTAGACTACACATTTAGGACATCATTTAATGGACTGAAATTAGACTACGTCTTTTTACATGCTTCTGTCTTAAAACCTTCAATCTGTGAGGTTTTCAGCCGCTGTTGCCAAACAGCCAGACAGGCAGAAACAAGTTCAGGGGGCACCAAAGCTTCGCCATGGGCAAAAGTAATATCGCTCAACTGCACTAACCATCTATGGAAGTGCACACTCAGAAGGCAAGCTAACTCCATGCTCGGGCATTTGTTTACATTGCAGCATTCATAATAGTTACATATTAATGATGCATAATTTGCATTCTAAACAATACTGGCATAAGGTGTACTTTACACGGGTACTTTGCAGTTGCATGGATTGACTTTTATAGTACTGCCGCGTTGACTTTTATCTTGTTGCCAAAACAAGATAAAAGTCAACGCGGGACATGCTTCTTTATCTCTTCCTTTACTTCCTCCACTGATAGTTGGCAGAATTCAAAAATGAGCAGGGCCCTCCAAGTGCTGAGCGGTAAAGTTGCTGAACATTGGTAGTTCGGTCGAGATTCGAATCCCGGCAAACCTGCCTACTATATAGGCCTTTTAGTGGTTTCTTCTATGTGTAAACTTGTAAACGAACATGTTTCCCCTAGGAAGCCCTCCATAAAAGCATTCCTCCACTTAGGCAGCTAGCACTCGAGTGCTTTGCCGTAATTAAATAAAACCAACATCAAGAAAGAGAGGTCTGGATATAAGTGCCATAATAGAGAACCCCACAAAAAATTTGAATGCATAATTATCGCATAACTTTAAGACTACATAATATAAATAACCTACGGAAAAGCAACTCGGTTGGATAACGGAAAGAAAAACCGTTATGAACGTATTAAAAATAATTTTGTGGAATAATAATTTCGAATTCATTATTATTTTGCTGACATTGTGTTTGGTTTGTATTGAAATTTTCAATTTGGAACACTAGCCAGTCTAGGCTGAATGAAGCCAGACTATCCGATATATTGATTTATTTGCGTTTGTATAAGTATACTATTCTGTCGAAAATGCAAGTGCCCACATTAGATTGAAAAATGCTCCTAGCATTTATACCCAAATTTGCAATTAAAAGGAAAATTTCCGAATGTATATTGAAATAATCATGTCTATTGCAGGTAAACGGGATCAACACTCAAGGAGAAAATATAGCAGATCTTGGAGGTATAAAAGCAGCTTACTTGGTAAGAAAAGCATTTGAATTCTCACTAATCGTTAATTTTGATTTACAGTTCAAATATCTAAAAGCAATTGCATTATAAAAGCCTTCATATATTATGTTCTACAAAAGAAAGTTTTAACTCAAAATATTCTTCTACCCTGAAGACTGCTGTAACTAAACGTTATTTCAAGAAGAGATAAGTACATTAGGACATAAAGAAATCTAATGAATACGGAATCGGAAGTAGGATGTTTGATTATGATTTCTGCTGCTTATTGCATAATAATCAATAATCTTACTGGTGATAAGTAAAATTTATAGCATCCCCCCGATTAATGGCTGTCAAAATAACGTTTTAGAAAACTTTAGAGCAACTAGATACGATATCTATATCACATTTAAAATAACTGACTGCAAATAAAATATATATTAGTCATAAGCATAAACTACACAAAATTTTAAAATACCAATAACAAATTTTAATATTAAGAAATCGTGTTACGTTACTTTCTAAGTACTTACTTGTACATGCTCTTCATATTATAACATACCTGTTTAAAAAAATGCAATCTGTTTAAAAAATGCAATCCTTTGTTTGAAAACCCAAAAGTAGACTAATTTCTTGACATTAATATTATAAGTGAAAGACTAAAGGTTTTTATGGCAAGGAGCACATAACTTGTAAAAATTACAGTGTTTACAGGAACCTTTTCTACATTTTTTGGCGCTCAGGAAGGCTTGTGCTTTCCCGAAAGAAAAATGTCCAGAACTTGATTATACTTCATTTTTATGGCGTTGGTGCTCACCTAGAAATTTCAAAAGTTATTTAAAGTATTGCAAAATTTTAGATGTCAATTATTATCTAAAATCGTACATAGTATTTAAATTACTATAATAATTGCGTCTTAATAGTGAAAATGTCCACAGCAGCATTTGTAGCATCCCATCAATATCATGATGCTTTTCAAGTCTTTGAGTATATTTTTACGCCCCATATATTCTGTAGTTTCTTGATAGTAACGTGTAATTTAGTTCTACAATCATTTTCATTTGTTGTACTACTGTAACAGGAAAAGGGAGGGTCATTTGTTGCTGATACAACTTATAAGCAATAGTTACATTGCTTGTTTTTTGAGAAATTTCCTAAAATTAATTTAAAGTAGTTTAAATTTCGGAAAGTTTTAATCTATTTAGGTTAGATCGCTGAATATAATCACTGAATTTTTGCATTAAGAATACCATTATATACTAAAGTTTAGGAAATGTTGCATAACGAAAGATTAACAGCTTTTTGCAAAATAGTATGTTTTGTATTTTAATCAAGTAAGAAGCTCCTGAAAATATCTTCACTATTTATAATTCATTTTATACAGGGTTCGTCAGAAAAGTGCACAGATATTTCAAAAGTTGATATATGCTTATTGGTTTTGAAGTTGAATCTTATTATCTTTACTATATATACGTAGCACGTAGCACGATAATAGCTGAAAACATATCTCTACTTTCATGACGCGACATATTATGTATGATAGTGAATCAAAATGTCCTTTTGGGAGTACGAAGAACGTCAAGCATTGCAGGAAATCGATTATACTGGAGATCCTCACTCCAGAATTTATGGTGGCATTTGCAGTAATCCCCGCGAACGCATTAATAAACTTCTTGAAGCAACCGGCCCATTTGTGTGTTGCGGCACAGTTGCTGACTGTTAATAGCGACCGCTTTGAGATGAGACTTCGAGCACTGAGACTTAATGCTTACAAAATAAATTGATGTTTCTTAAAACATAATTTTAATTTTTAGAGCGCAGTTTATACCGTTAGCGGTCAGTTATGGTCAGGTAGTTAATGCAACTAGATGTCTTCAGGAAGTTATATTTAAATTTCGTCATTTCTGCATTTAAATTTTCATCTTAAAATTTTAATTGCAAAATATTGCTTAGTTCGGAACCAGTAATGAAGCTGTGCAAAGAGTACGGGCACCTTTATTCAGGCCAGTATTCACCAAGACAAGAAATCTTCGCAACGGCCCTTTGCCATAAAAGCGCCTGTTTCCTTCTTTCTCTATATATCTTTTTTTCCAAATTAAATACTGGTTTTAATTGAGGTACTGGCACCTTTATGACGGGGGTCACCCTTTTGGAAATTTCTTAGTTGATGAACACTGCCCAATTGCATAAGGGTGACAGTCCTTAGAGGAGGACAGGATCCTTCGTGAAGATCTGTAAAACACACATCAACCACCATAAAAGAAAAGGATCCTCTCTTAAAATTTACGAAGACTTCATCGGAACTGCATTTCCGGGTTCTAAGCATGTGAAAAAATATTCAGTGGAATGATTCCTAACACCCTTGCTGCCATATGTGGAAACTCTAATGCGTCTGCTTCAGAGTTAATTTACTTAGTATTGTTTTACTTGTAATTATGTTTAACATTTTTCACAAATAAAAGGATTAGAAAAAATTAATTATAATAAGTATTGCCTTGCTTCATGATTACAAATTTAAATTTTATCTCACAGTAAGAGGGCATAAAGATGTTCAATTTTTTATGGTTCTTGATTGCATTAAACCTATCCTAAACTATGCAGTAAAAACTATGGTAAATATAAACTATGGTATATATGAATACATTAACCTGTAACTAAGTTTAGTGCTAACGTACCATACAGAGTTTTATTTCGTTAAAGAGTGTTTATGTTTTTCTGAAGGATCCTGCATATCTGAACTGCCATTTACTTCAGATGCTCAAATCACATTTATTTTTACAGAAATATTAATTAGGTAATCTCAGTTTGTGAATAGATATCGAGGTAGACACGCAAATACAGCTGACGTTCTCTTTTATGGATTATATTTAAAATTATTTTTATGGATTTATTTTCCCAACTTACATTGTTCCAAGAATAAAATACGAATTACGAAATTAAAAAAGAGAGCTTAAAAAGGAACATATATTTTTCTACATAACTTAAAATTATTGATGAAGAAGGAAAAATGAGAGTTACAGCCTTGCTTTCGAAACACATAGAAAATTCTGTAAATCAGCGTGGCACTAAGAATGAATTTGGCATAATTTTAAATTAGCTTTTTCTTACGCATATCATACGAGCTTACTACTGTAGAACACTTTTTGTTTAATTGTTAATTTTACCTACTTCAAATAATTACAATTTTACAATCAAACATGAGATGGCAAACAATTGGTTTGGTTAACGAACAAATAAATCAGCTAAAATTTTAACAATTTGTTAAATTCTACCATTACGTGACCAAGTATTGAATCAGTTTTTATTTGAAGAATGCTTTCGTATGTTCTTTGTTTTTGTTTTTTATAGGCCTATCAAACATGGACTAAAGATAATGGAATAGAACCAGCATTGCCAGGATTGAATTATACACAGAATCAGCTGTTTTTTATAAGTGCAGCAAATGTAAGTATATGGGAATTTATGTCAGTATTTGACATAAGTATCTACTGCAAAAATAGCAACAAAATAGTTTAATGCAATTATTATATAACAACCTACTATAAAAATAATACTAATAAATGTACTATTTTTGAGTGAAACATAGCGCAACTTGAATCCTGAACTAAACCTAATTCAGTAACTCCATTTTGTTTAGGAGACATAACATAAAAGTATAATCTGTAACAAAGATATAACTCGAAGAAAATATAAGTAAACAAATTTTTAAAGTTTAATGTGAGTTAGTTTGAAATGTAGCAGAATATTTTAAAGACTGATTTTACTCCTGCTCTTTTTTTTCCCAAAAAATTGTTAGTTCAAAACATCTTACCTTATTTAGAAACTTTTGTGTTGTATCTGCGTGATTCCTTCTCTTAAATGGTTTATGCTTCCAAAAAAATATTGTCTTCTGATCAACGTCAAACTAGACTGAGATAGTTTTGTTTAGAATTTGCCTGATCGTTACCACACTCAGGATTTCAGTTCAATAACTAGTTCTTTTATCAATAGTTTGTCAATACAACTGATTAGCCTGCTCGTACTTTGTTTCGTTCATAAACACAGAGGTGCCGTTACAGAATTATAAGGGTTTTAACTCCATCGGTAACTCTAAAAGAAATGTCATAAGATCAGTCAAGATAAGGTATTGCAAAATACGCCTCTACATTTTATGGTCTTGAAATATTTCAAATCATTTAACGAGAGATAATTAAAAACTGGAAAGCAATGTTTGTATGTCTCATTTTTTGAATAATACACGTTATCATATTTCAATATTTTGTGCTGCATGTTTTACTGAGAACAGAAAATGGTTCGTTATATATAGTAGGCCACATATTTTTAGTTAAATATCTAAAAGTTTTCGATAAAAAATTCTGTTACAGATGACAATTTTCTCAATTACATGGAAAAGAAAAGCGTGAAATGTTAAAGTGAATAAATTTTATACCTTAGCGTTTCATCTGTTGGTAATACCTTTGAGTAAATTAAATAACAAAATTAGATTCCAAAACTGTATACTTATTATGTTCTGAGGTTCGTAACGGGCATGGTTAGAAGCATTTTATTAATTGCAAAAAGGTACAAGTTTCCGGAAAGGTTATCTGTTGGGTAAGTCATAAAGTAATCATCAGTTATGTATATTATAAAATTATTATTATTTTGCATAACCAGCTGTTTATAATTTCAGCGTTTACTGTCACTTCTTTTTTCCGCTTCCCTACAAGAATCCGAATTAGTTTGAGAGTTTTCAAGCTTAGGTTTTTGAATTGCAAGACAAGGTATATTTCTGCCTCTTCAGGCCATTTTTTTAGGTTTTGCTAGCTCAGATTTTCATTCTCCGGCTTGTGTTATTGCTGCTGACTTCTAAACTGGTACGCCGGTGAGAAGTTTGAGCCAACTTCGCGTTATATCAGTTGGGTACTCCTGGAATACTAGACTAAGTTTCAATTTGAATTTGAGCGTTACTTTAAGTTACATCTTCAGAAGTGGTGGTGTATTTGTAAGCAAGAGACATGTAATTTATATTCAAACTCTGGTTTAGTTAAAAGGTTCATTTAAAACCTTTCAAAGCCTCTGAATTTCTTTATGAGAAAATGATAATTTCATTAGCTTCTATTAAAAGTTTAAGCTAGTTTATGTTGCCAAAACAAGTCAAACTTTATAATGCAAGTTTGGTACCTGCAAAACATTTTTGTTACTTACACTTTAAAGTTCAAACGTACTCACAGCTAAATATTAATTTTTCATACTGATATTTCTTCCACATAATTCTAACATATTTAATATAGCAGTAAATAACTTACTTTCATTTAAATTAAAAATAAACAAATTATGAAAACTTTTGAAATTTTTCAGAGATTTTCTAAGTAGGATTTTAGAACAAATAACGATCGTTTATAGTCTTTTTCTCTTATTTATTAAATTTTTCTTTGGAACATAAACAAAAGTACATATTGTTACGAAATGTCCAGGCGCGGTAAGATAGCTTCCCCGCAAAGTAAGTTTAGGGTTGCCAGAAAATGCCAACGTAAGGCAGGGCTGCCATATTTGGTGATAAATCGCCTGTTTGGCGACATTTGGAGGCAAAATTTGGCGGTATCTCATAGACGGATGGAGAACCTTCTGAAACGAATTCTTACTGGTTTACCCCAGAATGTTCTCTGACACAATCCAAAAGCAATATAAACCCTGCTGGTAGGCGGAGAGAGTTAGTCAGTGTCTCGTCTAGCGAGTGTATAGTTAGTCAGTGAGTGCCCAGTTGAGAGTCGGTGAGCAAGTGTCTCGTAGTCTAGTAGTGCCTAGTTGGTCGTCGAGTGCATCGAGAGAGTCTCTTAGTATATCGCGAGTTAGTGCATCGCCGTGTTTCATCTTAGAGTGTGTTGAGCTCCGAGAACAATCGCTCTGAGTCTGGAGCTGTACTCTAGTGTATCGTCGAGTGCATCGCGAGTTATAGCATGGAGAGTCTCGGGAGTACGTAGAGTTCCGAGATCGACCCAGCAGAGTCGGGATCTGTACTCTGGTGAAGCTGTCTCCACGGTTATAGCCTGATAGCCTGGAGGCTGTGTCGCTGATTGTTTCAACGTGTAAATTTCTCGATTTTCTGTGACGCCTTAGCACATAATGATATTTCGATTCTGATAAAATTTGTAGCCTTAGGCAGAAATCACTATAAGTTATTTTGATCCCGGATTACAGACCTTAATCAATCAACCGAGCTCTTTTCTTATTAATTTTTAATATATACAAGACTATATTTGTATAAGTGACGTGCTCCCACGGGAAGAAACTGCAGCTGAAATAGTGAAAATTACGCAAAGGCAAGCGAAAGAAAATGGCAGTTCTACTCCCGAAACATGGGGTTCGGTGAAATAAAAATTGAGCTAGCTGTTATCTTTGTAAATAAAATAGATTTCCAACAGCATCCTTGAACTATGGTAAATATATACGTATGTCGCACTTGAATTAAGTATGTACAAAAAGCCGGCCAAACGGGATAGTGGTTAGTGACACTGACTACCGTACCGAAAGGCCCGCGCTTGAATCCCAGAGAAGGCATTGTAGTTGTAAATGTATCGTGTCTTTGCGGCATGGTTGCATTCTAAAGATTCATGGCAAGCCGAAAATCCTCTCGTGTGGACTGAAAGTAGGGAAAGAGGCATGGGAGATTCTCGAACCATACCCCGGGTGCTCTCTCTTAAAATTGGGGTTCTGAGCAAAATCGTACTGTCACCTATATAGTGCTCAAGTCGTCAAGGCCCCAAGGTGCTCAAGGTGTGCCAATGACAGGTGTAATGTGCCACGCCTTGCTGCGATGAATTTCGTAGGCTTGTTCTGATGCAAGACAAGCGAGATTAGTCGAAATAACAATGTGCAAAATGCGCTGCTAGAGTTGCTTCATGATTAACATTTTACTATATCGGAAATACGGTCATAAAGCAAGTAACTTTCGTATGTTTACATAACAAGTAAACGAAAATAATTTTACTTTTAAATCCTGAAGATAACTTCAAATGTAACGAAGTCTTTATCATACATAATTTTACCTTAGATTACTTTTGTGTGAAAAATTTTAGTTTCTGTTATTTTTACACTGTTACAGTAATTGAGTTTAAAAATAAAAAATGAAAGTATTGTTAGTTGCTGAAATTAGATATTCTGGGTCCATTTGAACTTGAACACAGTTATGCATTTCCAAAATAAACAAAACATTACTGTCAAGATTGACTCTTCACGGAACAGTCCTCACGTCATCTTGTATTGGTTGAGATGCATGTCACACCACTTTCTTGATGGCCAATTAGAACTACGGAAAAAAATTACTCAACCAAGATTTCATTTCACTGCCCAATAGGCGGCAAGAGACAGGATAATTTTTGGAAAATATTAGATCTCGAAAAGATGAGAAAAATATTAGACGTAATAATTAGAAAAATATTAGACGTAATAATAAGCAAACAGACAAAACGTCTCTTTGCTTATTATTATTTAGAAATGCAAAAGCAATTCTAAAAATAAATAGTACGAAACGTATAAAGGAAAGCATTTTTCAAATCTGCTGTTTATACCTTACCTCTAAAATGCACTTTTCCTATTTATTTCAGATATAAAAAAATCACAGACAAAGAGGTATTTTTTTTCAATGTAACGTCCATTCCTTTAAGGTTCTGAAACGATTTGACTCATTAGAAAGTCTCAAAGTATATGCTATTACATTACGAGGAATTTAACGGGAAAGTCGTTTTTCATTGATTTTTCATCCCAAATTTTTTTCTCCGATGCTAGTCTAGTATTGCGGAAAAACATCTCGCGTCTTTTTTTTTTTTTTTTTTTCCCGAAAATTGGAAACAAGAACAATAAAGATTTTTTGAGTCAGCTTCAGCATCAGGAGAAAGAAGCCAGAGAACGTAGTGGTTGGATATATCCATCGAATGCAATGCGAATGAAAAAAATTATGAAAGTAATTTATCTGTTTAAACAGTGAATGCCCTCAATTCGATCTGTTCGCTCCAGAACGAATTTATCTGTCTAAACAGTCAATGCGCTCAATTCGTTCTGGAGCGAACAGATCGAATGACCACATAAATGAAAAATTTAGAATAATTAATTATGTAAAAATAACATAATAGGGTTTTGTGTTTATTCACCATATATGTTATTAAGTTTTCTTTGTTAATTTTTTACAGTACCTGGCGTCTGTATTACTTGAATCGGCTCTAGCGTTGCTAGCCGTAATTGCTTGCGGAATTTAGGGCCTAAATCACAGTTTGTAGATGCGCCTTGCCATGTTAATTTTATATCTTTTTATTTTCTTTTACTTTTGCTTGTTTTGTACTGAAGCTTCTGTAATTGTTTTCTATTATTACACAACATGTTGTGTAACGGTCAAGCTGACGACTTAGTAAAAATGCTTATTTGAAACTTATTTCTGAGTTTGAAAGACTTTTAGAATTTCAGATGAGATGATAAATCAGATTGTCTTCAGAGATCCAAGAATTCCATATGGAGTAATTGAGATCCGTACGACTTCAAGACATAGCTTTTAATAAACATTTTCACCGCAGGGAATTCCAAAGATTTAAAGATGTATTTTTGAAGTGCAAGAAATAGTACCCCCAGTCATCAGATCATAAGACCTTAAGATTGCAGTGCCCCCTTCACAGAAGCTTCAAGATTTCTTGGAAAAAATAATGCATCTAAAAAACATTTTTGCTTCCCTAGTTAATGAATAATTTATGTACTGTTTGAAATGTTATCTTCTTTTGCATATGCATGACACAAGTAATTTCATAATTTCCAGCATTTGGCGAAATAAATTAACCTTGTATTTGTTCATAATTTTGCCATCTGAATTCAGAAAGACATTAATAACAGTAAAACCACTAAACAAATGTAACTGTTTCAGGTATGGTGCGGTAAATACAGACCGGAAGATTTGAAGACAAGCGTTATGTATGGATACCACAGCCCAGATATGCTTAGGTAAGTGAATTATGAGAGCTTGTTTAACGAACAAAGAGAATTATTTTCAAATATTTTCCTCAACCTATATTTCATATGTTATAAAGATTTAGGGGGAAAAGTAGTGTAATTTTAGTATGTAAATCTTTCAAATGGCAGCCTTCATTCAAACTTTAGAATTATCTGCAGAAACTTTCGCGTTAAAAATTTGAAACTCTATTGTGTATTGTGTGCTTGCATTTAAAATAGATCTTCTGTTTCAGAGTGATAGGTCCCATGTCTAATCTGCAAGCATTTTCGGATGCCTTCCAATGTCCCGAAGATTCTAAAATGGTTCGACAAAACAGGTGTCAAGTCTGGTAGGAAACCCATCTCAATCAATTCAATAGGTCGATGAATTTCTAACAGTATATTGTAATTCTTTTTACTAATAATATTGATAAAACATTGCACAGATGCAGATATTCCATTTAAAATTTTGTACTGCTTTTTAATTGTAAAAATAAATCTTTCTTCCAAATAAAATGCTAAAAAATTTCAGTTACTTTTTTTAAAAATTTTTAACATAAATTAAATCATTGAAAAATATAAGGTATTTCTCCCACCTTCTTGGTGTACCTTCGTGATGTGATAGTCTGAACACTGGACCGGTATTCCAGAGGTCCGCGGTTCGATTCCCGGCGTTGCTAATTTTTCATCTCTTCTGCTTCCAAAAAATACCTAATCTACAAAAGAAAACATATCTGGAAGCTTTCACATTTTATATTTTTCCCAAAAGGGAGTTTTTTAACGTGTGTTACCTTTAACTATTAAATATCATGTGTGTTACCTTTAACTCTAATTTAAATTCTGTGTGTTACCTTTAACTATTAAATATCATGTTCTCACTTAAAACACATAAAACTCAATTCAACAACAATATCACAAAATATTTAAAAACTAGATACAGCACGTCTTTAGAATTTCCAATTCACTGTCTCGCGCGCTGGAGATAAAAATGTTTTTTTTTTTCTTTTTTTCGTACAGTGTTGCTATTGCTCGCTTTGAAATCGTTGAGTTTGTTACCCAAAATTCGTTAAAATTTTACAAACTATAAAATAGATAACAAAACAAATTCGAAATTCAAAATCCGGGCTTCCAAGTGGCCATACCCAAGTCCAAGATTTTCGGTTGGAGGACTACGTTATTCAAAATTTGATGGTTCTAGGTACCGTTGTTTCTTCACAATGCGAGAAACATTTATGCATTCATGCAGATTTTTAATTATTTAGTTTCTTTAAATATAATGATGCATGGTGATAATATTTGGTGGACAAAAGTTAAAAAAGTGAATTGACACAAAATGCCGTTTTGAAATTAACAGTCGTTCTAGGCTAACGCCCTTTAGGCTAAAAAAAGAAGGTTCCTAATCTAATTAATTTATGTGTTATATGTTTGCTGTTCGCAACAATTTTAATGAAGGCGTGAAAGACTGTTTCGAAACTATATATTTATAGAATTTTATATTATATATAACAGTTTAATTCATAATGCATTCTTATGCATAAGCATCCGCATCCCTAATCAATTAATTTATTGCTTTGTGAGAATTTGTGTTTTTACTTCCCCAGAGAGGACTATGGCCATTAACATCCCCTATTATGATAAAGGGTTGAAGCAGCTGCTCTGTGAGACAATTTAAATCTTGCTGATCAATGTGCTCATTTGGAGGCAAATACAGAGAAACGACTGAGACAACAGTGTGAAATTTTGCTTGAGTAGCGGCAACTTAGAGGGATGTCGTCAAAGAAAGTGCATTTGATGGATAGTCCAGTGAGGTGAGGAGGCTTACACCGCCACTGGCACGCTTACCTGCAACGTTATCCTTCCTGGCGAAAAGTAACCTCCGAAGTTTTGCTTGTTGTTCTAGTTACAGATTTGTTTCCTTAATTGCTAAGCACACAGGATGATAAGCATTGATTATAGCTTTGAAGTCGAGCAAATTTTCGTGGAAACCGCGACAGTTCCATGAAAGGAGGGTGGCCATTATGACTGGTGTTTGTTCTTTCGGTGCTTCGTTTTAGTTTTGCGTGGAAGCAGATGTCTAGAGATTTCTAATTCGTCTTCCACTTTCATATTATCAGGTTCAATGTTTCTTCTAACCTTCTTCGGAAACATACAATGACCTGACTAGGAACAGAGAGCTTACTAAAGCTATGTTCACTAATTGTAGTAAGTAGACAGGATACAGACGAAGGGTATACAAAACCCTTTATTTTTCTTTATATACAATGACTTCCGTACTTCGGAATACAATGACCCTCCACTCGGGGTCTAACGTAAAAGGTATAAAAAATAAACTAAACTCTAATTTAACTTTAGAATAACACACGTGGAAGATTGGCCTTATAATAACAGGAAGCGTATGTAGCACAGAGACTGTGAACACTACAATACGTTTAATTTATTAAGAGGATTAAAACCTCTGGCCTGGAAGGCAAATAGCAACTGCGTAACTTCTAAGGTAAGCGGCCTGCTTCGAACTCACTGCTCCTCTCTCTCTTTTCGCTTGGCAAAAAGGCCACACTTAAATACTTGGCGTTCGCCAGACAAACTTTGCATAAAAACCTTCACGCTTATAATTCTGGCCGGAAGTAGAAAATAAGAAGTGATAGTAAAGATTTAAAATAAAATAAACGTTAGTAAAACTTAAGATCCTTACATACTTCCCGCCAGAGTTAATTAGTTTGAAACTGAGGTCTAAAACGACCTTGTTGAAAACTTTTAGCTCTAGAATATAACGCGAGGCCAACCTTTTACAATCATAACTTCGTTAGAAACTAGAAAATTTAAAAGAAAGAAATTTGTTACAATAGCAGCTCCCAGGATCTACAAGAATCTTTTTTTTTTTTTTTTTTTTTTTTTTTTTTTTTTTTTTTCCATCTGTACTGCATCTAAACAGGAGCTTTATTCAATTCTGGTTCCTTCTCTTAACATTCTTATTTCATTCATGACTATTTTAATTATCTCTCCCCTTGCTCTCTGACATGTGTTGTAAAAGAACACCAAACACGAATGTGTTTATGTCTATGTGTTCAACACTTCCTCCTACAATCAAAACACTAACGTGTTAAAATTCAACATAACGAGACCTCTTAACACACCCTACTTTCAACTCTAAACCCTGAGGTACTATTCTAAAAGTGGCTAACTCTAAAGTGTAGCGTCAGAGAGCCTAACTACATCATTCAACCTTTAACATATATTCGCCATGATTTAGTCTTTACAGTCACACGAATAACAAATTTTTAACATTACTTTCACTTTTACCATATCACGGTATTTCTTAACATTTAAAATAACAGAACACATGTATATAAGAACATATCAACATGCCGTTAATTTTACACATTTGAAAACATACATTAGTAGTACATTGTTAACTTCTATTCTTTTCAAAGCAAGTGCCAATTCTTTCTACATTGAAATAATACTACATTTCAAAAAGTCTTTCAGACTAAAACTTCTTTCTTGCTAGAATGTTTTAAATAAAATTTATACAATAACTTTTTACAATATTTAAGTCTTTACACAACGCTATTATACATCAACTTTAGTTTTACGCGCGAGTAATTGAAAAACATAATAAGAAAATCGGTCACAACTCATTTCTCGCCCTTTTGGCGATAAAGGTAGACCTCGCATGAGGTAAAACTTCTTGAAATCTGCCACTTGCAGTAAGAATGAAAGATTAACTTAAGTTTGCAACGTAACATAAAATTTTACTTATCTTTGTAATATTCGGACATCCTTTTCTGGGCCCAGTCTTTAAAGGTACTGCAGACCGTAGCCTGGTTTATCCTCCTTCTTGTACGGGCTCGCCCTTCAGTGCTTTCCTCTGGAAGCTTCCGTTTTTCACCAGTACGGCCACCCTTGAACACCTTCCTTTTCCCCTCTGCTTGTGGTCTTGGCCGTTTGAAGGCAGCTGGTCTTGGCCGTTTGAAGGCAGCTGGTCTTGGCGGAACCGGGAAACTTCTGTCGTGATCCTGCTTGGACCTCGTTGTTGGCCGTTCAAATTTTTCTTTTACTTTTTCCTCCGCCGCTGATGGCCCTTCCGCAGTTGGGCGACTTTTGCTGCGGAGAGTTCTGTCGGATGAGTCGATCTTCCGTTTTAAAGCCGGGTTATAGTTGCCGTCCTTTCTCCTGGTCCTCTTCACATACGTCGTCCTTCTCCCTTCTCCATTCTGGGGGTGTTCGTGAACTCTGTTTTCTGGACGGTGGAACGACTTCTTTTTCTTTTTACCTTCAATTTTTCCGCGGGGCAATTTTCTTTTCACTTGCTTCTGTCTCTCATTGGCTTGCCCTTGTACTTGTCGTTTTCCCACCTCTGGAACTTGTACCTGCGGTGTCTGCCGTGCCGGATCCTGCAAAAGATCTGAAAAGATTTGCATTTTATTACGATCGAAGTAGGGCTTAATTTGATCAATATTTGCGGAACAAGTTTTCACCATTTCTGGCCTTTAACACTACAACAGCGTGAGTTATTTTTTCTATAACATATGGTCCTTCAAATCGTGGAAAAAATTTGGCAGTTTTATCTTCTGGTGCTGAAGAAAGTGAATGCTTAATTTTTAAACTTCATCCCCTACTTTATAAGTTACTCCCCGTCGTTTCAGATCATAATATAACTTCTGTTTTCTTTGTGCTACTTCCGTATTTCTTTTTTGCTTCTTTTATTAGTTTTTCTATATCACCCATTTTAAATTCTGGGGCTCTTTGTTGCACATAAAATAATTTATCTAACGGTGTTATAATCTTTCTGCCTAGAAATAACTCAGCAGGAGTTTTTGCCCGTTGTATCATGTTTTGCGGTCCTAAGGGCGAAAGCAAATTCATTGACATAGTTATCCCAGCTTTTATGAAAATTTTTAACATAACTACGGATAATTTTCACTATATTTCTGTTGACCCGTTCCGCTATATTTGATTGCGGCCGATACGGGACCATTTTTAAATGACGTATGCCCAGTTTTTGGCACATGTCTTCAAATATATTACTTACAAATTGAGGACCATTATCCGATATAACTTTTAGGGGCGCCCCGTATTTTAAAATATATTTATTTAAAATAGAATCAGTAACTAATTTCGCGGAGGCTCGTTTTAAGGGAACAATTTCGGTCCATTTACTAAAATGATCAACCATAACAAGGAGATAGCGACTTTTATTTAACTGACTTTTTGGGAAAGGGCCCAATAAATCGATGCCAATTATTTCATTTGGAAATTCGGATTTAATACTATTTAGAAACCCGGCCGGGCGGAAATTAATATAATTAACGGCTTGACATGTTGGGCAGGACTGGACATACGCCCTTGTTAACTTTTGCAGTTCAGGAAAGTAGACTGCCTCGCGTACGCGTTGGATAGTTTTTTCGAATACCAGCATGAGAAGCTAAAGGGCTGTCATGGAGCTCTTGCAGGATATTTAATCTAAGACTAGCTGGGATAACAGGTCGAAATTCGTTGTTGGAATTCGTAGTTTTTGTGTAGAATAATAG